GGTGAAAATTGATGAACAAAGAGTTTGCCGCGGTGTTGATGCATCGCACCAAAGGTTTTCTTGCTGCTACAAGTGTCTACAATTCAGCATTTTCTAGTTAATAATTCAATACTTATATATCGCCATAAAATAATATAAATTCATTGTCCTATGTACTACTGATTTTGGGCCAATGTTGGCGCACCTACCCACTCTAAAAGACGCATACCTTTATAACGTCTTCCGCGAGGAAAGTTTGGAATATTTGCAATACGTGATTTAATTTGTATACGTGGCTTGACCGATGTCCACATGTATAAATTACCTGCATATTTGTCTCGTTCATACATCAGAGATGATTTTATTCGCTCACAGTTTTCTGACAAGCTTATAATAAAAATCTTTGTCGCATAGGAAAAATAGGGTTTGTAATTGAAAAGCGACGACCCTTTCACGCAAATATCATATGCAGTATACAGCATATCAAGTGCAATATACTGTATATCAAATACACTATACGGCACCTGGCACGTGCAGTGTGCGCCGGGCGAACTCCCGGCTGGGTCGTAACACTGATAGTCTTACCCCATCTCCCCTTGACAAACATCGCATGGTCGGTTCTAAATGAATTCCCGTGCTTCAAATACTCAATAACACCCGGTAATTGGCCAACACATGATGTTTATCTCCTAAATAACATCCGGAAATTGGCCAACACATGATGTTTATCTTCTAAGTACATCACTGTAAACTCTTGGAAATAACAGATGTAGGAAAAAAAACACGGTTTTGCAAAGGTTAATACAATACGTCTGCTTGAAATCATGTGAAAATATTGGACATCGAGAATATAGTTAGGCCGACTACTATTGGAATGCATCTCGTATGACCAGGATCCCGTTTCAAAAAGCTGTCGTAGTCTACGTTGTAAGTATATGTTTTAGTGCTCAGGGTGGGTCTTCAGACTGGGTGACTTGGTTCACTGTCATCATGCCCTGAGAGTGTGGATCGCTGCTCAGGGTGGGTCTTCAGACTGGGTGACTTGGTTCACTGTCATCATGCCCTGAGTGTGTGGATCGCTGCTCAGGGTGGGTCTTCAGACTGGGTGACTTGGTTCACTGTCATCATGCCCTGAGTGTGTGGATCGCTGCTCAGGGTGGGTCTTCAGACTGGGTGACTTGGTTCACTGTCATCATGCCCTGAGTGTGTGGATCGCTGCTCAGGGTGGGTCTTGAGACTGGGTGACTTGGTTCACTGTCATCATGCCCTGAGTGTGTGGATCGCTGCTCAGGGTGGGTCTTCAGACTGGGTGACTTGGTTCACTGTCATCATGCCCATGCCCTGAGAGTGTGGATCGCTGCTCAGGGTGGGTCTTCAGACTGGGTGACTTGGTTCACTGTCATCATGCCCTGAGAGTGTGGATCGCTGCTCAGGGTGGGTCTTCAGACTGGGTGACTTGGTTCACTGTCATCATGCCCTGAGTGTGTGGATCGCTGCTCAGGGTGGGTCTTCAGACTGGGTGACCTGGGTTCACTGTCATCATGCCCTGAGTGTGGATCGCTGCTCAGGGTGGGTCTTCAGACTGGGTGACCTTGGTTCACTGTCATCATGCCCTGAGAGTGTGGATCGCTGCTCAGGGTGGGTCTTCAGACTGGGTGACCTGGTTCACTGTCATCATGCCCTGAGTGTGTGGATCGCTGCTCAGGGTGGGTCTTCAGACTGGGTGACTTGGTTCACTGTCATCATGCCCTGAGTGTGTGGATCGCTGCTCAGGGTGGGTCTTCAGACTGGGTGACTTGGTTCACTGTCATCATGCCCTGAGTGTGTGGATCGCTGCTCAGGGTGGGTCTTCAGACTGGGTGACTTGGTTCACTGTCATCATGCCCTGAGAGTGTGGATCGCTGCTCAGGGTGGGTCTTCAGACTGGGTGACTTGGTTCACTGTCATCATGCCCTGAGTGTGTGGATCGCTGCTCAGGGTGGGTCTTCAGACTGGGTGACTTGGTTCACTGTCATCATGCCCTGAGTGTGTGGATCGCTGCTCAGGGTGGGTCTTCAGACTGGGTGACTTGGTTCACTGTCATCATGCCCTGAGTGTGTGGATCGCTGCTCAGGGTGGGTCTTCAGACTGGGTGACTTGGTTCACTGTCATCATGCCCTGAGTGTGTGGATCGCTGCTCAGGGTGGGTCTTCAGACTGGGTGACTTGGTTCACTGTCATCATGCCCTGAGTGTGTGGATCGCTGCTCAGGGTGGGTCTTCAGACTGGGTGACTTGGTTCACTGTCATCATGCCCTGAGTGTGTGGATCGCTGCTCAGGGTGGGTCTTCAGACTGGGTGACTTGGTTCACTGTCATCATGCCCTGAGTGTGTGGATCAGACTAGTGCTGCTCAGGGTGGGTCTTCAGACTGGGTGACCTGGTTCACTGTCATCATGCCCTGAGTGTGTGGATCGCTGCTCTCAGGAGTGTGGGTCTTCAGACTGGGTGACTTGGTTCACTGTCATCATGCAGTGAGTGTGTGGATCGCTGCTCAGGGGGGAGTCTTCAGACTGGGTGACCTGGTTCACTGTCATCATGCCCTGAGTGTGGATGGAGGGTGGATGGGTCTGCTGCTCAGGGTGGGTCTTCAGACTGGGTGACCTGGTTCACTGTCATCATGCCCTGAGTGTGTGGATCGCTGCTCAGCTCATGCCCTGAGAGAGTGTGGGATCGTTGAGTCAGACTGGGTGACCTGGTTCATCAGACTGGGTGACTTGGTTCACTTGAGTTGTGAGAGTGTGGATAAGCTGCTCAGGGTGAGTCAGATGTAATCATGCCCTATTTCATGCCCTGAGTGTGTGGATTGCTGCTTTAGCACATCAATTGTTTATCAGGTCCTATTATTTGAAGGTCACTGTGATGTTGTTGGAATCCTGCTGAGTAATGTGTACAAACCATTATACCCAAGGAACACTATGTATAACCCTGTGTGCAAACTTTCATATGACTTATATTTTGTTTAATCATATCTGATGCCATGTTGGGAAGAATGTGAAAGTTAATAATCACCCATTTCATTGTGATTAAAATCTCCAAAATCTCAAGAATTAAGAAATGGAAAACATTATTTTTCAACAGCATTTTATTTGTTTTGATCCCTCAGAAATGAGACAGGTGTTGAGAACAACAAATTGTTCACTTCACACCCTCGGGGCTCAAACACATCTGGATGCAAAATCAGTTAGCTGAAAGCACATGTAAAATCTCCAACAGTAAACGTTATATATTGCTGAATCATATCAGACAATCTGATTAAAAGGATAACACATAAGTCTCTGTTTAAAAATAGAGTGTTAAACACACTATAAATTTATTATACATAATACACAAATGACAGCAGATCATCTTAACTGGGTAACAATTAAATAACACACTAATAACACTACCCCCATGAACTGCAAGTCCCACTGGCAAGGTGGAGTCCTGTTACACACCGGATACAATCTGACATTTTGTCGCACAAATATGCAGATTTGCAAGACGTGAAATTTGCATGACATGTGAAACACTGTTGAGTATCTTTGAAAGAAAAATTATCCCTGTCAAAAGCAGACTGGCACAGAAGAGTTTGTGAACTGCCCACACATAATGAAACCGATCCTACGGCACACATGTATCTGTGTAGCTCGATAATCTCGACTAATGTTGGACTCAGAAGTATGGCAGGTTATATTCAAAACATTCAACACATCCAACATTTGCACACAGTCCAATTAAAGTCCATGAGTTCATATTCAGAGCATCCGACTTAATGTAGCCATTGTATGCAGCAAGTAACTTAAGAGTTATCAGCGTTTGTTTAAAACATGAACATGACAGGCTTAATTATTACTGGACCTTATCTACTTGCCCAATGCAGTTTACATACCGATATGTAAACATCTATGTCCTGCCTGCTTCCAGACCAACCTTGACTTCTACACTGGAGAGGACCGGTTCATGGTAGTAACAAAATTATATATATTTGCAATTGAACTAATATATATCACAGGGCTTGTTACTTACTGCTGTTGCCACTCCTTTTCTCCATTTCTCCGTCTGTTTTGAAACCGGCACAAGATACTTTAAATATTATAAACCAAGCATTGTCAGTATCATGACACCAGACCAGCACATTCACACTAATCCCCAAATATGTAAAACATAGTATTAAAGTAACAGCAAATATAACATACAACTGTAAAAATGGAGATTCTGACTAAATATTCAGATATCTGAGCATAACATAATATCATACAATTTTCATGTTCATATTGAGGGGTCAGTCATCTAATATTCTTAGGGATCTTATGCCTTAAGACTTAAAATATGTTTACCCCAACACTTGCATCAAATCAGCCACCATGTCTCATGAACAATTTCATATTTTTGTGGGAAACAAGATATTGTATTTCCTGCACCTTCACAACTATCAAGCGATCAACCCTGAAGAGGTAACCCTGAACCAGTAATGCCCCAACATATAAGAGGTAGTAGACAGGTTGATCAGACCCCACATCTGGCTTCATTCACTGTTGTTGCATTCACCTTTAGTAAACATCGCCTTCCTACTATGCAAGTGCAGTTGACATGTGAATCTGTAGAACTTGTGTGTGAGATAGTGTTGGGAATTGGTTAAAACCTCATAATTGATGATTGCTTCATTACAACCGATCAATCATCAAAATAATTGGTTAGCGTCATTTATGAAATTTTCCTGGATTTTTTTATTTATTTTTTTGTTAATGAAAAAAAAAACCAATGAAAAAACATGTAGTTCTTTGGGGGTTTTTTTGTGGCAAATTTCACATCTCGAAAGGATTACTACTTAACTAGTATGTTAGGAACATAAAATTCCTTGAGTCTTTTAAGATAAATTCAATCATGACTTGGAACAAGCTTGTAGTAGTTATGAAATGTCACTTACAATACCAACCTTGTGAAAAATATTGTTAATGCAAAAAGTGTTCCAGAATTGTTTGTGTTCGATTATGAGAAAACATGATCGATTGCTTGGTCGCTTAGTCACTGCGACCAATCTTCGATCATTTCAATTAATCGGACCACCACTAGTGTGAGAACCATTTCTCAGTGTTATGGCAACGATGAACTGAGAAGCATCTCATCTGCTGATCACAAAAATAATATATCCATATCTCTTGAAGTCTTGTTAGTCTAATGTATTCACTCTGTCTGTTAAATTGCATTCGTATGGTTGTGTTTGTTAAGTGTTGCACACAACCAGTTGTACACGCATTGTTGACAGCACGTGTATCCAGCCTGCCTCCCAAACTCTTGGTACTAAGGTCCGCGGTGGTCAAGGTAGAGATTTCTTATCTGGAGCAACAAACCTGAAATCAAACCAATATATCTTCTTAGGTATAATTCTTAAAATTTCAAAATAGCTGTCGTTCAAGCTGTGGTCAGAGGTGACACCGTATGCAGAGAGGCAGAGAGTTTAGCTTAACAATTTCATTTACAGCATGTCAGTTGAATGTTAAGGAAAGCTGAAAGGGAAGCATCTCTTGCACATTTGCTACACAAGAGGTTCAATGTATCTTAAAAGTAAAACAATCTGCCAGTTTGAAGTTTGTAAAGCTGAGATTATTATAGATGAAGAACTACTTAACATCACAATGGTCAACTCAAACCATGAAAACATGTTTCATAAAGACATTAACTGGAGAATCATCTGATATATATACTGAATCATTCATAAGGGACCTGTCATTATGATCAGGCAAGGTGGGTCACAGGGAATAAGGGGTCACAAAAAATATCACGCATGTTTTGCGTGGGTCATGTAAAAAATTGAACATTTTTACTAAATGCATTTATATATGTCTCTTTCCTCAACTTAGGAGGAATACAAGACATGAAAACTGGTGAGAGTGTTTAAACACTTCTATCAGGGGACCTCCAGTGACTGAACACTAGACAAAGATGCATGAGTCAGGTGATGCGACTGCAGGCAGCAAATATCAGTAGGGTCTGTAGATAATGAAATGTAGATGATCACTGCCATCATGAGACAAAATAATAAGTTTCCACTTTGTTTTCTGTCCTGATATCGAATGGCTGATTGACAGCAACAAGGTATTCCTGTCAGAATTGATGTCACAAGAAACGGTATGAACAGAGTCTACTCTGCCACAGAATAAACATTGTTAAAAGAAACTTACTGAAACCCATTCTGAATTATAATTTTCATGGTATCTTGAAAGGTGTATACACATAACCTTCTCCTCCATAGAATTCCTGGCTCACAAGAAAGGCTATGCATGGAACATTTTCTGATTTAGAATCCCCATTGTCACAAAAAGTATACACAAACTATTCAGCATTAGAATTTCAACTGTCACAATTAAGGGATATACACAAACTATTCAGCCTCAGAATCAGCATTGTTACAGGTGACTCTCTGAGCATCCCCATGAAGTTTACAAGAAGCAGGATGTACTGACTTGTGCCTTGCGTCCTCCCTGAAGAGGGTGTCCTTGTTATAGTACTGGAAGGGCAGGTTCTTGTCCACTAGATGCTGACTCTGCTGCAGGAACGCCTCAAACTCATCCCCCGGACACCGCTGCAACGCATCCCACACCACGTGGATGAAGAACAAGGTCAGGGTCTCATGGTAGCCCGTCTTTAACTAGAGTAGAGAGCACATGTTATGTAATTTATCTGACTTGAAACAAAGCTATAATTGACAGTATGAGTACCAAGCCAAGACGTGAGAGTATGATTTTCAGTCACCAAATCATTGCAAGTTTGTGTTTCAAAACATATAGCATCAACATTCTACATGGTCCCAGGGTTTAATAACACTCAGCTGATAATGGGAGAATCTAACTACTGTGGAGTCCCTTGAAGGGAAGTATCTGTAACACAAGAGAGTAATCTACCTCAGATGAAGTCTACTAGATGAACCAAAGTATCCAGAGTTTATCCTATAGGACCGAATCACAGTCTAAAACATTTGAACAATAGCAGTGCACAATAAAACTTACCTTCGACTTATTCTGCTCATTGAATTTCTGAATTCCTAATCTGTAACATTAAAAATATTCAGACGATTAAATCTGACTGTATTTTTTTAAATAAGTAGGCAATTTGAACAGTATTTCTGTTGTGCCGCAGCATTTCACTTGTGGGGGGAACTTTCAACACTTTTATAATACCCATGGTAATGCTGAGAAATAGAGAAATGTAAACAGGCTGAATCTGGGAACCCAAGACAAAAGGTTTCCGGTAGACCTTGGGACGCAATCTTGCAATCTTGGCATATAAGACACTTGTGTGCCCCTTGCCACATCTCACTTGATCTTCCAAAGGGAATAGGATTTGTCACAGAAACGCCAAACACACTACCTACTGAGTGAGTGAGGGCGTATGGTTTTACACCGCTTTTAGCAATATTACAGCAATATCACGGCAGGGGACACGAGAAATGGGCTCCATACTTTGTACCCATGTTGGAATCGAACCCGGGTCTTTGGCGTAAGGAGCGGCTGCTTTAACCACTAGACCCACAAGATCCCACCGCCCCACTTTACCTACTGAGTACAGGTACACCATAAGATGGGATCAAGTAAATTATACACAAGTCTGATTGTGGAAAGAGACTCACTTGATGTAGGGTGTGGCTCCATCATGGCCGTATTCTCGGAGGTAGTTCCAGGCCATTCGTAGGTGAGCCTCATGTGTCCAGTCCTCGAACGGCAGGGTGGCGTCTTCAAATGCCTTGATGAAAACTTCATCACTTATTGAACGGAATGACCTGTTAAAATTTTTTTATGTTAATATAACAGATTGCATCATTATATGTTTTTCTTGGACAGTTTTTTAGATGTTACCTACACCAGTGTTACAAGTTCTATGTAATGTTAAAAGAGGTTCCCTTTCTTACTATGGCCATAACGACATTACTATAAAGACTTAAATTACACAGCTGCTAACCCGTGCCCCAGAGCAATCTTGCTGAGACGACTGTTAGCAGCGTTAAAATTTAGACATGTATATGAAGATATTTTGTGGGCAGGTAAGTTTTGGTCAGGGCTGGCAAGTTTTACATCTAACCAGCCCTGTGGCCTGGCTGAAATTTTTTGGGAGTTTCATACCCCGCTGTTAGTCTTCCATGTAAACACTGCTTGAGACACTTGAAACGAAAAGACAATCATAAATCCTTTACTATAACACTGACTTACCATACAGGCAGTGTTAAGATCACTTTGAGGAACAATGACAGCTACTACTTTACTACAATGTAAGCTCTTCAGACAGCTTAGTTGAATAGCTTACTTTGTGAAGTAGAGAAGAGGGTCCATCTGACTCTCAGAGATGCTGGTGCCATGAACTGTGCCGTACCAAACATGGTGGTCTCCCACAGTGTGGACGGAGTGTGTGCCACAGAGGAAGACTGCCAGAGACCCCAGGATGATGGGCAGCCCCTGAACACAAAACCAGCATGTCAACAAGGAAACCCTGCTTACATGTGCACAATACACAAAAATATCACCATTATCCAACAAAATTATTATTAATATTTATCTGATTGCATTTATACTTGAAAAGTATAAAAGACCCTGTTTCTATGTAATTGATCCCAAAAGTTTTTATGTGTTATCTATCCCTTGTTGACTGAGCTGGGGTATCACTGTGTGTAAGAGACTGAAGCCCAGCCTACCTCTTCTCCCTGAAAGTGAGGAACTTTGTCAAACTGACACTGATCATCTGTGGCTGTAGTGGAGAAATGGATGGCATGACGAATCTGGGGAGAAACAGGAGAATCTTCAGTCAAAGTAAAGTTATAACAAAGAATCAGTAGCATCTGTAACAAGTTTCATGTGTCTGGAGTGATTTTGGGTTGTTTTAGCTTTTATCGGGATAGCTTTTATCAATATTTAAAGTATCAAAGTTGGGGACACCAGAAAATTACTTCAAACATGTCCCCAGTGGGAAGATTCAACCTCGGACCTTCAGCAAGACCTTTAAAGAGCAAAGGTTTGAATCTTTAGGCTACCCCACTGCCTCCATTTGCCTGGACTGAAGCAAAAATTTCACATGGCCACAAGTCTGTTAGTCTAAAATAGTAAAAATATGAGTGAGTAAGTATGGTTTTACACTGCTGTCAACAATATTCAAGCAATATCAAGGCGGGGGACACCCAAAATGGACGTCACACATTGAACCAACGAGGGGAATTGAACCCGTGTTTTCAGCGTGATGAGCGAATGGTTTTAACCATTAGGCTACCCCATTGTCCCAGTACAAATAGGAAAAGTCAAACTTTCTACCAAGATCTAGTCATAATAACTTATCATGGTTTGATTTTTCTCATCCGATATAATAATTTCAACATTTAAACTTGTTAGCTGCTACTTTAGAACTGAACTTATTTAATGAAATTTTATAGCTTACTTGGTCTTGTCCCAAAACATGGACTGCAAATTGTTCTGTTTGTTGTAGCAGTTCATGCATTCGACTGAAAACATACAAATACATTCACAGATCAATTTTATGGCTAAAAACATTTCAAAACAACAAACCTGACATTTCCAGTACAATAATCATTGTATCATATGGCACTGTTTTCGTCACCACTATGTTAAATTTTCAGCTTAAAGGGACTTAACGTCAAAACTGATTCAGGCCTCAGACATTTACCACTAAAGTGAAATCCATGGGCACCAGCATGGTACTGACCAACTTAGAAACAAAACGGCGTGAATATCAAGGTTTTTGTGTGCCCTAAGGATGCAAGTCTGCACAGAAAACTGCAGCACTTTAGATGAGGCGGCTACCCGTGCACCCTAAACCTAATCTGAAAGCTACAAGGCAACATCGTAGCCATGTTTAAAAAAACAATCTTTGAATTAAGATGAACGTAACTTCCATCTTTAACATAGACATGACAGTCACAGCACTGAGATCACTTTCTGGAACAGGGTCCCCTTAGAACAATACATTTCATAAGTTTACTGTCTATTTAATGTGACGTTAATGTTTTCATAATGTTTCAAGTAACAACTAAGCTTTATCTTCAACATGTAATCTTTGACTTAATTTCACCCCCCGACAGAAGACTAACCTGTGTTTATGTAGACAAAAAGAGATGATAGGCGGGGCAAAAGAAACACTGGAGAAAGTGCTGCAGGTGACTCCTCGTTTGTGCCAAGATCCAGCGTCGGGTGTATGCTGTGCTGATGTTACAACTACCACTGTAACAGCAATAAACATGGGACTGGAGGGGGGAGTAGATCCCAGGTACAAACACATGAACAGAAGCAACAAACACATCAGTTTCAGAGCCCTGTTAAACAAAGGGATTGCAGTATAACAACAGCATGAGATTTATTATCACCTTAGTGCTACGCTTGAATATCTTGACAAGACTAAACAAAGCAAAAACGTAAGTTACTCATCAGGGATGAGAATGGGTATGAGTGAAAAATTGGGAAAATGATCGGGGGGGTCATGCGGGTCGATTCACAAGAATGACCCCAGTGTGATCAAATCCACGGAATTCATCTTATCCCTGTGTATTTCATGATAGTTCTGAGTAACCTGGGATAGATTCAACAAATTTTGACTCTGCTGTTGGCAGTATGATCAGATACCCTTGTATTTTACTTAATTTTCATGATTTTATCAATTTTTAGAACAGTCCTGTATGTTATGACAATATTAGCATAATCCCTTATTTTGTATTGAATGTCAAAGATATTAAACTCATCTGAAACTCCATCATGATGATGTAATGTTCTTGTCAGAATTTCTATGAATGTGCTGAACTAATAATGTATCAGTTTCTATGTGTTTTATCCAACCTTGCTGGGGGACTTTCCTCATGGCCTTGCGGAACAGCTCCACTGAGCCAATCTCTGTGGCTTCTCTCACAGCCCTCCTTTTTCCCGTCTTTATCAAATATTCAGGTATATCTGGAACTGAACAAACTACTAGATACAAACATTTTTCATTGTTGAAATGTTTTGAAGGCATTGAAAGCCTTTCTTGTATATAGATGTACTTCACATTACTTCATGACTACCTGTGAAGGTCCGGTCAGAATGTTGATCTTCAGTAATCCATGCTTGTCGCAAGAGGCGACTAACGGGATCGGGTGGTCAGGCTCGCTGACTTGGTTGACATACATGTCATCGGTTCCCAATAGCGCAGATCGATGCTCATGCTGTTGATCACTGGATTGTCTGGTCCAGACTCGATTATTTACAGACTGATGCCATATAGCTGGAATATTGCTGAGTGGGGCTTAAAACTAAACTCACTCACTCACTTCATGACTAAGCACTTATTTCAAGTGGCATTTCAAAACTGGTATGATGGTAATTAGTTTCAATGTTTGTCAAGTAGATGAGAGTTTGAAATGCATTCTTGTAGAACACCTGGTCATTGTGTGATCTGGTTATACTCTGTCTGCACTGTCTAATCAGAGTCAGAGACAACAAGCTGAGACGTCAAACAACACTCACTCTGTTGTAAACGGGAAATGTCATCTCAACATTTCAAGTTCAAGAGAGTTACTCACACTTGGATTTAGAACAGAATGTTCTTGGTGCCGCTGGAGATGATTGTCGTGTACGTAAAAAGACTAGTGGCTGTCGACACGTGCATCTACAGAAAGAAAATGCCATTTCAGAAGTCATGTATCACAACCCGATGCCCTAACTCAATCATTGGCCCACATGTGGATAGACACTCTGTAGAAATCGTTGAAGATAGGACAGCTAATAATATATTTAGTACAGTAACCGAGATACGCAAGATTGTAGAACAAGTGTCTGAATGGTTGGTACTGAATTCCGTCTATACACTAAGCACATTGATATCGCGCTGACAGAGACGCGAACCAGCTTAAAACGCGACATCTACTGGGAAAACCCCTCCGATCACGTGATGACGGGTATTTCCATGTTTGCAAACTTCGTGTTTATGTTGAAGTCTTCATCCATGCATGGTAGCATGACTTCCGTTATTCCATCGGCGTTGAGTTATTGCTGCAAACGGTATATTCATGGATCAGCGAAATATTCAAAAGGAAAAAAGATAAGCTCCCAACTATGGTTGATGAGGCAACAAAAGGACCCGTACGTCGAGAAAGCTGCAGCAGATAATTATCTGTGTCGCAGCGCCTACAAGCTGCTGGAGATAGATGACAGACACAAGCTGCTTCACCCGGGAGGCGTGGTCATCGACTGTGGTGCAGCGCCTGGTTCCTGGACGCAGGTCGCACTGGAGAGAGTCAAGGGTGAATATATTCAGTGCTTAAATTCCACCAATGCCTTTGTCCTATTTTATTATTAATTTATTAAAAAAATTTATAAACAGAATACTATCAGGCGTCTCACCGAAAGAAATGAGCTCGTGCCTTGAATGATCACATTTGATGGAATAAGAGAAATGTGAAATCAAAGTTGAAAACAAAATTTAATGAAAAATATTAACACTTATCTGGAATAATGCCAGATACCTATGAATACCTTCTGAAGTAGATGAACACCCAGTACAGTGATGGTTCAAGGATTTAAATACCATTTTCAATTAACATATACCATATTATGATTACAGCTCATTGTCAGCGCACAATATTTTTTCCATACTACTATGCATGTCAATTCCCCTGAAAAGACATATTTGTATTCACCATCCAATCCTACAACTGTACCATTTTACATGTACATATGACAGGCTAGCTAGTCATCTTACCATAAATACTAGATCAGATCATCGACTGATTTGAACTAGACATCAGATGATGATTGGCACTGTAACTGATGACAAGAACCTTTGTACAACAACAAGATGAGCTGTACATGTATGTCAATGTATAAGAAACATTGGTCTGTATATGTGTATAGATATGAAAATTGTATGTAGATCTGTAATTTATCAGTTTAGTACTGAATATGAATCAGGCTTACCCTTTGTGAATATTCTGCCTTCTCATTGTCAGTTTCAACCATGCTTATCTTAATAAATGTTATCATTTCATTGCTGTGATATATTAATTAATAACATGTTATTCATGTATTTTGGATTTTCAGGAAGAAAGACAAATTTGGATTTTCGTGGGAGTGGCTGTGTGGGTTAGATCGGCTGACTTGTCTGTATTCAGAGCTTTCGGACATAGAAGCTGTGCCACTTAGTATCAATACAGCATTGGCATGAAAATCTTACTGAGAAACTGATATTGTGATGTCCAAAGACAACTGACATTCATTCTTACCCTGCATCTGATAAAGAATTTCACGTAACATCTGGTTTAGTATCCGAAAGTATAGTATGCATAGCCAATACCTGATTGCAAATGAATATGACAAAAGGCATTCACAGGAATTCCCATCCTGGTTTTCATATTTGTGGAATTCTGTATTAGAGCTGACTTCAATATAATATGATAATAATAATACACAAGCCCCATCAATTACATTATCAACCACTGAAGTCTGTTAATGGAAATACCAAATCAATTTTCAGTCAACTGCAATGAAATCACTTCACTCACAGTTATGACAATTTATCTTTCAGAGCATGGACAAGTAGTCAGTATAGACCTGCAGCCAATGACTGCCATACATAAGGCTGTCATCTTGAGTGAAAGAGACTTCACTGCACCAGAAACTCAGGATGAAGTAAAGCAGCATTTATCAGGCAGGCTGGCCGACCTTGTTATGAGTGACATGGCTCCCCAGGCAAGCGGAGTGAAGTCCCTTGATCATGACAGGATCATCAGCCTGTGTGTGGAGACAGTAAAGTTCAGCTGTGTCGTGCTGAGGGAGGGGGGCGCTGTGCTGTGTAAACTGTGGCAGGGGGCTGAGCAGCCTAGGTTGGAGCATATCATGAAACAGTTATTCACAACAGTGAGGGTGGTTAAACCAGATGCCAGTCGACCTGATTCAGCAGAGATATTTCTCCTTGGAAAAAACTTTACTGGGAAAAGACCACCTCAAAAGAGCTGACAAAATGCTGTTTTGTAATAAGCTGACCAATAAAAGGTTAGCTTTGAGCTGATGTAGATTGGTAGATTGGTGTAGTTGTATACTTTTTTGAATTCTTAATTTATGAGACCTTTTATCTTTTGACCCAGAGGTTATAGCTTTGAGTTGGTCCCCACCAGCCTGAACTCTTCATATGAGGCCACTTCCCGGATCATTGGGTCATTGCTGCTGATATCAATCACCAGTTTGTCTGGTCAAGACTCATTTATCTACAGGTTACATCATGTAGCTGGACTAGTGCTGAGTGTGGCGTTAAACAACAAACAAACCCTACCTGTGGAAATGATAGGTCAATCTGACTGTAGCAGCCAGGCCCCATGAAGCAAGAGACATGTGGCTCTTTCCATTAAGAAACACATGTAATGTCAAACAATAGGTTTATTTCCTTGAATGTCATATAAACTCTTAAAATACAATTAGAAAATAGGATTATGTATTATGTTTGCATTCGCATAATTAACATTCATTATGTCCAAATAACATGAGAAAAACTCAAACACCATGACAACATATGAGTTATAAAACAAGCTTAACAAGCTGCCAATTCATTAACAAGCAATGGTAATGCATCACAGCAGAACCATGAACAAATATAATATGGATGGAAGCATACCGACATTGGATCATAGAAAAAATACTTTACTGAGTACAGGGATATATCTAGGATTCCAAATGTTTTTAATGTTCCTTTTTATAAGAATATAGGACATTTTTAATTCAGATTGGGAATTGTTGCTGCATGTGACCAAGTATCAGCCTCAAAATATATTCCTGAGGTACTGATGTAACTGCTGCTGTTATGCTGAATATAGATGACATTGTAATTAATATGGTTAGCTGGAGAGAGTCATACAAGTCATGGGGGTTTACAACTTGTTGAAACCCATGAATATGCATATGGTGCTGGCCAACTAACTATCAACAAAGAGGTTATCTACGATTTGACCAGCAGATTCTGGCATAGCAAATAACACGCTACTCTGTACACCAGTCAGTTGGAACAATGCAAGAGACATAATAGTGATAACCTTTTTCATCTTTAAGGGAAGCCCATTGTTCACACAGGGGTTCAGCAGAATGTTGAGCAATCAAGAATAGCAATATGATAGTCGAGAGAAAACATATTTAATGTCCCTATCCAAAACTAACAAGAAAAGACAGTGATAGGAAATAAATAAAAGGGAAAACAATGTTACTATGTTATAGGTTTGAATGGCCATCAGTAACCTTTTAGTTTGTAATTACAACAAGATATCATACTTGGAGCAAAGTAGTGTTAAAGATTGTGACCCAAACCCAGGTACTGGGCAGGATGTAAAGCTAGGTATGAGGTATATCATTATGACATGTACCCAGACATCATGTATGAGATGTATGAATATAACACACACACATGAGGTGTAATATTATAAACACATACCCTGAAGTTAGGCATGAGGTATGAGATTATAAACACATACCCTGAAGTTAGGCATGAGGTATGAGATTATAAACACATACCCTGAAGTTAGGCATGAGGTATGAGATTATAAACACATACCCTGAAGTTAGGCATGAGGTATGAGATTATAAACACATACCCTGAAGTTCGGCATGAGGTGTAAAATTATGACACAACCCCATATGTTGATATGATCATGACAAGACATTTGGTATTATTGTATTTGGTCCAACCACCCATTCCTCTAAGGCATAAGGCATATTTGTATAAGGAATGTAGCAAGCAGCCAACTGTCTCAGAAGCAGAGTGCCATTCTTCTATAAATTATATGTAAATCCAAAAGACCTTTGGCTGGTTAAATATTACGGACTGGTATCATGCATAAGAAGAGCATAGTGTCAGATCTCTAGTTCTATAAAGGAGTTTTGTGCATATCTCACCTTTTGATCATGAGAGCATGTTCATATGCATTATTACATTACCAATCACTAATCTTACAAAGGTTCCAACAAAGATTATAAAGGTTCCAACAATTTGTCACAAAGCAGCAAACAAGCCCTAGTACACTCTCTCCCATACAGCCTAAAGCTAAATATGGACACATATGGGGTGGCATGTTGATATTAAAACACAGATAGGTAAATCAATGAGAAGAGTTGACTAGTACTAGTATGCTACACCACAAAACCTTATGTCTGATATTGTTAGGACACATACTCTCCACTAAAACCACCTGTCCACTGCACATCTACCAAAAAATGAATGTGTGTGTGTGTGTGTGTGTGTGTGCATGCGTGCGTGCCTGTGGGAGTGTGTGGGTCTGAGTGTGTGCATTTCTGTCTGTGTATGTGTATTAGTGCATGTCTCTGTGTGTTTCTCTGTTTGTCTGTCTGTCTGTGCCTGTGTGCATGCCTGTGTGTCTCTGTGTGTAATAAATATCAACAATCAGTGTGCATCACCCTGGGGAGTATACAGCCCAAGATGCCTGTGAGGTGCATTAAGTTTCAGTCACATGACCATCTCTGGGGGCCCATTCAGTGTTGGGTGATCAGGCTACAGTCCGTTTGATTTCATTTGAGGCCGATGAATTGCTCACTAGCACAAAATCTAATAATTGCATCAAAACCACATTTTGCAGTCACATGAAATCGACAGACCAACTCTGATGATTTGTCCCATAATTTTGGACACCCGAACAAAAAAATTGTTTAACAAACAATTATTACTTTGTTGTCTATTTTTTACGAGGGGTAACCACTTGCTGGTAGAACAGCCAGGTAATCAACAAGCATGTGTAGTGAAATTTCAATTTCACACATGCAACACACACACCTGGCTGTTATACCTGCAAATGGTACCCCCTCGTAAAATATAGCGAAAAATGACAACAAAATAATGGTCATTTGTTAGACAACTTTTTTATTCGGGTGTTTTAACTTTTGAGACAAATAATCAGAGTTGGTCTGTCGATTTCATGTGACTGTGCAAAATTTGGTTTTGTTGCAATTATTAGATTTTGTGTTAGTGAGCAATTCATCCGTCTCAAATGAAATCAAACGGACAGTAATTTGAAATTACTTGCCTGAGGAGACACCACTTCAGTGTTGAGCCGGACTGAAGCCAAAGAAACTCTCAGGAGTCAAGCTGCCAACAACTCTCTGTGAACAACTTCACCCGCTTTGTGACCTGTAAGTTGTACACTGGACCACATGCCGCCTAGATGACAACCTCTCATCTATCAGCAGTGCTTTAATGACAACTAAACAAGACAAGGATATGGCAAGGCACAAGCAGGACACAAGACTTATGAGATCAGATGCAAATACAAACAAACAAAGATAAATATTCACATATCTATAAACAATGAAAGCCTAAATACCCTGTTATTAACGGATGATATCACAGCACAGTTTGCATAGTGTAGCACAAAGGGCAGTCACAGCACGCTGGCAGCATGGGAATGGCCATTGCAAAATATTGAGGAAGGAGGAGATCAAACAAAGGTATAACAATTTAAACCCTGTACAATTATGACTAAAATATTTTCATACATTCAAGCTCTGATGGAAATACAGCTTCCTGAGCAATGACCAGTTGAAATGTCTATAAACAGGACAGGACTGAACCAAGGATATGTCCACTGAAATGCCTGTGTCTTATCACCATGGTTCCACAGTTTATGTAGAGGTCTGTGGTAAGACGTTTGTGACATATTCTCAGACCTGCAACCATATACCCAATGTCTACACTTACATATTGTAACAATATTAAACACAATATTCTGTCTGTTTAGTGTACAGACCCTAATTATCAACAGCAATTATTTTCATAGGCAAATCTAAAATCTACCATGCAGTTGTCCTTGTTGATATTATGGACAAAGAGATTTCACAATCCACCACAAGACCCTTGGTCTGAGTCCAACATCCCAGCGTGATGACACACGCCAAACATTAAATGGAATGTATGAATAAAACATTGCACATTACAAGATGGACTACATCTGAAAATCTCAAATAGAACCATACACATATTTGGTTAAGTATCTTCCATGTTAAAACTGTTGATGCTGCCTGAACTACAGATTCTTGGTGCTCCTCTGTACATACTGTGATTATTACATGTGTCACTTCCACAGCACTGGTAGGAAAACACTTCAGATGTCTCAGTTGACACATTATCATTAATCAGTTGGTTCCAAATGGTAAGTATTATTTCACATCACAAAACATTAACCCAGAAATACTTATTATTTTTGAACTTAAGCAACACATGAGGTCCGATATATTTTGTTCAAAACATATCACAGAAATAATTAATATGTTACTGACAGGTAGTGAACTGACCAATAATAATTACTTGATTTATATATGAACCTTTAAAAACATTCAATAATATGCAAAACAGTCTTCCACCAGTCGCAGAGACTATATTACTGACATCTTGTAAACACTATCCATGAACAGGGAAAACCATGCATTGATATATATATTAACAGAACGTGAGTCAAATTCAACAACAAACTAAACAAATATGTCTGAAAACAGCAAAGTAATGACCACAGACATAGCCTGATGATTCTTTATGTCTGTTGTGGTGAACATATTAAAAACTTCTTGAACAAATTCTTCACTGTCGGAAACAAATAGCGAAGTTTCAGCTTCATTGGTTCAGAGGTCTCTGTGGAGAGAAAAGATGGATGTTGGACAATCAGGCCTTCATCAGGTGAAGCAAGGTTTTATGCTGTTTTTACCAGTACTGTTAATGTGTCAGGAAATGGGCCATAATGAATAATACCCATGTGCAGTATCAAACCTGTACTCTCAGCAAGATTAGCAATCACTTCCTCTACTAGGCCTCCACACACTGCTGCCATTTAACTGGAGCTGCTGTACGCAGAATGGGTGTTCTGACAAGAGTTACTTTGATGGACTGTCCTTCCTTGGCATGGACAGTTGACCCCTAGGGTACACAGCCACCTGCACTGAAGGACTGGAAAACTTAAATATCTTTGGATATCTGGATATGTCCTGAAACAAACCATGAAATTGTCATTAGTTTCAATACAAGTAAAACTTGGTTAAGTCGATCTCTTTGAAATGAGTGAGTGAGTATGGTTTTACGCCGCTTTTAGCAATATTCCAGCAATATCACGGCGGGGGACACCAGAAATGGGTTTCTCATATTGTACCCATGTGGGGATTCAAACCCGGGTCTTCAGCATGACGAGCCAACGCTTTAACCACTAGGCTACCCCACCGCCCCCTCTTTGAAATGAGTTCTGCATAGTGTGAGTGAGTAAGTATGGTTTGACATAAGCAATATTCTAGCAGTACCTCAGCATGGAACACCAGAGAGTATCCCAACTTATTACCCACGTGGTCAACGTATGGGAGTTGCATACTAATCTCGTACGTCACACGTGTGTCGTATCGCGTTGACCTGTGTCGTAACGACTTGACCTGAGATTCTAACGATTTGATTGGATAACCGATGACCTCTCAGTTAGGTCATGTTGTGACGGAACTACTTTTTCATTCATAACAAACATGTGGATCCATTCATTCTACAACTAAATGCATTTTGGGAATGTAAACATCGCGAACGTTGCCGTGTCTCTGTTTTATTGTGAGTCGAACTGAGACATTATGACCGTCGAAAAACGTAAACGCAATGTTTCCACCAGTGATGTTAGCCGAATGAAGCAACTGCAAACCAAGAAACGGGTGCTACGGAGTAGTTTACTGTAGGAGGCTGTACGAGGGCGAAGACAACTGACATGCATCGTGACGTCGTTTACCAAGGCAGTGACGTCATTACAGTGGCGTCATGCAAATATTGTACTACAGTACAAAACTCTTCCGCAACCTCTTTATGAAACCGGTTTCGGTTTGAAACCAAAATATTAACAAAACTACGTTATTTTGTCAATTTAATGCATGTAAGATCGGGTAATAAATAAAATACCACTGTCGGTCTCATTACATACGAATTATACGAAACTGTGATTCCTATGTTATCTGACCTCGCTTTCGCTCGGTCAGATACCATAGGAAGGACACTCGTTTCGTATAATTCGTATGTAATGAGACCTCGTGTAGTATTCTCTATACCTTGTACTCATGTGGGGGTTCAAACCTAGGTTTTTTGGCATGATTAAGGAACACTTAGGGACCGTTCATAATTTATGGTTAGCTGGGTGACGATGGTTTTTATGGAGAAGTATGTACAATGTGAATGACAGTGACATATGTCTGAAGGGTATAATGATACTAATTAATCGAGTCTGCCTATCTGATCCATTAAGCTGCATCTCATAGCCAGTATAAGTAGGATTTGTCTATATTTATATGCTTAAGAATCACGTCAGCATGATACATTAACAAAATCTGACATAGTCTCACCTCATCCACAGTTTGGAGTTCGTCCAAAGCTTCCGACATTTCTTCGATAAGGGCTTGGGTGCAAAAGATCTAAAACAAATCATATTTAACCATATGACAATGTAAAAAAATGTTTTCAAAACCTTTCATATGCTCTGATTGTAAATCTATTTCACATTATGTAATGTCATATTCTTTTAACTGACTGGATGTAAGTGAGATGAAAAATATGATTCAATCACTATTGACATAAACCTTAGGGTGCTAATGAATTTCAATTAGACTTCTGATTCTGATTGCAAGTATCCCCGTGTTTCCTAACAGTCGAGATAAGTTAGAGTATGGACCTTTACCGTTGTGTTGCAATAAGCACTCCAAAAAGAATTGAGAAAGAATTGTTTAATAAAGTGGCCAAACATAGATGAAACAAAATAGTGATAGCTAGGCAATGATTTACCAGACTACGCTAGTGTTCTCTACAAAACACAGACTATGTGGTAAGACTTCCGCCCGTATCCCACCTAAATTTTAACAATGAGCAAACAATTCTTTGAGTAGCACTTTTAGAAATTGGATATATCTTTCAGTATGTTCAGGTATAATTAAAGAAACATGTTAAAACCCATCCTTATCAGATGAGGAATTATATACTCAGGTGATATTATTTGACTAGAATGAAATTTAATGGGGATACGGGCAGAAGTCTTTCCGATTATGTTGTATATTTGCAGTCTTAGTAAGGGTGCATATAAATATAGGTTACATACAGACTGCTTTAGACTCTGGTACTTATACAGCAAATATGATATGTGTCTTACCTGCAACACCACTTTCAGTTAGGGAGAAACATAAGCCATAAGTTTTAAACATGGTTTAACACCAATAATCGAATATATCAGCTATGTGATGGCAGTCTGTAAAATATCAACCTGGATCAGACAATCCAGTGATTGACATCATAAGCATTGATCAATGCAAATAGGATGCAATAACTAAGTCAGCAAGTCTGACCATCCATATGTTAGTTACCTGTGACAACAAGCATAGGTTAGTAGAGAGCAATTTTAACGTAGATATTCACAAGTTAAGCCTTAAGTATTCACAAGAGTCTGAAGGTTGGCTTAATGCTTCACACCTGTAAATCCGTGCCTACAGCCTTCATGGGCTGGACATCATTAACCAACACACTCTCATCATGTGTGGATGGGACCAGGTGGACCGCATGATTGTCTGCACTGCGGAAGATGAAAAATCTTCCCTTCTTTAATCTAGCTCTAAAACAAAAGAAAAATTAATTAATTCCAATATATTATCAACATGTTTCTATCAATACTTTTAACTACAATGACATGAAGACACTATCTGTGATGATACTATCTGTGAAGACACTATCTGTAGAAACACTATCTGTGAGGGCATCTGTGATGACTTCATCTGTGATGATACTATCTGTGGAGACACTATCTGTTATGGGTAGACAACAGCTAAATTAAGACACTATCAATGAAGACACTATCTGTGGAGACACTATACATAAAGACACTATCTGTGATGACACTATCTGTGAAGACACTATCTGTGATGACACTATCTGAGAAGACACTATCTGTGAAGACACTATCTGTGATGACACTATCTGTGAAGACACTATACATGAAGACACTATCTGTGATGACACTATCTGTGAAGACACTATACATGAAGACACTATCTGTGAAGACACTATCTGTGAAGACACTATCTGTGAAGACACTATACATGAAGACACTATCTGTGATGACACTATCTGTGAAGACACTCTGTGATGACACTATCTGTGAAGACACAATCTGTGATGGGTAGAAAACAGTCACATTAAGACACTATCTGTGATGACACTATTGTTACGAGGGGAGAGATCACACAACAATTGAAACTAACTTTAATACTGGCAGACTATATATATGTACAAATGTGCAAAACAAGTATCATTTGATATGGTTAAAAGTCTTACTTTGGATAAACAATTGTTCCTGTTCCATCACATTCCTCAGAATAAAAACACATAAATCCATCAAATGAAATCCCCTCTATGCCGACATGGCACATTCAGAAAGTCAGTTTAACTAGCCGACATGGTTAAACCTCTCATTTTGCTCCCGACCTGGGCACTGATTACTTTGTGTTTTAACTTGCTTGAGAAAGTCAAAAGCCCAAGCTACAATTACATAACATCATTGTTTCATTACCCCAGCTTACTTATAGACAATGGAGAGTGGTCACTGGTAAGCATAGCTTCTGAGTCATGGTGAACAGGTATTGTTGGGAATATAAATATAATTTAGAATCACTTCAAATGTATAATTATATATATACAGATTTAGATATATATATAGAGTCTGTGATTGGTAGAGGCCAGTTACATGGAGACACTATCTGTGATGATACTATCTGTGAAGACACTATCTGTAGAAACACTATCTGTGAGGGCATCTGTGATGACTTTATCTGTGATGATACTATCTGTTAAGACACTATCTGTAGAAACACTATCTGTGAGGGCATCTGTGATGACTTTATCTGTGATGATACTATCTGTTAAGACACTATCTGTGGAGACACTATCTGTGAGGGCATCTGTGATGACTTTATCTGTGATGATACTATCTGTTAAGATACTATCTGTGGAGACACTATCTGTGAGGGCATCTGTGATGACTTTATCTGTGATGATACTATCTGTTAAGATACTATCTGTGGAGACACTATCTGTGAGGGCATCTGTGATGACTTTATCTGTGATGATACTATCTGTTAAGATACTATCTGTGAGACACTATCTGTGAGGGCATCTGTGATGACTTTATCTGTGATGATACTATCTGTTAAGATACTATCTGTGGAGACACTATCTGTGAGGGCATCTGTGATGACTTTATCTGTGATGATACTATCTGTTAAGACACTATCTGTGGAGACACTATCTGTGAGGGCATCTGTGATGACTTTATCTGTGATGATACTATCTGTTAAGATACTATCTGTGGAGACACTATCTGTGAGGGCATCTGTGATGACTTTATCTGTGATGATACTATCTGTTAAGATACTATCTGTGGAGACACTATCTGTGAGGGCATCTGTGATGACTTTATCTGTGATGATACTATCTGTGGAGACACTATCTGTTATGGGTAGACAACAGCTAAATTAAGACACTATCAATGAAGACACTATCTGTGGAGACACGATCTGTGATGACACTATCAATGAAGACACTATCTGTGATGGGTACACACTTGACCACCATAGGCAGCAGCTCAGCAGCCTCTGCATCAAAACACAACTGGACATCCTGGATTGGCTCCACATGCTGGTCGTCCTCCTGGTCTGAGTCCTCATCCCGGACTATGTTCTCCTTATTGTCATTGTTGTTATCTGCAGGTGTGGCTCCTGTCTCCTTCATCTTGATACGTCTCTTAGGTGTGACATCACGCGACTCTCCTTTTCTGACCAAGAAAAACAACTCATGTCAAATCAAGACTTAAACTGACAAAATGGCCCTTGAAGTTACACCACCCTCTTAAGAAGGAACTGTTGAGATCATAGCTTACATCTTACCTAAAAACTCTCTACATACATGTACCATATGTAATTTTTATAACAATGAATACGTGGGGACCCTTCATGTTGTGTCTGTATTTGCTTCAAACAGTTCCCTCCTATGTGTACACAACATTAGTTATCCAGTATCTGATCCAGTTAGCCACCACTTTCATCTGGAGAACAATGCAACCATCTCCATCCTTCTTACTACTTACTTTGCAAATGTTTCCTCTCACATATGGATTTCAGCTGATAGGATGTCTATTTCAAGTGCGTTATTCAAACATGCTTCAAAACAAAGCCATTGAATGGGCCTGGGTATTAATTGTCATAGAATGAAACCAGTGATGTGTGGATTTGTACTTACAACAGCCTCCATGTGAATACGGCGGGTGACATGGCCCATATTAGACCCATCTTTCTCTATCCCATCCATCACCATCGCCTGTAAACTGGGATTCTTCTCAAACAGGGACTCCTTACGTGACATGTCAGTTACGAAGAATGGGCCAACACTGAAAATTGGTTATTATGAGATGTAATGGATATGTACATAGAGGATATTATATGAGTGCCCATGTCATCCTATGTTCATAATATGAGTGCCTAAATGTTGGTATTTCCCGAGCGAGAGCAAGGGATATATATCAATATTTAGGCACATGATATGAGCACGAATATAATGTTCTATTTATTACCCAAGATGTCAAATTGAGGAAAATACACCCAAATCTTCTTTCAAACATAGGCTGGCTACCCGTTGTCGCTGCATGTTGAGTCCACTGTCATAGAAGAAATGTGACGTCATAGCATTGTTCATGACGTCACGTCACCATGACAAAGTGAAATTTTGCCCTAGGGCATCATATGAAAAATATTAACCCCTATATTTTCGCCCTCTTAGGTAATAAATATCATTATTTCAAAATGCCCACCAACAATGATTGATAAATAGTTTTCTTTAATGTTAATTTCCACAATGCTGTTGGCAAATCAGCTGTTGAAATCAAAGGGGTCAATCTGACTTAAAACCTTAGAATGACCAATTAAAATGAGGTGAGGAATGACCAATTTTTTTTCTTGTTTTACGGATCCAGCGGTCGTATTTTTTAAAGAATAAGAAAACAAATATAAATTAATTTTCCACACTCAAATAATAAAATCCTAATGTTTTTATTGGCCAAAATTGTAAACTTACAAGATAACTCCTTTTAGATTGTTTTTTTTTGCCCCATATACACTTCATAAATTCCAAAAAGTAAAAGACTTTTAGTACTTAGAAGGAATATTACTTTGACAGGTCATTTTATTTTTATTTTGTTTCCCTCCTGCCTTTAGGTTTTCCGTGAACTAGTAAAATCTAGATATTTTTTATATTTGTATACTTATCCTGCATTACTCCTTAATGCATTTACTGCTTTCCCTTGACAAGACGAAGCTGTGCAATGGAAACATCGAAGAGAAGTTGTTCCAACTAAGCGAGCCGGCATATTGCCATTGCACTGCGCCCACGTGACCTGGAAGAAGCTGACGTCACACATCCTCACATTACTGCTGGATCGAAACATCTGAAGAAAAACATCGTGGGGAGGCAGCGGGCTACAAGACTGAGTAATGCAGGATAAGCATACAAATATAAAAAATATCTAGATTTTACTAGATTTTTTACCTTTTTACCTTATCCTGCATTACTCCTTAATGCATCTGTATCCGACGGAAAGGAGGCGGCCAAACCTTAAGATGGGATACTCATGATAAAAAGAAACCTCTCACACCACAGGAGATAATCTGGCAGTAGTTGTGGTAGATGAATCCCAAAGACCATCCCTGCCAGGATAAATGAGAGTGTGAGGAATGGAAGGCGTCCAGGTAGGATGGCAGTAAAAGAGGAGCAAACGCTACAATCTGAAACTGACCTTCCGACGTATGCAAACATCATGTAACCTGCTCGTCTAGGGTGACATACACAAAGAGAGTCACAAGGCTCGTTCAGGACTGCCGTGGAGTTAATGGCGATTGGGATTGGTAACCTGCTGTGCCACCACCAGGGGACCAAAACTGTGTACGCCCTCTACATCTTCCAGTGCCACGTCCCTCAAGTAGTGACTGGCGAAAACTATATCGGATTTCCAAAAGCATCCTTCCATGATGGATGTAGTAGAATATTACAATGGAGGGCCATCGTGGAGGCTACCGCTGTAATCTTATGAGGGTTGTTTGCCCAAGGAGGGTCCAAGTTGGCGGCTTCATAAGCCTGAAGAATGATGGCACGCAACCATAATGCCAAGGTGTTACGACTAACTTCCGCCTTAGATGACATGGAGACAGGAATGAAAAGTCATGTCCTTGCACCACGATGAGCCTTAGACCAACGCAGAAAACACCGCAGGGCACGGACCAGGCATAAATGAAGTTCTGCCTCATCCTCAGATCCCACAATAGAAGAGAGAGGGGGAATCGTGAAAGCCCTGTTGGGCTGTCCAGGGAGTTGATTTTTTGCGATGAAGTCCCAGCACAGTCCAAGGTGAACAGCTCCATGTGGGGTCTGTTCAAAATGAACACGAGTGACATCAAGAGCATGCAGCTCGCTCACCCTAGCTGCCGTGGCCAACACAAGCAGAAATACAGTCTTCTTGGTGAGATTGTAAAAAGATATGGTGTGAAGTGGCTCAAACCACGCCCAGGCGCCTGAACTTGGCCTTCTGGTCCTCTAAACGGAATGAACACAACAAAGCTTGCAACTCTGGAATCTTGGTCATCCTCCTGTCCTCAGGAACCACCAATACAGAGTTCAAAGCCACCAAATATGTCATAATAGTACTGCCCTTGAGGTGTCTATGATTCCGTAAAAACAGAAAAATTCAGCCAAGAATTGAGGTGAAGAGGTAACAGGATCCTGGTGTTTGGTCTTGCAAAAACTCTCAAAGGATCTCCATTTGTCATCATATAAACCTCGAGTAGAAGGCCTATGTGCCAAGGTTATGGCCCTTGCCGCTCTAGCTCAATAACCCTTGGCACTAAAAGCCCTTTGCAAATGTACCAGGCGTGCAGATGAAACTGACCTGGAGCCAGGTGTGGAAGCCTGCTGTGTGGGTGTATCAACAGGTTTGGCCACTGTGGCAGCCTTAGAGGCTCGCGGGTGACAAGCTTTCTTAAATCCACGAACCAACTCTTGGTTGGCCACCAAGGCGCAATCAAAATCAGAGAGATGGTGGGTCGCCCTGACCTTTTGCAGAATCCTGGGCAGAAGGACCGGGGTGGAAAAGCGTACACGCTTAGGTTTTCCCAAGGAATGCTGAGAGCGTCCAGCGCCCATGCTTGTGGATCCGGAACCGGAGATATGTAGGTTCGGATCTGAAAGTTCTGACTGGTGGCAAACAAATCTATGTCGAACGCCTCTGGGTGAAGCTTCCATTCCGTGGGTGCTACACTGTCCGGTCTGGAGTTGATGAGTTCGGCATGCTGAAGACGCAACTGCCAATGAGACACGGACAGAATGACTGCCTCCAATTCCAGATTGTTGATATGCCACTGGCGTTGGTCGGCGGACCACCGCACTGAGATGACCTCGCCCTTGGGATGCTCCCCAACCCTGGAGAGACACATCTACGAAGAGGCATAGAGTGGGTGTTAACTCGGTCAAGGAGACGCCTCCTAAGACGTTCGACTCTATCATCCACCACTGTAGGTACATCTTGAGGTGAGATGGGAGAGACATGGAAATTGACTGATCTTGGCGCCTGAGGAAGGGGGCAAGAAAAATTTGGATCGGCGCAGTTGAAGGCGACCCCTGGTAGTCAGATCCTGGGCTGACGTTAGTAACCCCAGAAGTACTTGCCACTGGCGAAGAGTACGAGATTGATGGAGCACTGGGTAAAGATGCTGCAGAATCTTGAGCCAGCGATCCCTCGGAACGGATAAAAGATCCGGATGTATCTGAAACAAACCCCCTATGAACTGTAGCGTTGGGTGGCCGTAGGGAGAGGCGCCCCAGTCGCCAGAGGCGCTGCAACTGCTGCATGTCCCGGGAGGGAGGAGAACGCCAACTGTGGAGTAAATGGAGGGATCCCCGAAGGCGCCATCCTCTGTTGAAACATAGACTGTATATAAGACTGCATCCACCCTGGATCCATGTAAGGCTCCGTAGGCGCACCCTGGTCGGCAGGTAAAGTAGGAGGCGCCACAGACGCTGAAGTAGACATCACAGACGACACCAAGGGTGCCGGGAACGTAGACGGAGTCGGAGTAACCAGTGTCGATGCCATAGCAGACGGAGTCACCGACGCAGCGGCAGGTGTCGACAATCCCCTAAAAGACACTGAGGAAGACAAACCAGACATTGCCGTAGTCGGTGGGGGTGACATCTCCTATGAAGAACCCTGCACTTCCACAGTAGCCGGGGAAAGTCCTGAGAAGCCGATATCCTACGTCTATATGCCTGTTGCGTGAGTCGTTTCCGAGAAACCCGCAGATACTTATTGAAAGCTGAGAGGGAAAGTCGAAGACAATGTGAACACTTGGATGTCAGGGAACACTGCCGCGTACAGTTCAAACACCTTGGATGGGGGTCCCTGCTTGCTGCCATTGCAAGCAATACAACATGGCATAAATCTGCAATATAAGCATAAGCCCACAATAATAAAGTTTGTAAGAAAACACACACAAAATCAATAGACAACCAATATTTCCCGCCAACCAAAGGAAAATGGTTAAGGGAAAAAACGACAAGCTTGCAACAAAATACTAAATAAATACCCAAGTATTCAGAATTTATACAAACCTGTAGAGGTTATGAATTCTTTGAAGAAAGTCCTCCTTGGGGTACCTTATAAGCATTAAAATGTCCATTTTAAAAGCCTACGACAGTTGTAACTATATTTTAATAAAAAATATTTACAAAACGAAAAACACGTTCTACGTTATGAGACCACCCCTACAGGGCCCCCGCGGGGACCCCTACCGGCAAGAGCAGGTAACTCTAGCCGACAACCTCGCACCTCGCACCTCACTTTTCATGCTGAACGGATCAGACAGAATGAGGGGAGGCGGGTGGCCGTACCCCAAGGGGGACTTTCTTCAAAGAATTCATAACCTCGATATGGTCTGTGTGGTAGCTGGGTGACCTACTTTACTGCCCCCGTAACAACAGAATAACTGCTTCTCTTTACGGATGGACGTTGTTCTCTTGACATACGTTTTAAGTGTCTTACGTACATCCAACACATGTACTCTGTCCCCAACCCGTCTACCTGAAGTAATGGCCAACAAAAATGCCGCTTTCCAACTTAACAGTTGAAGCGACAACCCCGACATATCGTAGAAGAAAGGACTAGATAGCCAATCTAAAACGATGGACAGATCCAATGGCGGACTTGTCCGTCAGACGACCGGACGCACTCTGTCCACACCTGCTAAGAAACGCTGGACCAGAGGGTGTTGTCCCAAAAGGGCACCCTCGGTAGGAATGTGGAAAGCTGAAATAGCCGTGGAGTAGCCTCGGATAGTAGACGCGGCTAGGCCGGCTTCTAACCGAGACTGTAAAAACTCCAAAACTTCGACTACAGTCGAGGAAAAGGGATCAAGTATCCCTCTGTTTCCACACCAGCGCGCATAACAGGCCCATCTTTCCTCATACTGTAAGTTAGTCGAATCCCTCCGCGAAGCCAGAATTGTGTCTGCAACTGGTGCAGGAATTCAGCTCGCATAGAGGCGACTCCTGACAGTGGCCAAGCCACCCACAGCAATGGACAGCACGAGCGATCTGAGTATTACCGGGAACCAGCGTTGAGACGACCACAGAGGTGCAAGAAGCACAAGTAGTCGCGCTGGTTGGGTGGCGAGCTGCGATAGGACTCTTGGAATCAGAGGTATCGGTGGGAAAGCCCACAGAACCCTGTCCGTCCAATCGAGCTGGAAGGCATCGGAGGCGATCGCTCCCGGATCCGGGATCCTGGAGCAAAACACCGGAGTCTGGTTCGTCACCCCAGAGGCAAACAGATCCACCTCGAACGACCCGAACAACTGGGAGATAACCCCGAATATCTCCCGGTCGAGTAACCACTCGTGAGGGGCCAGGATACGACGTGAGAGTGCATCCGCATGAACGTTGTCCTCTCCCGGGAGAACCGGTGTTGAACCGGTCGCACCACAGTAGAAACTGCCACGCCTCCTGGAGGAGTGACGGAGACACCGTACCGCCCTGCTTCAGGATATAGGACATCGCCGTTTGATTGTCCATTTCTAGACGAACCACACGGTTCCGAACCTGCTCCATGAAGCGTTCGAATACCAGTTGGACCGCTCTCAATTCTAACACATTGATGTGCAAGGTCGCCTCGTTCACGGACCAAAGTCCGGAAGCCGTGAGGTCCCCTAGGATAAAAATGCACTCATCTACCACCGGGGGGTCATAAAGAGCCCCCTCTCCCATCAAGTAGCGCCGGTTCAGCTCCGGGAGATCGAAGCGTGACCTGCCACCTGAGAGGAGAGGGTTAATGACCTCACTAATAAGTGAAGGTAAAATGCGTAAGTGGGCCTCTGCGACCCGACACGGAGCAAACGCCTCCCCAGGGAGACAAAACTCCGCGGGGTGGGGTCGTCCGACTGCACGACCACCTGCGGCAAAATGGAAGCAATGCGTTCCCGCACTTGCCGCAGGGACGGACCAAGCGCGAAGGAACCTTCCCCTGACGCCTCATGCCCCCCCGTCCTCATCCATGGCTTCCTCCTCCCGCTCCCCCGGAAGCGAACTCTGTGTCAAGAGTCACCTCCGAAAGCACGGAAGTCGGCTCCACGCACAAGGATAGGGGAGCAATAAGAGCCGAGGCGCCTGGCCCGTCCGACCCTAGGCTCGAGGATGAGCCAGGTCACCAAGGACCCAGGGAAGAGCCTGCCGAAACAGGATTCCCCGGAGTAACGGAAGGCACCGAGTCGACCGGTAACACCGGCGCTCGGGTAACCCCCGCTTGTGAGCTGATGGACAACGGTACGAGACCCGTAGCCACAGCGCTAGTACGCTGCGCTGAACAGGAGCCGAAGCTCGGGCCAGACACAGGCGCGCCAGCAGAGGGGTTGCCAGAGCCGAGGCTCAAGGCAAGCACCCCTCCGGGGGTAGAACCCGTCCCTGGGTCGAAGCCCGAGGCAGGGGAACCCCCGACAGACGTCCCCAGAGCGCCGCTAACCCCCGAACGGAAACCGATCTTCTCACGGAGACCGGACATCGCGTCCGAGATAAGCAAGCGAACCAAGGTCATGTGTTGCTGCAAAATAGAGGTTAAATCTGTTATACGTAAGGGTGCGGAATCAGATTGAGTAGAAGTGGAGGGGATAGGGGAAGAAGGTTTTTCCGCCGTCTTGGCCCGCTTACCCCCACCCCCGCTAGAAAGAAAAATCTTCTTGCTTTTACCCACTTTAGATGGTGGGTCCTGAGCCCATAAGTCTCCCCCCGCCTCCAGCAAATTTTTGTAAAATATGAAAAACTTACCCAACTCACCTTACATTGCTGAAAGTGAAAACGTTAGGCAATCCTACAATAGTAAATGTACAAGAAAAACCCCACCGACCTAGCGATGTAACCCAAAAAGTTACAACCGTAGGACAGAAGGAAGCCAAACCGACCGCCATCTTGCCTGCCACATGGCTGGAAAATGGAGCCTGTCCGACAAAGTTACAACAATCATGAATGAAAAAATCAACCTACAATTCCATCTAGCGCCCGTGCGAGAGAAAAAGGAACCATACATACATTAGTTGATTCTTTAGCACTCATTTCCAAGGCTCGAAGTAGTAAAACTCCAATGAACAACACGCACGTCTCACATGGAAAACGACAGCATGAAAAGTGAGGTGCGAGGTTGTCAGCTAGAGTTACCTGCTCTTGCCGGTAGGGGTCCCCGCGGGGGCCCTGTAGGGGTGGTCTCATAACGTAGAACGTGTTTTTCGTTTTGTAAATATTTTTTATTAAAATATAGTTACAACTGTCGTAGGCTTTTAAAATGGACATTTTAATGCTTATAAGTACCCCAAGGAGGACTTCTTCTGAAAAAGAATCAACATGGCTTAATGGAACACTGAGCCGCACGAGTTAAACGTGAAACAGATAATAAGGCAAATACACAAAACACTTCTCTTCAAATAAATGGTAAGAAGATAAAACCACAAACCGTTTCTGAAGAAACTATCAAAAAGAAAGTGACAAAGAAACACAACAAATGAGTAAAGTCGCAATTTAATCCCAGAAAAAATCGCACGGCCTGTCAGGCTGGTGACAAGCAGTAATGTGAGGATATGTGACGTCAGCTTCTTCCAGGTCACGTGGGCGCAGTGCGATGGCAATATGGCGGCTCGCTTAGTTGGAACAACTTCTCTTCGATGTTTCCATCGCATAGCCTTGTCTTGTCAAGGGAAAGCAGTAAATGCATTAAGGGGTAATGAAGGGTAAGGTAAAAAATACAAGAAATAAAGTTGGTCTGGCCTAATTCCCAAATTGACATAAGAATTGTGAAGAAGACCCACTCTGGTGAGTCTTTGAGCAGCTGCAACATGCCAGCTCCCTTCCACTTCTGTGCTGCCTTGATCTCCTCATCCATGACACCAACCAACTGGCAACACAGGAATACAGTACTCAGGACAAGCTAAATCTACTTTACAACACCACACTGAACTATATGTGTCACAGTGTGTGCTTTTGTAAACCGATATGCAATTTTGCAGCCATATCTAGGGAGTCGGTTCATTACCTAGTACACTGACTCATCATTATCAAAAGTGAACTGACAATACTTCTTAAATTTGGATATGGAAGAAGCTTGTATCAAAAGTTGAGAGACTCATGAAAATGTTCTATTGTCATTTGCATGAAAATAATTAATGTTAGAGAAGTCTGTTCCTCTAATTTTTCACTAATCCAGCAGTACAAACTATTTGTAATGTCTATCCTTATAACTACTACAACAAGTACGGTAATGCTATGGATCACTGGATAATAATGTCCACATTCACATGTTGCATGCTGGGTAAAATCACTCATATGTGATTACCATAATAGTTATTTTTACCATGTAAGTGATATTTTTCTATGAAGTGAGCTGTGGATTAGTAGGATTAGTGACCAAGGGTATCTACCCTTGATTGTTACAAAGGTAAGCTGTCCATCCTGTGTTGGAAAGTTCTAAGTTGCAGTTGATGAGGAATGTTTGTGCAGGCACCTGTCTGAACTCGACGGTGCCGTACGGTGTGTCTAGGTCGAGCAGCTGAGGGTCCTCTGCCACCAGCATATGCTGTATCCTGCAGGAGCTCTCCCCATTCAGGGGCTTGTGCCATGGGACGTGGTCTCCAACATGCAACACATTCCCTGAAGCAGAAACAGTTCCAGGTCATATATGTAACCTCACAAAGATTGTCTGAGCATTCTGAGCAAACATCAGATACACAAATACCGAAAAATATATGTGACAAGCATGTGGCAGTAAATCTTTATTAGGGACCAGTTCAAAAGTTCAAAGTTTTAATGCTGGGGACCAGCTCAAACATTCAAAGTTAAATGCACAATAACATTTCCTTCAATTTAGAGACAACCTCCACATTCTTGTGTTGCGCTCTGCTTTTGTAAATATTTATCTTTTTTCTACAAAATCCTGTTGTAGAGCTTTCATAGATCAAATGTGCCATCCTGCATTTCACACTGCACCAGGACTGACTGACTGAGTTTGGTTTTATGCCGCTTTTAGCAATATGCCAGCAACATCACGGCGGGGGACACCAGAAATGGGCTTCACACATTGTACCCATGTGGGGATTTGAACCCGGGTCTTCGGCGTGACGAGTCAACGCTTTAACCATTAGGCTACCCCACCGCCCCTACACTGCACCAGGAGCACTTGCCACTTGTGCTAGTTACAACAAAACCATATCTTGTTGGAAGACTGAATTGTTCAATGACAACACCTAACTGCATGTACACATCCCTCGCTAAATTAATAAATTTGAATTGCTACATATCAGGCTCAGAGAGGAAGCCCTACTTGTTCTTGGTTATGACTTTTGAAGAATGGCACCAACACCAGGGACTAATTGATCTCTGCACCTTTTGACCGCAAAACTGAGAGCACTTTAGAGAAACAAACCCATGCATAGTGATTTTAGCATCAGGGATGTACATTCAGTACCTACTTTTTGAACATCAGTATTTTATTGTGCGCCATTTGCGAAGAATGACCTGTGGATAGTTCTTTTTTTCTGTGTAAACTCTTTGCTCCTTTGAGGTAAAAAATGTAGCAATTGTAAAACAACAATTTTTAACACTTTAAGTAAGTTGCCATAGTGATAAGAATATTGTACTTTCCAGTACATTGCATAACAAAAATCATCAAGAGATATCACCCTGGTCTGGTGCAATTTGCAAATGGAATTTAGCCACTTAAACTCCTCTTTTTTGGTAACTGCCTTTAGATACCACCTAGTTCAGTGAAGGAGAAGATAATGCTGTTCGGTATTCATCTATATCCCAAATCATCACAAGGAACCAGTTCACAAGTAGTCTCATCTGTATAGCAAATATCAACCAGCAAAATATTAAACTGCTCCAGAAAATAAGAACAACCCTCAGTTTCATTGATATCATGAAAACAAACATAAAATGAAAACAGAATATCCCAAATCATCAAAATCCACCAGTTCCCCACTTGACTGATCTGTAGCAATTAACAAGAAATATTCAACAGATTTGGAGTTCTGCTCCTGAAACAGAAAGCAGATAGACAGTTCTCAAACAGGAGGATAACAATATGACCTCATGTTTGATGTTCTCAGTGTATCTCACCCGTGTGGAAGACATATCGAGCCAGCTTGTTGATGAGAGAAGGGGCCCAGTCTGGCGGCACAGTATCCTCAACTTTCCTCTGTACACGCAGTGTCAGCTCAAACCCAAAGCCACTAGGTTCCCCACGCTCTTCTCGCCTGAAACATGACATCAGTATTCTATGAATACAAAATGCCTTTCAGAAAGTCATCAAATGTTGTAGACATGATCAACCAACAAGACATACTGGCAGATGAAATCTTAGTCAGACATGTTAAAAGTCAGAGCCTTAATTAAATTCAGTTAACCTAGAACAAAACATCAAAGTTTTTTTAGTGTCTAGTCTGGTCTGTCATCTACATGCTGTAAATCAGTAAAAGATGATTTGTGTTTATCTGATACATGCTTTACAATATCAGTAATGAGGGTCTCAGGCATTTATGAGAGAGTGAGTATGGTTTTACGTCGCTTTTAGCAATGTTCCAGCAATAATTTATATCACAACGGGGGACACCAGAAATGGACTTCATATATTATACCCATGTGGGGAATCGAACCCAGGCCTTCGGCGTGAGGAGCAAACACTTTAACCACTAGGTTACCCCACCGCCCCCTTTCAGGCATTTAAGTCAAACACACAAGCACAAGTATGCAGCTGACAGTGACAAACCTAGACAAGTAATCAACTGCATCAGGTTGTTCAAAGTGAATGATATGATGTTTAACATTGTGTTTTATGTTACCGGTGAACTCTTCCATCGCCATACAAATCACTGAAGCCGAAAGTGATGAAGTGCCAGTGGGGTGGAATGTTCTTGGACAAATCTCCTTCATTAGAATATATGCGGATAAAGTCAAGAGGGTCTGGTCCACCTAACCTGAAAAGATAATAAGCTGTGTATCCCATACCTATTATTGCATTAAACTCATATCAAAACTTATACACATGGTACAAAACAAAAGAAATATTTCCTATCTGGAAGCATTTCCCCATATAGGCGATGTAATGTTAATACAATGTAATTAAGAACAGATTTCTTACTCTGGTAGTTAATTTATAATTGAAATTAACTTGAATAGTGCCCCGGCTGACTTTTAGCTCTGGCTGATCAATTGTCTATTGTAAGAAATCCCCAAAATGACCAATACACGCACTAAGAAAGAAAAACATTTTATTTTGCCTGATTTGTCATTTGTAACACAAAATAAAATATACATGTGGGTGTATTTTGGATAAAATTTGGGAGCACTGGGTGAAGAAATAAGAATGCTGTCACATTTTAAATACACCATCTTTGTAACAGTCACATCAGTATATCATTTCTACATTTCTATATTAAGGCATGATATAAGCCAGTTCAGACAGATCTTTTATTTAATATTTAAACAAAAATCTGTACCTTAATAAATTTGGCAATACCAAGTTCCATACATCAACCCCCCAATGAGGTCGACACCAGAATGAATTTAGTATATCAAAATGTGTGGCATCAAAAGAGCAAAATCATGATAAAAATAAATGTGATTATAGAATCTGTTTGCCACTCAATGAGAACCGTTATAAGAAATAGATATGATGTCAGGACAATTCTATGATATTGCAATTCTGTGATATACCTCTCCGATCCTTGGGGTAAGTTATTAAGTTGTCAAAGTAGGTTAGCCCATCCCACTCACGAAAAATGTTGACGAACTTAGTGTACGGAGGCTCCCAAAATAGTGTTACACCTCGTCCACCATCGACAATGGGCAATTTGGATTTGAATGGAAATTACATTTTCCTCGCTCAGCAGATTCTTATGAGAGTTCAGATGTCGGGATGTCCCCATTGAAGCTTATTGTCATTCATCACTGTGCCAAATACCAAGTCGCAATAAAAGTACGAAGTTACTAGGTTAACCAGTTTGACAAGCTCAGTCGGCAACCTACCATATTTGCACCCTTGGTGTAGACTGTAGAGGATTGGGTTGATCTGCATAAATAATTTTGCAAGATCTGTCTATAGCCTCATAACCATAACTGTCACATTCATCCAGATCGTCAGACTCTTCTGAACTGTCTCCCATGGGACCCGACACTCCAAGCTCTCCAAAACTTTCTGCTTCCATAGTTGAAATGTGGTTATCTCCCCTTATGGCATACTCTTGAAGCACATCGTACTAGAAGACAATAACAACTTATTATTCTTAGTTTTCAAATGACTAACGGCATTGGTGTCTTTATGACTTAATTAGATTACAAAATAATTTGTTTGCTATAAAATAGTATACGATTTGGAAAAATGTTATATTTAAAGGGTATTCTCTTCCAATAACAGACAAAATGGCGGATGCCCATGCCGTCCGTGAGAAATTTACGCATGGAAATAATTCCTTGATTACACCTTCTAACACAATTTCCGTCAAGCTTTCGAAAGATTCACATCTAGAAAATTAACATGGCAGGTGAAAATGAGGTTGACGTGTATGAAGAAGGGAAGGGGGAGTTGGTGGACTGGCAGTTACCAGTTGCCTTCAACGAAAATAGACACACGGAAAAGATTGAAGGTTCTCGTCCAGTAACAGAAACATGGAGGATGAAAGAAAGGGTTAGCATGATTGTCATGAAATTTTTATGGATAGTATACCTGAACGAGGATACCTCTTTGTTTACAATAAGTGTCACACTATGTACCCGTAGTCAACATACTGCATTTGTCATCACAAGATTGCTACTACCAGTAAACTTCGTTTTCAAAGTTTGACAAGTTGTCACATAAGCACATCAAGCGCAGTAAGCAAATTATGTATACTGAAATCCATTAGATACGCATCACCTTATTATCATTGATCATGGAATACCCTAAACGAATTTTGAATCTAAATTGTGCTTATAGTCATCTGATAAACATGATACATCAAAGTGTGATCAAGTGCCTCAGCATTTGCTGAAAATTAAGTCTTCCTGTGAAGATCACTTGAAAATGCATAAAATGTGGGGAGCACCTTTAGAATACAGCACCACAACTTCTCGTGAGGACGATCTCTTCCGTCGGTCACGTGTCATTAAGACAAGCAACCAGTTTGTGAGAACCCGTCGGACGCGAAACCCGCGACCTTCGGATTGTTAGCTTGACAGCTAACCGTCTGAGCTACGTCCACACTGTTGCACAATGTGCAAATGTATCGAGTCATTCCTGTGACGTCACGGAAATGAACGTAAAGAGTCGAATAGGTCACGGACAATTACGAAGGTTACGGGTAGACTTGGTGTCTCGTGATTTTAATCTACGGACACCTGCCGAATGGACCCGATGCCATTTGGCACACCAGTCCCATTCCATAATCTACAAGATAACGTCGCGGCGGGAATGAGCCGATATGCCTCAAACTGAAAAGGGTTGTTGACGTCAGGCGTTAGGCGTAGATTTCACGGTGCATGCATGAATGACGCGCTTTTATATAAATCGGTGATTTTGTGACAGAAAAGTGATGTAGGGAACACTGTAAGGATAATGTGGATCGCACTAAGGAACGAGGGAGACATGAGCATGTGTAGTGACGGCACGAGGGTGAGTTAGCCTTCGAATCATTACTGAACAAATGTTGCGTGTGAAAGAGGCTTGAGTGCAAATTCCAGGCCAATTTCCATTAGCCCAAAATTTCTACATTAAACCATTTCATAGTGTACTTTTGACGTTTTTGATTTCCGGTTTTTGTGTGAAAAAAAGTATTAAAATGCAAAAGGAAAAACAACAAATGGTATTTACGTATTACACCGGACATGTACCTATTATATTGGATTAGGTCCCTAACCCTAAACCCTCAGCCCTAACCCTAATCCCTTGAAATTATCCTAATAAATAGAATGCATTGACCGAACACGCAGTATTAAAATGCAAAAGGAAAAACAACAAATGGTACTCACGTATTACACCGGACATGTACCTAACCTAACCCTAACCCTAACCCTAACCCTTGAATTAATCCAAATAAATAGAATGCATTGACCGAACAGGCACAAACATGACTGACGTGTCCAGTGTAATGCATTATTACCGCTTCGAAAAATAAAATACTAATAAAAAACTTTCTATGTAATGGTGCAAATTACTGAATGACAAAAACATATTTGTAAATTTAAAAAATGCAAAATACAATAATACACAAAACATAACATCTCAGCACCCCGTAATACAAGTAAATATGAGTGTACTAGTGAAAAAGGAAAAAATATTTCAAACTGGTGCTTGCAAAACATTGCGCATCTGCTGGTATACAACCACTGGAAACTCTCAACATCGTTGGGCTTATGCAATGACATAGCTCGTAGAGATGAAACACCAGTGAGCGGAGCTTATACGCACTCGTTGAGCCAGAAAACTGTGTTGCCATGCAGGCGTCATAGGGCATTGTTTCGAGAACGTGCTTTCAAACAAAATCACATTACATTACGTAAAAAGGTATTATGACGTATTTTTAAAGTTTGTGGTGCTGTATTCTAAAGGTAGGCCAAATGTGGCAGTTACCACTACCCACTGACAGTTAATTCAATTGCATGCCAAAATTAGTTTTGAACAGCACTATGTTGTTGACTTTACATTATGTCACATTTATCATCTGATGAGAGAGAAAAGAGCTGTTGTGTTCCTTGAGGCTGTTTTGTCTACAGGTCAGCAGAAGAGTTTACCTGTCAATTCAACAAATGTCAGGTTATCACTGCGCCTATGACAAACTGGCACAACCAGTGATCGACCATGCCAAGTACAACCATGTGTCGCAACCTTAACCCAAGATCGTCATATCCCCCTCACTCACTTATGGAACAAGTTCAAGACAGCTTCCCGAACAGACACTACCATCTGTGGACGAAAGAGAATCACCCCCTAAGCGGTACAGAGTTGATTGTGTCAGCAATTACTGCATGCGCGTAGACCATATATTGGTCAGATACTCACTCAAGATACCGACAACGTACTAAGGTGCTGTACATATCAGCACTGGATCCTTAGATGTGTGAAGGTGTTCTCTTTTTCTGACAAGTCATCTCAGTCATGCAGATGGAATCATCAGGGTACAGTATCAACATGGAGGATGTTATGCTGATTGTTGCATTCAACAGGTGAACCTATGGGGTGGTGGAAGCATTATGGTTTGGGGAGGGATTAATGTCCATGGCAGAACACCTCTCTGCATATGTACAGCTGAAAATACATAGTGGAGGTACTGAAAATAATATTTGTTCCACATATGGCAGCAAATCAACGTCTTCACATTCCGCAACAGGATAATGCTCCACCCTCATACTGCTAGATACAACCTGAACCATCTTCATCAAACAATATTCCTCTCCTGCCATAGCCATCAATGAACCAGTAGAACATGTGGGATAAGATGGAGAGAAGACTTTTCACTTGGGAACAAGGAAATAGCGTCCATGATTTGCAAACTCACTTTGTGAGATGTGTAACGTAACTGTGCTAGATGGAAAAGGTGGCTATATCTGTTACTGACATTGACTGTGTAAACTTTTGAGTGTGAAATTTTAATTGCACCCCCGTCATTGTTATTGTTATTCATGGTTGCACTAAAATATGAATGACTTCTTTACCTTCTTCTTGTGTTTCCATCATGATTGACAATTTAGATCACAGTACAGACTAGTTCTTTTCTTCATTGGTCACGGCGATATGAATTCTTTTTCAGAAGACGTCCTCCTTGGGGTACATATAAGCATTAAAATTTCCATTTTTAAAACCTACGACAGTTTTAACTATATGTTAATAAAAATGTTTGCAAAAAAAACCCACAATATTATAATGAACGCTGTTATGGGCCTCCGTTGGCTCTGGTTGTCTGTAGCCCGGTATTTGCCGGCTACGCAACAGGTGCCTCTGTCACTTCCCCACCGGATGGGTTCTACCCTGTTTCTGGGGGCTTTGACAGTTGTATAGGAGGCTGCAGAAGCAGTTAGCATATTCAAGGAGTTGAGCAACCCTCCACTTCTGGGGCCCAGTCCTTGCCACTGCATATCCTTCCACTTCTGTGAAGGAATCTTCTAAGTGGACTGCTCCACTGCAGACTCACAAAGGCAGGGGCAAAGGTAAGGGCAAGGCTACTCAGTCCCAGCAGCTTTTTCAGAGGAAGCGGAAGTCGGCCCCGGCTTCCCAGTACATTATCCTTGGGTACCCTCAGAAGACCCAGCGCATGCAGTCGTTGCATTGCAGACTGCTGGGATCCATTGCCTTTTACCCGACATCCCTGTTGGCTGCTGACTTTCCATATTCCTTCGGGAGTGTGAGAAAGTCACCTCAAATCCCTGGGTCCTGTCCACACTCAGGAATGGCCATTTGCCGCAGTGGAAGCGAGGCCCGACATCACAGGAGAAGGCAGACACGCTCCGTGCCGAGGTCCAGTCATTGCTGGACAAGGCAGCCATCAAGATGGTTCCGTTGGGGCAGGAAAATGGGGGGTACTACTCCACTTATTTCCTGGTCACCAAGAAGGATGGAGGGTTCAGACCCATACTAAATCTCAAAGGGCTGAACAACATGATAGAGATGGACACATCTTTCAAGATGGACACTGCGCTCAGTGATCTCATCTGTCGAGGCAGGGGATTCGCTCACGTCAATCAACCTCAAAGATGCATACCTTCATGTCCCAATACACCCTGATTTCAGGAAATACCTTTGGTACTTCAGTTTGGCTATCAGTTTTGTAAGCTCCCATTCGGCATCTCCACAGAGCCAAGGGTGTTTACCAAACTTATGTTAATTCCAGCGCAGGTTGCCAGGTGTTGTCAGTAATGTCGACGACTGGCTACTCAGAGCGCTTGCCACTCACTTGAGGCGAGAAGCCACACAATGTGACACATGCAGTGATGGATATTCTCACCAAGTTGGGTTGGATTATCAACCTCAAGAAATCAGAACTCGTTCCGACGCAGGATCTGGTTTTCTTGGGTGCGAGATTCAAGACACAGCGGGGCATGGTCTTTCACTCGAGAGACCTCATAATTCAGAGGGTTGTTTTGCAATTCCTCAAGTCCCCCAGGGCCTCAACGCGGACATGGCTCCAGTTGCTAGGCAACATGGTGGTGACTGTGGACATAGTTTGGCGTGCACATCTGAGGATGCGACCTTTACAGCAGGCGTTAGCGCAGTTGTGGTCTCACTCGGAGAGTTACAAGAGGCTTCTCATGACTCCGGAGTGGTAAATTCTTCACTTGCGGTGGTGGACAGACGCCGGGAATCTATCCAGTGGGCTCCCCCTGGAGACCCCAGTGCCGTCATTCTCAATTCAGATGGATGCCTCCCTCGCAGGCTGGGTTACCCCTGATTACAAGGGTCCTCTTGCAGCTTGCCCCCCAACCAGCTCGACTACTTGTACTCCTTGCACCTTTGGTCGGCGCAACGCTGGTTTCCGGTACTCATCAGGTTTCTGGCTCAGCTTCCAGTCCTGTTACGGGACCTACTATCCCAGAATGGAGTGCCCCACCCGAATCCCAGGATTCAGTGGGTGGCTTGGCCAATGTCCAGAATCGCCTCAAGGCGAGCGGAATTCTCGCTTTCAGTTGCAGACACATTTCTGGCTTCGCGGATGGATTCAACAAACATTAGATATGAGGATAGATGGGCTTGTTATGTGCGCTGATGTGTCGGCAGGGGAATCTCGATCCCTTTTCTACAGATTTAGTCACTTTGCTGGAGTTTTTGCAATCTAGGTTAGAAGCCAGTCTCGCCGCTTCTACTATCAGAGGCTACTCCACAGCTATTTCTGCCTTTCACATACCTGTCTGTCCATCCGACTGTCGGGCGGATATGTCCCCTTTGGGACTTGTCAGTCGTTTTTGATTGGATGTCCGGTCCTCTCTTTTACAATCTGTAGCCTCTCTCTTTCTCCAGCTGTTAAGTTGGAAGGCAGCCTTTCTTGTGATGGTAATGTCTGGCAGACAGGTCGGTGACATTCATGCAATTCCTGAGCTAACCGTTTTTCACAAGGATCGGGTCAGTATTCGGTTGCCAGACTTGTACCATCTTAAGATGGCAGGTTCCTTTCATGTAACGGAGCCTATCAAACTTCTGGCTTTCACTCAGCCTCCATCGTCCAGTACCTACCATCAACACGCTCACATCTCAGATGTCCATAAAACACTTAAGGTTTATATCAAACGAACAGCATCTATCTGTAAGGATGAACAACTGTTCTGCTGTTATGGCGGTGGTAATGCTGGCCTTCCGGCGAACAAGCAGATCATTTTTAGGTGGCTTGTCTCTGCCATTTGTATGTTGCTATATTAACAAAGGCTTAACTTCCCCGGATGGGTTGAAAGCTCATTTGGTTAGGGTAGTGGCCACCCCTAAGGCATATGCTGCGGCTCTGCCCATTGAGGAGATCTGCCCCGCCATTATTTGGAGCCGGCTGAGTACGTTCATCCATCATTATCAGCTGGACAAACACACACGTGAGCATGCTCAGTTTGGCCAGACAGTTCTCCACAGTGGGCAGAGTAGTACCTCTCTTGCCGATTGAGCTTTTGAGTTTACATTACATATTGAAATAATAAGGAGTACCTACTCCTGATCATGAAAAAATATCTGGAGCCCTGGGGTCTGTTTTGCCGCTCTCGACACACTATCTTTGGGAGTCTGTCTTATGCTTATATGTACCACAAGGAGGACTTCTTCTGAAAAAGAATTGTACAAACCTGTAGAGGTTATTGATTCTTTGAAGAAAGTCCTCCTTGGGGTACAGATACCCACCTCCCCACATTCTGTCTGATTACGTTCAGCATGAAAAGTGAGGTGCGAGGTAGATGGCTAGAGTTACCTGCTCTTGGCTGTAGGGGGTCCTGAGGGGCCCTGTAGGGGTGGTCGAACAAGACAAAAACATGTGTTTTGTTTTGTAAATATTTTTATTAAGATATAGTTGCAGGTGTCGTAGGTTTTTTAAAATGGACATTTAAATGCTTATATGTACCCCAAGGAAGACTTTCTTCAAAGAATCAGTAACCTCTACAGGTTTGTACAAGTTTTAATTTGGTGATGCATTTCTAATGGATTTCAGTATACATAAGGCACAACAGTTTGTAGACACATTTTCTAGTGAAGGGAACAATTATTAATCAAGACGAGGAAAATGCTCTTTTTTGACAGTTGGTTGGAGTTCCTCTGCAGAGTTATGTTCCCCAGACATTCCAGTCATCTCTGATGTACATTTTGAATCCTTTTTCACCCTAATTAAACCCTAGTGAAAATGGCAGGTCAAACAGGGCACAGACCAAATTTACAACTTTACAAAAATAAAGACATCACACCATCATCAGAAGTAAGATCAGTGTTTGAGATGCAATGATGGGCAGTAGGCATGAGGGAATACACCTGACCAACACTGTCACCCTGATAATATTGATCGGTCATGGCTTGTTTCCAGTAATATTAGAGTTTTCAGTCAGCACAGAAAACTGCCTTCGCAGAGACGAAGGTTTGAATAATCTTCAAGCATTGGCTTGGGGTAGTCAGCATGATCACCATGGTTACTTTCAGTGAAACAATTGATTAACTGTCTTCATACTGACAAGGGATGGGTATTGGCAGGAATTCCGAATTGCAATGTATTGAACGTACAACATGCTAGAAAGCACTATGTAATGTAATGTATAGTGACTTCTACTGCATAACAATTTCCCCAAGATCTAGAATTTAAGGTCCAAAATATTTCCAGCAGCTGCCTTACTTCTGTTGTTTGGTATGACCTACATTCGTGTTTGGCCATGTAAAAGTTTCATGTAATACTCAACCTTTCTGAATGTCATATGCAGTCATTAACATTTTTAACAGGAAACTACCAAAGTGATCTTGCTATGTCACTAAAACTGATTCACAGTGATCGTATTGCGTTACACATTTACACCCCTTGTGATGACTTCAGTGTAAAACAACACAGAACACTGAGATAAGTATAATATATTATAGTACCTGGGGTGTGCATTGTTTCAGATGAAGACCGTCAGTGTGGCTCTAGTCATGTGTCTCAATGTTGGTGTTGACCCTCCAGATGTAGTGAAGACATCTCCCTGTGCAAGACTGGAATGCTGGATAGGTCTGTCACTATTCAGATTGACTTCATAAGGACAAATGAATAAATTGAGACTTCACTACAATGTAATAAAATATTAATTATGCTAAAGCTCTAAGATCAGACTGTCTTCTTTTTAAATGGGAAGTTGGGAACAGGTTATTTTCATTGAGCAGTTGTTTAATCGCAAGCAATAGTTAACACAGTGGTCACCATGGTGATAGTTGATGGTTCTGTGAACAGATCCCCTCTCCACAAGCCCCCAAAAGGCCTTGGAGTCCATTGGAGGCAATCTGCAGAAACAGTATGAGCGATGGCAGCCCAGAGCTCGATACAAGCAGAGCCTCGACCCAACAGTAGATGAGGTCAAGAAACTCTGTACGTCTCTCAGGAGGAATGCCAAGGTAGGGGGTATCTCATCCTGTTCCTTTTCCAAACTTAATGTACCGGTAATCGATAAAAATGACCAAGTATCATCTATGTAGATACTTCAGTCCTGGGAAACTGTCGTCACTGGTTACACTCAGCATGCTATAGACATGATAGAAAGCAAACTGTTGGTGAATAGTTTGAAAGATACTTTCATTCTAATAACGTCTGATTCCTGTGACCTCAAGCTTAAATAATAGATAACTCCTGGTAGCTTCTAGCACTAGTACTATGGCTAAAGTATGCTGCATGTTTCAGGAGGAGAGGGTCCTGTTTCACTATAATGGCCATGGTGTACCTCGTCCAACAGTAAATGGAGAAATTTGGGTCTTTAACAAGGTAATTATGTTATTCTGGATGATAGCACTGGTACGGTTTATGAATGGTCAGAAGAAGCAACGTCTGTTTCACAGATGGCACTCTAGTTGGTTAACTATCTGCCGTTATCAGTGCATGTTTGAGAATGTCGGCGTACATTCAGATATCGGACGTATCTCATGTGCAAGTCGAACACAAAAATCTTTATTGAATGGATGCTTGTGTCTTGACCTGTTACATTGCTGGAATTATCTTAGAAGTGGTGGATAAACCATTTATTGTAATGGTGCAAAACAAATGTCTGTCACACATGAAAACCAAACTTTGTTGTGTGGTTTCCGTTTAATTCTCTTGCCTAGTATCCAAAGTGACATGATCCCATGTATTTGAACATGTTGAAACAACAACGAAAAAGTGACCACACTGTTCCTGTATATACAATGTAAGCTGACAGAAGTAACCATGGTAACTGTGTAAACAAGGATGATGATGTTTGTCCCCTCAGAGTTACACTCAGTACATACCACTGTCAGTGTATGACCTGCAGACTTGGATGGGGAGTCCTTCCATCTACGTTTTCGACTGTTCCAACGCCGGCATCATTGTGGAGTCGTTTAGACAGTTCTCTCAACAGAGGGACCAGGAAATGGATGTAAGTTAATGTAACTTTACTGGTTACTGTTGGTGACACTTGTTTTGATAACAGTTTCAACTGAAATGTTTTGTGTTTCATCATAGCGGTAGGAGATTTGACACTTGTTTGAAGCCTGAGTTTAGTATCATTGGTTTTGGTGTTGTCTAGCATGAGAACTACGTGAACATGTTATCGGTCTATCTATTTACCATGTTAAGTTACAATGGACTAAAATGATACCATAAGCCAATCATATCGTTTTTAGGTAGAATGTCACAGTGGGTGATATGTTCTTTGTTCAGAGTGAAACCACAAACGGCAGCCAGTGGTATAGTGGCCAGGGTCCCCCCTCCTCCAACAAGCACTGCATACAACTAGCTGCTTGTGGTGCCAAGGAACTGCTACCCATGAATCCAGAACTACCTGCTGACCTCTTCACATCATGTCTAACTACACCAATTAAAATAGCCCTGAGATGGTAGGTTTCCTTTCATTCATGAATGATGTTTGCCATGATAAACATGTCATTCTTCTTCATAGAGATCGTCCTTGGGGTACATATTATGCATTTTCCGAGCTGAAAATGTCCTGTGACAGTTGTATCAATGTTTTTGAATAAAAAGATTGTACAATAAATAAACTCTTTTATTTATTATACGGCCCCCACCTCACGGAGTTACCTCCCGTTACGCATGCGCACCAACTGGGTAAGCACCTAGGCCCGTATCATCATTCCTTCTGCTGTCACTGCCTCTAACAGACGTATGTGTCGAGCGGAGCTGACCTTTTCTGAGAGAAAGAGTATAATGTCTGAGACACCACCTGTATGTATGGTCTTTATTTTGTCCTTGTTAAGGAACAGTAAAGCTTTGCGGTCGGTTGTTTCATAATTGTGACTTTGTATTAATTATTTTACGCTAACTTTCCCGTGGTTTACGCACATGTTGCTCTGCCATGGCGGGAAGTTTAGCGTGCCACGTGGTTGTAATATTGCGTATTGAACCAACTATTTCTTCCCGTGGTAGCCTTCATGTATTTTTCAATGTTTTCTACGTGTATCTTAGCTGCTGGTCCGCCGTTAGCTACATGCTTGCGTGTTTGCTTTCAGGCGTTTTCCTCCTGTTCGCTCTGTGGACAAAGTATTCCACGGGCCGACAGACACGACAAGTGTATCGTGTGCTTGGAAAAGACCGGCCATGAGGCCGAAACTTGTGAAATTTGTCTGGGGATTTCCCCCCGGACCCAGAAGCGGAGAGCTGCCGATACTCTCTTTTATAGAGAGATGCGGGAGGCGGGAGGGGAACTTACCCAGGTCCCCCCGTCTAAGGCTAAAAAGCTGCGCTCTAAGGGAAAAAAATCCCGTAGCCAGTCCCCTTCTCCCGCTCCTAGTAGCGGTTTTGATATGACTATAATCACACAGATGTTTCACAGACTCGATGAGGTCCTTCGTTCATGAGACGGTTGGAGGACTCCGGCAGGAGTTCTCGCCCACTCTGAGTGGGGCGAGGAGAGTCTGGGGGGGATCGCCGAGCCGGCTCGATCCCTAGGCCTTGAGGCGCCTGTCGATCCGTTGCCTCTGGCTTCGGGTCCGGACGCCTCGGCTGCCCCGGACGGGGAGGTGCTCCCAGTCCCCCTCTCGGAGTTGGCGCAGGGACCGTTGATGATTCCTGGGGTTCCGATCCCTGCGCCCTCCCACCCCATGAGAGCGGAGGCACCAGTCTGGTATGCCTCCAGCGTCTCGGGACCGGGGTCCGTGCATGCCTGCAGGCACTGACGCGGGGCGCTCTGTCTGCTCCTCCCTCTCACCGGGTCGGGGTTCGGGTCCTCTTCGCGATACTGGGGAGGTCGAGGAGCAGGAGGGTGCCTTCCGTTTCTCTTCGGCTCTGCGGGAGGTCCGGCTAAGGATTGCTGAGTTCCGCTTGCCAGGCGAGGCGTTTGCCCCTAGGCAGCTCTTACCCGACGTCCCAGTGGGAGGCCGCCTCTCTCTATTCCTACCGGAATGGGAGAAGGCTACACAAAACACTTGGGTGCTGTCCACCATCAGTGTAGGCCATTTACCACTGTGGAAGCGAGGTCCGCCCGACTTCACCCGCATACGTCGCACTCCGGTGCCGTCATGTCAGGCAAGGGCGGACATATTCACGACGAAGTTCAGGCTCTGCTGGACAAGTCCGCAATCGAGCGCATTCCACCGGGAGAGGAACAGGCGGGATTTTACTCCACGTACTCCCTCGTCCCGAAGAAAGACGGCGGGTTCCGGCCCCATTCTCAACCTCAAGGGGTTGAACCGCATGCTAGAAGTACCATCCTTCAAGATGGAGACACTGCGCTCGGTGATCTCATCTGTTCAGCCCGGCGATTGGCTCACGCCAATCGACCTCAAGGATGCGTATCTGCATGTGCCCATACATCCATCGTTCAAGCAGTACCTTCGGTTCTCTTTACGACGGGATGTGTTACCAATTCACGGTGCTCCTTCGCATATCGACTGCCCCCAGGGTGTTCACCAAGCTCATGTTAGTCCGGCTACCCTCGCCGCCGCAAGCGAAGGAAGGCGTTGTTACCCTTACCTTGACGACTGGTTGCTCGGAGCACTAACACAGCCAGCGAGCCTAGATGCTACTCACACAGTGATAGACATTCTAGTTCGACTGGGGTGGATCATCAACCTCAAGAAATCCGACCTGGTACCCACCCAGGACTTGGTTTTTCTCGGGGCGAGGTTCCAAACGCACAAGGATCTAGTTTCCTTGTCGCCCGACCGGATCACCAGAGTACGGGAGATGGTGTCTTCGTTCCTCTCCCAGCCCCAGGCACCAGCACGGACTTGGCTCCGTCTACTGGGCCATATGGCGGCGACGATCTCTGTAGTGTGGCGGGCGCGGTTGAGGATGCGCCCTATACAGCAAGCTTTGGCGAGTCTGTGGGCTCACTCGGAGGACCTGGAGCGCAGTCTCACAGTCCCCGGGTGGTTGACACCTCACCTTCAGTGGTGGACCAATGTCGGGAATCTCACCAGGGGGGTCCCCTTGGAAATCCCGACGCCAGCTCTCACAGTTCAGACCGATGCGTCCCTCACGGGCTGGGGGTGTTCTGGGCAGTCTGTCGGTGTCCGGACTCTGGTCCGGTCGGCCCCACCTTCACATCAACGTGTTGGAACTGAGAGCTGTGCGGTTGGTTTTCGAACGCTTCAGAGAGCATGTCCAGGGCCAGGTAGTCCGTCTTCAGTTGGACAACCAGACGGCCATGTCGGACATCCTGAAGCAAGGCGGCACGGTGTCCCCAGCGCTCCTCCGGGAGGCGTGGGACTTTCTCCTCTGGTGCGACCAGTGCGATTGTCAGGTACTCCCTGTTTATCTCCCGGGGCTGGAGAATGTGCGAGCAGACGCGCTCTCTCGCCGGATCCTGGCCCCGCACGAGTGGATGCTCGACAGGCAGATTTTCAGAGTTATTTCCCAGTTGTACGGGTCGTTCGAGGTGGATCTGTTTGCGTCCGGCCGGGGCCGAATCAGACACCGTGTTCTGCTCTCGAATACCAGCCCCAGGGCTGCTGGCTGCCGACGCCTTCCTGCTGGATTGGACGGGCAAAGTGCTCTGGGCCTTCCGCCGTTACCACTCATTCCCCGCGGTCCTTTCACAGCTGTCCACCCAGCCAGCTCGGCTGCTTGTGCTACTGGCACCGCTTTGGCCGGGCACAGAGCTGGTTTCCGGTAATTCTCAGGTTTCTGGCTCAGCCTCCTGTTCTATTACCTTTTACGATCGACATTCTCACTCAGAACGGAGCCCCACCCAAATCCAAGGATTCAGTGGGTGACTTGGCCTCTGTCAGGTCTAGCCTCGAGGCACGCTGAATTCCTGCAGCAGTTGCAGACACAATTCTGGCTTCGAAGCGGATTCGACAAACGCTCAGTATGAGGATAGGTGGTCCCGCTTATGCGCCGCTGGTGTTCAGAAAGGGGATTGCAGATCCCTTTTCTGTTGATTTAGTCCGAGTATTGGAGTTTTTGCAAGCCCGCTTTGGAAGAAGGCCTGGCGGCTTCGACCATTCGCGCGCTACTCCACCGCTATATTTCCACTTTTCACACCCCTGTCGATGGTGCTCTTCTGGGGCAGCACCTCTCGTGACAGCTTTTCGCTGGCGCCCGAACGGGTTCGACCTGCTGTCAGGTGAACCAGTCCACCTTGGGATTTGTCAATTGTGCTCGATTGGCTGTCCGGTCCAACTTTCTCACACCTATCGGCTATTTCCATTCAGTTGTTAACTTGGAAGGCTGTTTTTCTGGTGGCGGTAAAGTCTGGGCGTAGGGTCGGCGATTTACATGCTATGTCGTCCGACCCGGCGCTGACTGTGTTTCACACTGATCGTGTCAGTATTCGGCCTCCGGATACGCATCGTGCCGAAGGTCGATCACGCTTTCCATGTGACAGCTCCTATCGAACTTCCCACTTTACCCAGCCTTCCACATCGGGGACCTCTGCAACGAGCATTCACCCGTTGGATGTCCGTAAGACCCTCAAAGTCTATATCAAACGAACGCAGGAAATCCGTACGGGTACCCAGCTGTTCTGTTGTTACGGTGGCGGGAAGGCTGGTGTGCCGGCGAGCAAGCAGACTTTGTCTCGCTGGCTGGTTTCGTATTTGTGCCGCTTATCAGGCTAAGGGCAAGTCTCCCCTGAGGGGTTGAAGGCTCACTTTCGGTCAGGGCAGTAGCTGCATCAAAAGCTTTTGCATCGCACTCCCATTGAAGAGATCTGCTCTGCCGCTATTTGGAGCCGCCTAGCACGCTTATTCGGCATTATAAGCTCGATACATTCCCGTAATCGCGGCGAAGCTTTGGCGTTCTGTTCTCTCCAGTGGACAGTGTCCTGCCACCCTGACCGAGTGAGTCTTGGTTCATTGGTTTTGTTTGACGCTACTGTGCAATACTGTGTGTTATTGACATGTCCGCTACTGGGAGCTAACTACCCACATTTCGATTCTCTACGGAGTATTAAAGTCGATTGTGAGTGTTTGACATTCCCCCCTACGGTGCTCACTAATCGACACGTGGTGGGTGGGGCTTTGTTTACATTCGTACCGTGCGATTGCCTATGCTAACATATGGAGGTCGTCTTTGAGCACAAATCCTCCCTGTCAGTTCCCCTCCCATAATGCCTCTCGCGGAAGCGAAACTGGGACATGTGACAGGTGAGTGTTATGGCGTCTGTTACATTTTTTTCCATTAACGATAGCTATTTGTGTGTGCTTGGACAGAATTCCCTCCTCCCTGGCCTCCGGTCTTTGGGAGTCTGTGTTTATGCATAATATGTACCCCAAAGACTATCTCTTTGAAGAAGAATTAACCAAACCTGAAGAGGTTTTAAATTCTTCAAGAGAGTCGCCCTTGGGGTAGGGCCTCCCGCCTCCCCGCAATTCTGTTCACTGATATATTCAGCAGAAGGAATGATGATACGGGCCTAGGTGCTTACCCAGTTGGTGCGCATGCGCAACGGGAGGTAACTCCGTGAGGTGGGGGCCGTATAAAAAATAAAAGAGTTTATTTATTGTACAATCTTTTTATTCAAAAACATTGATACAACTGTCACAGGACATTTTCAGCTTGGAAAATGCATAATATGTACCCCAAGGACGACTCTCTTCGAAGAATTTAAAACCTCTTCAGGTTTGGTTAAGTTCTTTAATCACATATTAGACTCAGATCTTAGCATGTTTAATGATCAGTGAAGTCATTTTCATATTGACTCTAAATATGTGGTCTGTTAATTTGCAAAGTGTCCATTTCCATGACAGCTTTCCTTGTTTCCTTTGTAGGTATGTTCTTCAGAACACAAGCAAACTGGTGCCAGGTCTCACCCTGGAAATGGTTGATAAGTGAGTTCATCCTGACTTCACCTTGGCTATGTTCGCTGTGTAGTTCACCTGATACTTCATGGTTTCAGGAATTTCTTGCAGAAACCTGTCACTGTACAGTGTATATAGATAGACAATGATCTTGAATTCTGACTGTACTGAGATGCTGCATATGTTCTAGGGCTCCCCTCTAACAAAATCCATTGAGCAGGGTTTCCGTTCCGTACCCACATTCATCCCAGCAATGGGTAACCCTAAAGCTGTCCCATCTTGTTCACGTCATGCTGACAGTGTGCTGTGATGGGGAAACTGCTCAGCATGTATAACTTTTAAACTTATCCTATCTCACGCTATGCACCTCTCTTGTTCTTGTACGACCATGTGTGGAAACGTGCTGTAGGCTAAGTTGAATCAAACTTTCTGGCCTCTGATCCCTGACCTCTGCCCCACTCCATAGCAGCACCTGCCAATCATCTCCAGTCTGCCCTTGTCATTCTCTTACTTGTTGCCACGCTGTCTAGACGTGTGTGTATTCAAGGAATTTGACTGTTTTCTCAATCATTGGCAAATCTAGTCGCAGTGCAGCTAAGAATAAACGAAAGTTTTGTGATAGGTGCGGGAGTAATCTCTCTGCTGCAGACCCGCATTCACTTTGCGTGGACTGTTTAGGCCGATGCGACTGGGCAAAACGATGTCATTTTTGTGCTGGGTTGGATGACGACGCCTTCTCAGAATATCGCCGGGTAGCATCCAAAAGGACAGTTGACCGAGATCGTCGTAGACCCTCCGAGGGTCCTCCTTGTGTGAAACCGTCTAAGCCTGATTGTCATAAGAAGACTGCCGTTCGTCGCTCTCATACTCCATCGAAGAATTTTTGGACGTTGCGTCAGACTCTTATCTCAGCGAGAACTTACGACAATTATTTCTTCCCCAGTCGTCCAGTCCGGTCACCACTGGCGATGGTTCTCCATCCAGGATAGTCGAATTATCTATAGTCCGTTTGGCTCAAAAGCGGACCGATGAATTGCAATCTAACTCGAAAATTAATAAACATCAAATACTCAATGAAACGCTGATCATAATCAAAACATCATACCCACTCTGTGAGGTTTTTGCAGAAATTTTGTCCTAAAAATAAAAAAGTTGTTTAACAATCTATCATTAAAATATTGACACAGTTCACTATTTGTTACGAGAGAGGAGTGCAGAGAAAGGGACAGCCAGGTGTTCGAGAACGGATGGAGACGGCACAGCAGAGGTTAATGAATAAATAACTTTGTCTGTGAACGTGCTTCTCGAACACCTGGGTGTTTCACAAGGCTCTAGTCTTTCAAGGGGCGTGGCTTCAAGTATGGCTTTCGGATTGGCTGGCACTCACTCGCAAGCGCCGCTTACTGTGGGTGTGGCGCTCTTCAGCTCGCTGATTGGTCCGACGGTTTCTGCCAGTGTGCCACTTGTATCCAGTTCGGCGCTTAGATCTACTTCAGCGATCGCTACCGGTTCGGCGCTTCCCTATCAGCCTTTGATATCTACTGGTTTGCCGACTTCGATTCCGTATGTGGTCCCTCTTATTTATAGGACACCACCTGTTTCCAGTTCGCTGTTTACTTCGAGCTTGCTGTCCAGTGAATCGATCCCTCCCTGTTCGGTACTTGTTCAGAGCGCCACTTACTACCAGTGCGACACTTGCTTCTAGTTCGGCGCTTACCTCCAGCTCAACGCTTACTGTTGGTTCAGCGCTTGATCCCCGTTCGGCGCTTGGTTCCAGTTCAGTGCTTGCATCCAGCTCAACACTTACTGTCGGTCCGGCACTTGATTCCCGTTCGGAGCTTGGTTCCAGTTCCGTGCTTGGTTCCAGTTCAGTGCTTGCATCCAGCTCAACACTTACTGTCGGTCCGGCACTTGATTCCCGTTCGGAGCTTGGTTCCAGTTCCGTGCTTGCTTCCAGTTCGGCGCTGGTACCTGGTGCACAGATCCTTCCCAGTGCGACGCTCTCTGCTGGTTTATCGCATACTCCTGGTGCGCCACCTAGCTCAACTTGGCCGTTGTTTCCTGGGCATCCGGCTTTGTCTATGGTTCCTTACCCTCCAGGTGCGGCACTGCAATCGTCTTATTCAGCTCCACGAGAGCGACATTTTCTACAATCACTACTGTTGCCTCAAGCGGACCACCTACAGTGGGTTCATCAACAGAATTTGACTATACCAGCGGGCTCCTCTTCAGCTGATAGTGAATCTGTACGTCGCTCCTCTTTGTCTGCCCCGGGTTCTACTCTGCCTCCCCGTTCGGGAACTGTGACCAGACCTATCCTACCAGTTTCTTGGGACCTGTCTACTGATAGTGCAGCATCTCGGCACATGGACTTTAATGCTATCGTTCAGGCGGTGGCTTCAGCGTTGGGTCAACAAGTTTCAGCACCTTCCTCGTCTGTACAGCCTGCCGGCCCTTTCACCGTTCCGCTTCAACCCGTGGAGGAAGTTCCTCCGTCAGCCACACCTTCGCCTATTTCAGGTGGTTCCTCATCCTCCGATGTGAGCATTGATGCTGTCGACGCACCCCAAATGTTAGTCAGCAGACTTATTATCCAGCTTCAACATGAGACCGGATGACTGTGGCTCCATCACCTTCCTCCTCTTCCTTGCATCACGCAACTGGCGGCCTCCCTGGATGAGGCGTTCGACAATCTCAGGAAGATCAAGGATGGATTTGCGACACCCCGTTTCAACTTGGCGTCCTCTCATGTCCATGGTTTTTCAACCTTGATTACCTCCCCTCCGGTAGATGACGACATCACGTGGCTGGGTTCTAAGCAGAGGGCCTACTCTCCCTTCTTGGTAGAAGACCGTGAGTTGGTGCATCTGGATGGATCTGTTCTTGGTACCGAAGAAGGACTCTGACAAGTTGAGGCTCATCTTCAACATGAAAGTCTTCAACGAGATGTTTCTACAACCTCCGCCTCACTTTCGCATGGTGTCACATCAAGCCGGGGGATTACATGATCAGCCTCAACCTTGAGGATGTGACCTTCAGGATGCAAGTTTCTTCGTTTCGTCTTCGAGGGCACCCATTATCAATGGCGTGTCCTCCCGTTTGGAATTTCTTCGGCCCCGTGGCTGATTACACGGGTGACAAAGCCCATCAACAGATTTCTCCATCGCAAGGGGATATGCTTCGAAGCATATATAGACGACCGCATCCAGGCTCAGACTGACCGTGTCTTTCTACTACGTCAAATGCAGCTCATGATGCAGCTACTTCACCAGTTAGGCTGGCTGGTCAATATCAAGAAGTCGGAACTAGTCCCGTCGCGTTGCCTGCAGTTAATCGGGGCGGTGTTTGACACGGAACTCAACAAAGTGTTTGTACCGAAGGAACGCTTTGTCAAGATACAGATTCCCCTTGCGTTGGCTCATCCCAGGACTCTTCGCCAATGGCAGGAGCTTCTGAGTCTCTTGGGTCTGCCCACGCGTTGACTCTCAGAGGTCAACTCCAACTTCGACCGCTGCAGTTGTTCCTGGCTGCGCACATCAGGAGGGGCGACCTGCTCTCCCTGATCAAGCTTCCTCTAGAACTCCATCCTCATCTCCTATGGTGGATGGACGAATCGAACGTCTGCAGTGGAATCTGTTTAAGGCCGTTCGTCCCATCTCACCACCTGTATGTGGACGCATCTCTACACGGGTGGGGAGCTCACCTTCTCGATCAGATCGGTTCTCACAGATCGTGCCTCCCACATCAACGTTCTAGAGTTCAGGGTGGTGATTCTGTCCATCACTCACTGGCAGGATCGACCTCTCTCATGGTTCGGTCGGACAACTCAGCAGTCGTGTGGCACATCAACCGGATGGGGTCGACAGGGTCTCCTCAGCTCCTGCAGTGGACGCAACAATTTTTCCAGTTGCTAGACAGTCTCAACATCTCCGTTCGGGTGGACCATATTCCGGGAGTGAAGAACGTCATTGCGGACTTGCTTTCCCATCCACTTCGTCCCTCTCCGACAGAATGGAAACTACATCCCCATGTGTTCCAGACCTTCTGTTTCCCACTGATGACTCCAACAGTGGATCTCTTCGCCACCAACTTCAACCACCAGCTACCTCTGTTCGTGTCTCCGATTCCAGATCCTCTTGCTTGGAGTCACAGCTACATGCAGAGGTAGTTGACACTCCGCTTACTGACCTCTACTCCTCGAGCAATCACGTCAGTGAAGTGTTGATATCCGATTACCTACGTGGTTTTCGAAGCGTTCCGCTCCTAAGTCCTTTCTCGCCTCTGGGAGGGAGATCGGTACCGAACGTTAAACAAGTCGAGCCACCGGGCTATTCCCTCTTTCACCGTCTCCAGGGCGTGTCTGTGGGGGATAGTTCCGAGCAGGGACTGGCCAGATTATGGTCTTTGACTTTAATTCACTGGGGTCACTTGAAAAATCGCGGGGTAGTGAGGTCCACTTGCCAAACTGCGTCCTATTGCTTGTCAAAAGTTGCGGCTGAAAACCACATTATTTCGGGAGCGCCCACTCCCTAGAGTTTTTGTGCAGAGTAAGCCAAGGGGTTATCCGAAGCAACCCGTCACAAGTTTGGGGTTAGCATAGCAGGAGTTGGTGCTTTCTCCTGGCCTCCTTGTGGTATGCGACCTCACGGTTGTAGAGTCACACAGAGTAATCTGCGGCCCGCCTTTCCAACCGTGGGATAATGCATAGCGTGAGTTAGGATAAGTTTAAAAATTTGGAAATTTTAACATAAATCGTATATTTATATACTTATCCTATCTCACGCGAAGGATACCCGCCCGACCTGCCCCACATCACAGATTACTGGGAGCTCCAAGACGAGAATGACAAGGGCAGGCTGTCAGGTGATTATCGGAACAATCTGCACGCTTATTGAGATGATTGACAGGTGCTGCTATGGAGTGGGTCAGGGGTCAGAGGCCAGAAAGTTTGATTCAACTTAGTCTACAGCTTGTTCCACACATGGTCGTAGAAGAACAAGAGAGGTGCATAGCGTGAGATAGGATAAGTATATAAATATACAATTTATGTTAAAAGTTCCAATATTGTAGCTCACGATCTTTGCTTTGTATCAGTGTATGTAAAGTTTGTTCCGCATTAAAATATATTTCAGTTTCCAGTTGAAACTATATTGCTAAAGGCAAAGACTAAAGCGGTTCAATGTTACTAACCCAACTATACCGTTGTACATTGCTACTGAATTAAAAGAACATGCATTGTTGTCATCAGGATCCCAGGTCAGCAGAATGACCGGCGGACAATGTGGGGTGAGCTCAACTGGATCTTCACAGCCATCACCGACACGATTGCCTGGAACATTCTCCCTAAAGGTGAGTTGTGCTGTCTCATGGAACTCTCACTCTGTTTCACCCTGTCATCTCGTGTATTTTCACAATTTATTCTGTGTTAACTTTTAAAAGGATTCTTTCTCAGAAGTCGTCCTCCTTGGGTACATATATGCATTAAAATGTCCATTTTAAAACTTACAACAGTTGCAACTATATTTTTTAGGGGGGTGGGTGGGGGACATATGGGCACAGGACCCCCCTTCTAAAAAAGCTTCTAAGAAGAAGAGTTCCTCCTCTTCTGTAGATGTGGGGGGTAAGCAGGCCAAGGCGGCGGAAAAAAACCCTTCTTCCCCTACCCCCTCCACTTCTGCACAGTCTGCTCAGTCTGCACCCATAACCTTGTCTGATCTGTCATCTATTTTACAGCCGCTAAAGTCACTTATCTCGGACGCGATGTCCGGTCTCCGGCAGGCACAGTTCAACCTCCCGGCCCGGTCACTCGGGTCCCGTACCGATGTTGACCGGCGCTCAGGCTATGGGTCCCCTGAGTGCATCGGTACTCCCGGTTGCCTCGGCATCCTCTGGTCTGGGCAGGCACTACCGGGTGACCGACAACCAAAGCCAACAACCAAAGTTTGCGCACGACCATTTGGCGTCACAGGCCAGATGCGAGTGCACCTCTGTCAGCTGCCTCGCAAGCGTGTTCACCAAACTCATGCTCATTCCAGCTCAGGTCACCAGGGCACAGGGCAACTTTTGTTACTCGTACCTGGACGACTGGCTACTTTGAGCGCTCGCCACCCACTTGAGTCGGGATCCACACAGGCTGTGATGGATACTCTCACCAAGTGAGGTTGTATTATCAACCTCAAGAAATCAGAGCTGGTCCCGACACAGCTTCGGGGTTTCTTGGGGATGAGATTCGAGACATAGTGTCCCTGTCTCGAGACCTCATATCCAAAGTTCAGCAGATTGTTTTACAATTCCTCCAGTCCCCCAGGGCCTCAGCTCGGACATGGCTCGAGTTACTGAGCAACATGGTGGCGACAGTGGACATAGTTTAGCGTGCGCGTCTGAGGATGCGACCTATTCAGCAAGCATTGGTGCAGCTGTGGTCTCACTCGGAGAGTTACAAGAAAATTCTGGCAACTCCGGAGTGGCTCATTCCTCACTTACGGTGGTGGAACGACACCGGGAATCCATCCAGGGGTACCTCGCTGGAGACCCCAGTGCTGACACTCACAATTCAGACGGATGCCTCCCTTACAGGTTGGACCACAGGCAACCCTGCACATCTATGTGCTTGAATTGAGAGCAGTCCGGTAGGTATTAGAATGCTTCATGGAGCAGGTTCAGAGCCGAGTGGTTCGTCTAGAAATGGACAGCCAGACGTCGATGTCCTACATCCTGAAGCAGGGCGGTACGGTGTCTCCGTCACTCCTTCAGGAGGCATGGCAGTTCCTACTCTGGTGCGATCAGCTTGACATACAGGTTATGCCTGTTTATCTCCCGGGGGGTAGACAACGTCCGTGCATCAGCGCTCTCACGACATATACTAGCCCCTCACGAGTGGTTACTTGACTGGGAGATATTCTGGATTATCTCCCAGTTGTTCGGGTCGTTCCAGGTGGATCTGTTTGCCTCTGGGGTGACAAACCAGATGCCTGTGTTTTGCTCTCGGATTCCGGATCCGAGGACGATTGCCTCTGATGCCTTCCAGCTCGATTGGACGGACAAGGTTCTGTCGGCTTTCCCAACGATACCCCTGATACCCAGGGTCCTATCGCAGCTAGCCACCCAACCAGCGTGACTACTTGTGCTACTTGCACCTCTGTGGTCGTCTCAACACTGGTTTCCTGTAACACTCAGGCTGCTAGATCAGCCTCCTGTACTATTACCCATGAGGCCGGACCTACTATCCCAGAACGGAGCGCCACACCCAAATCCTAGGATGCAGTGGGTGGCTTGGCCTTTGTCCGTAATCACCTCCACGCGAGCAGAATTCCTGCACCAGTTGCAGACACAATTCTGGCTTCGCAGAGGGTTTCGACAAACGTTCAATATGAGGATAGAAGGGCCTGTTATGTGCACTGGTGTGGAAAGAGAGGGATTCTTGATCCCTTTTCTTTGACTTTAGTCAAAATACTGGAGTTTTTAGAGGCTACTCCTCCAAACCTTGGGTTGGGGGTTGGGGTTATTTAAGTGACAGGACACTGTTAGCCAATCAGATATAGGCTAAGACATTCCAGATCCTCGCCCTAGCCATAACACACACAAACACACACACACACACACACTTGATTGACATCAGCGGTCAGGTGACTGGGTAAGTGTCTCTTCTCGGTTGTAGAATGTTACTTCCAATGGATCGTTATGTCAGACAGAATGCCACTCCCAACTCAAATATCTGTGGGAGTCTGTCTTACACTTATATGTACCCCAAGGAGGACTTCTTCTGAAAATGAATCGTACAAACCTGTAGAGGTTACTGATTCTTGGGTACGGCCATCCGCCTCCCCTCATTCTGTCTGATTCGTTCAGCATGAAAAGTGGGGTGTGAGGTAGACGGCTAGAGTTACCTGCTCTTGGCTGTAGGGGGCCCTGAGGGGCCCTGTAGAGGTGGTCTCACAAGACAAAGACATCTTTTTGTTTTGTAAATATTTTATTAAAAAATAAAGTTACAACTGTCAGAGATTTTAAAATGGACATTTTAATGCTTATATGTACCCCAAGGAGGACTTTATTCAAAGAATCAGTAACCTCTACAGGTTTGTACGAATCTGTTGATGAGCGGAACTTTTTAGAAAGCACTTAAAGCGGAATTTTAACTTTTTGAAGGCATGGAAAAGAAATATGTGAGTCATTACACATAATATATATGTGTGTAACTTGCAATCACATAAACATAGATCCTTCATAAGCATTGTAGCAATATTTTTAGAGCTTTTACTGCAAACACTATCTTCATACTAACTGCTTTTTCAACAAGCACTTTTGCCATCTCTCTGATGTTAACCTTTGAAGATCAACTATTGTCCTCCCAGTTTGTAAGCAGGGATGTTTGGATATTGAGAAATACTGAACAGCATTATTTTATTCTTCACTGAACTTAAGGTACCCAGTGCCAAGGAACCGAAAGTGGAGTATCTGTTTACAAACTCCATATCCAAATTGCACCGAGATATATGTCATCAACTGATGACTTTGGTTCTTTTTCCTTGTTTCAGAGCTGTTCCAGAAGTTATTTCGCCAGGACCTGCTTGTGGCGAGTTTATTCAGGAACTTTCTGCTTGCCGAGCGCATCATGCGTTCTTACAACTGTACCCCGATCTCTAGTCCGAAACTACCTCCAACCTATCAGCACCCCATGTGGTGAGAGCCTTGTGTAAAACAAACAGTGAAGTGTATGAGTATATTGAAACAACATAAGAACTAAGCCTAGGGGTTTGCTGACTTTCAGTTTGTAAACATCTTGAGTGTGAAAAGTACAGCTGACTAGCTTCGATAGCAGAGAGATTAGTGATGTCATTGAATTGAGATGCCATGGTGATTGATAATGCCCCAATGGTCTGTGTGTTGTTTTACAAATCCGTCTTAGCTTTAAGGTGATTGTAACTCCCATACCTTAACATAGACATGACAGGAGTAGCGCTGAGGTTGCTTTGTACGAAGGCAGTGTGGAAAGCATTGTCCAAGGATGCAAGTAGTCTGTTTTAATGAGGAGGGTCATCATTTGGGTCCTTCAGTGGACTCCCATGCAGTGTCTCTCTGTAGTATGAAGGCTCACTCCTCCACTAATGTTTACGTTGACAGGTTTATATTCAGAGTTTTGGAGTTAACTTGGTATGGGGAAGGTTCACTGTAATTTTCCTACACGATTTCTTTCAGGCAAGCATGGGATCTTGCTCTTGACCTCTGTCTTTGCCAACTGCCTCGGGTCAATGAGGAAGATGGCTCAGCATTCAAGCACAGCCCTTTCTTTGCTGAGCAGCTAACTGCTTTCCAGGTGTGGTTGTCATTTGGTAGGGAAGACCGCAGGCCCCCTGAGCAACTGCCTATTGTACTACAGGTAAATGTCACCTTCTAGGACACTATCAATTGTGATCCAATAGTTTTGTCTACACTCTGTCTACTTATAATATTATCCCCGTCGCACGTTTAACGCTTCGCGAAGCGGTGGATATACTATTAGGCTCCGTCCGTACGTACGAATTGGAATATCTTAAGAACCGTTGACTAGATTCTTTTCATATTTGGTACCTAGGTTCATAACAGTATAAGAAAGGCCCCAGTCAGGTTTGGTGACCTTGACCTTAATTTCAAGGTCACAAGGGGACTTTAAACGTTTTACTCTTGTCAGCGAGATATCTCAAGAACCATTAGCTAGATTTTCTTCCTATTCAAAACCAAGCTTTATCTAGGGAAGGCGCAGGGCCCAGTCGATTTTGGTCACCTACACATGATTTTCAAGGTCATAGCGACACTTTGAAGATTTCAGCATATTAACCTGCATGTTATGCTTGTCAGCGAGATACCTCAAGAACCATTCACTGGATTTTCTTCATATTTGGCGCCAAGCTTCATCCAGTGAAGGCGCAGGGCCCAGTCGATTTTGGTCACCTTCACTTAATTTTCAAGGTCACAGCAAAACTTTGAAGATTTCAACATGTTAACCTGAATTCAGTGGATTTTCTTCATAGACTTTCAAGACTTCCCATGAATGTTTTTCAATAAGCAGTTTCTTTAGTACCATTTTTGCATATTTCATACACCGACATTCATGTCAAGGTCAAGTCAGTCTTGAAAATATTTGTGTGTTTATGCTTGGACTTGGCCTCAAGCAGTCTGTTGCCATATTGCTTGAATAATAATAAACACAACGTTAGACAGTCTGATTTTGAAAAATGACAATCACACTTGAATAATGTGACACTATGATATTGATGCTGATCCACCATATTTACATGTCACCATTTATCAGTGTATCAGAAACAGTTTGAAGAGTATGTGAGACCTGGCTAAGTAGATTTTCCAGGACAGAAAATTTCCCATGATCCATCAATTTTGTCAGAGGAATCCATTACATTTTGAATCAAACAATGTGTGATTGTACATAAAACAAGATATGTCCTCAAACGCTGCCAAAAGTATCTGACACTGTGCTTTTGTGAATATAAACTTCTGAGTCATATAAGTTAAATGGCATCGAACTGTACATCAAATGATGCCAGTGTAACACTGTGTTATTGAACAGAGCTACTTGTTATTACAAGTTTGTTTCATATCCCCAGGTGTTGCTGAGTCAAGTTCATCGACTGCGAGCCCTTGATCTGCTGGGCAAGTTCCTGGACCTTGGTCCCTGGGCTGTGAGTCTGGTACGTCATGACCAGGGAGGAAGTTTTGGTCTTATATTACATCAAACATGTAAAACAAATGCGTGAAATAATCTACATAAAAAAGATTGAACAAAACACCTGATCTGCCAAAGTGCCCATGGATCAAAAGAATTTGGAGATGTGAATACACAATAATTCAAATTAAACAAACGCTTTGTGACTTTTTCAGGCAGGTCAATGATCCTGAGGTAGGTTCTCACCCAATGATTTCTTCATGTTCCAGGCCCTGTCAGTTGGTATCTTCCCCTATGTGTTGAAGCTCCTTCAGAGCTCGGCAAGAGAGCTTCGACCTCTACTGGTGTTCATCTGGGCCAAAATACTGGCTGTGGACAGTGTAGGTGTTATAGGTTATTTACAGAGGGAAATCCAGCAGAGTGCTTGTCATGACAGGCAATTAAATGTTAGGGTGACGGACTTGGTTACTGGATTGATTGTGTCAGAGTACTGAGACTGTTGGATATTGTTCATTATATTCATCACTGGTTATTATGTTGGATAATTGATCCCAGGCCGCTATTATAGCTGGTATATTGATAAGTGTTAAACAAAACAGTAACAGAGTGTTAGAACTGAGTATATTTTGCGACCTTATTTCTGAATTTAATGAATTTACTTAATCTATTGTGGTTTTCAGTCCTGCCAGGCAGACCTTGTGAAGGACAATGGTCATAAGTACTTCCTGTCTATTCTTGCTGATCCATATTTGCCGGTAGGTGTTCTCCTTATCTTGTGAGGGTGGTATTTTGCCAGTTGTACTTATTTCTGGTGATGTCAACTTTACATGTGAATTATGGTCCTGATAGAGATTGAGGTATCCATACAGAAGGGAGCCTCTCATCAGCCAGTATTTGCCCCAAGTGATATGGCATGAAATCAGCTGTATGTGTGAGGTGAAAGAGTGGCAACGCTGTGTTTATTAGGATTTAAGTTAAGGTGCAGCTTGGTCAGCAATTAGTACAACAGGTAAATCACAATGGCCGTTTGTGCTCACAACACTTGCATGCCTTTGAGAGTGGGTTTGAATCCCATATGGAGCCGACACACCATACAAGGCAGTTTTCAAGCAAACACCGACTCATTTATATGTATTTCTTCAGGCTGAGCACCGGACAATGGCAGCCTTCGTCCTGGCAATGATAGTAAATGAATACCAGCAGGGTCAGGTCAGTGGTCCCACTCGTTATGTCTTGTGTCTGTGTGAAGTTTATACATCATAGAAATACATAAAACATAATAATATCTGATGTGTTGGAGCAACTGTGGTGTTGTTAGAAGAAGAATGTTGACATTGTGACTAGATCCAGATGTAGGTATCCTGCAGACATTGATGTTTGTACTGTGAGTTCTAGGTGTCAATACTGTAATGTCTATGGTGTTATGATCTGTCACATCAGAAGGCCTTAGTGGAAATTTCTGATGCAGGTTCACAAATTACAGCGAAATATTGAAATATTTGTGCAGCAACAATATCTTGTGATGGCCACCAGACTCTTCAGTGTGGTATATCAATTTTTGAAAAAGGCAGTCGTAACAAGCAAATGATATCCAATATTTCAACTGTGACAAGTATCTGAACAGTTCAGGCAGGCAGCTGTTTGGACTTTCACAATGCTGCCAGATCTGTCTGATAGCTGTATGTTGCAACTAGAGGTGATGAAGTAGTGTATGTGTGTCTCCAGGAAGCTGCCTTACAAGGGGGCGTCATATCAGTGTGTCTGGAACAACTGGGCGACCGCAACTCCACCCTCCGACAGTGGCTGGCTCTCTGTCTGGGCAAGGTGAGTCCACACACTGCAGCCTTCCGTGTGGTAGGTGCTGAATATCAATAACTAGGGATACTTCTTGTATTCCATGATACACCAAACTTAATTGTTTCATGTTTTATATGAAACTACTCAACCTGTGAAGAGTAACAGGGTATATGGTGAAATTAATATGGAACTAGTATCTATTTAGATTTATTTTTGTAGGTGTGGACTAACTTTGACAATGCAAGGTGGTGTGGTGTGAGAGATAGCGCACATGAGAAGCTCTACAAACTACTGATGGATCCAGTACCAGAGGTGAGCCATTCAATTGGGATGGCTCTTACAGTACAGCTACACACTGAAACCTTCTGTAGTGTTTAATGTTAACTGGTTTTGTGCAGGACACAGCATCGTTGTCCATGAAATATGACAGCTATAACTATTATTTAACCTTTACAATAACCTGCCATTCTCAGACATGTCAAGTTTCAAGTGAGGCCAGAAAAGCATGTATCCCCTGTCATCTCTGCGGAATTCCCTATAGGATTGAATGTTACACTGCTTTTCCTGGGTTAGTTTGTTTCTGAGTGCTATGATACATAGGATCGTTCCTAATTGGTATCTTCACTTGGCCCTGGTTGTTTGCTGACTGCAGGGTAAACCTCACTCAATGTTCTTGTGGCAGGTTCGTGCAGCAGCTGTATTTGCTCTGGGGACATTCATAAGCAACAGGTCTGAACGAAGTGACCATGCGATCCAGATCGACCTGGGGGTCGGGATGAGATTGGCAGAGGTCGCTTCTGACGGCAGTCCCCTGGTCAGGAAGGTGAGCAAGGTCATCTCACTCATTTGTGTCAGGAACCATGGTTACAAGGCAGAAACAAGAACCTTTTGTCAAGGCCATTGAAATAAACAGTGATCAAATTCATCATTCAGATTTCTGTAAGATTGTCATGACAGAAGATAGTCCAGTAACAGAAGACAGTTGAGTTGTTGTCAACCTGTTCTAGTAAATACATTCAACATCATCATGATTAAGTGATCAAAAGAAACTGCCCCGTCTCTCCCTACCACAAGTTTGAGAGGACATCTTTTCATCTGCTCATCACACTGTTTCCAGAACAAAATACTATTTAGTAGATCTTCTTAAATGTTTGCATACATTTTGACTAATTGATGTTGTTTTACACTTTATTATTCAAATACGATTTCATGCAAACAAAATGTGTTTGTTAATGATTAACCTGTGTTCACAATTGTAAAGAATTGAAAATGATATTAATACTGCTGAATTATGTCCAGTATGTGTTGCACCAGTTCTTGATGTGAGATGTCCACACGGTCAGTATGAGCTGGTCTGGTCCACCCTGCCTTGACTGTGTATAAGTGTGGCTGTGGCTTGCAGGAGCTGGCTGTGGCTTTTGGTGGTCTAGTGGTGCAGTTTGAAGGGCAGTTCGCTGCTGTAGCCTCTCAGATGTTGGAGGAGGAGAAGTTGAAGGATCGTAACACGCCAGATCGTGTCAGCCGAGGCCCCCGGTGGGTGGAATGTTGTCACCCCTGGCACTGGTATGCATTCCTACACAGATACTCTGCTCAAAGTCACCACAAAACTAGTTTGACAAAACAGTTTAGATTATCTGGGCCCCGTTCCTCAAAGCAATCGTAGTGCTAAGATGATCGTAACTACCATATTTTAACATTGGCTTACGACTGTCGTAGCGCTACGATAGCTATGGGGCCCTGATGTATCATATATATTTTATGATTCTCCATTTTGTTCAAATTCATCATAAATACATGTTTCATATCTCGGGAAATGTGTCTTGAAATTAGCATATATTTTTCTGTCATTGTAACAACCAGAATTTGGACAACTAAACTATCAGAATCTGTGCATATTTTGGATATTGATACAGTTAAATGAACACCTTGATTTTTAATGTGATAAAAAATACCTTTAACTTGTGAGTTATCTTACTCAGTTTGGCTTGAATGAAGTCTATGCATCAAGATTCTTTCTCTTTTGAGCTGAGTGTCTGCATTCCCAACTCTAACCCCTCCAGAAACCTGCCACCATCACACAATATATGCATGTAATAACCAACTGGTACTTTGTTGGGGGGGTAGCATGTCTGAAACAGTGGGTAGTACTTGGACATCATCAGTCTTGATGTTAGTGTTGTAGGGTTTCACTAATATAGCCAGTCACAGGATGTTTGTGACAGGAAATACATTAACACTTAACTGGATGTAGTGCTTAGGTTAGTTTTTATTTAATATAATTCATAACTGAAGCGTAAAACAACGCATTTTTCACATATGATATTTGTGTTTTAATCAGTTACAGAACCATAACCTAAATTTGTGGATAACCTTGATTCGTGGATTGCGCTTATTATCATGCTATGTCGTAAATTAAGTCTTGTATGATGTCACAAAGCGGTACTTTTGATATACACTCAATGCCAAGCCTTGCTGACAAGAATGTTCTGAATGTGTGCATTAAGAGTAAGTACAATAAATCTAATTTTCCAGCACTGAGATAAATAGCCCAAGATCACTAATGGCACTAATACCAAATTTTGTTTTTACAAAATGTCAAGTGAAAAAGATACCGTTAGCGTCAACCTTCTCACATCTCATCATCTGCTTTCTTAGTGTCAATACTTACTGCAATGGGCTGTTGTACAGTGATATATTGTAACTGACTACATTATCCCCGAAAAAGGTGATGTCACATTTTGTGTGCACACAAATGGGTGATGCTTGCAAATGGCTTCGGTAAACAAATGTTTCGTTCACGAGTGGACTAATGGACATTTTCAATTTGCTGAATCATAGAATAAAATAATCAATGAGCATACAAAATGAAATTGTGCATTTGAAATATGATTTTCACAGAAATTCCCTTATATCCACAAATCAAGGTTACGTTAGTGTAATACTATTGATGTGTGAATTATTTCTTAATCATTGTTAATGTTGATGATAATGATAATGTTACTAATGTTCAAACATATGTTATGTCTTTGAACTGAACTAAATATGGGTATTGTCTTTGATATATTCGTGTTAGTAAAGATTAATTACAATCAGCACCCTCCTTAACCTTACAGCTTTATGGCCTTTACCTTAAGGTTCCATGTGACCTTCACCATGTATTTCAGATGGCTTGCTCTCACCTTTGAGTGCAGCTGGCATCCGGCGCAGTGCTTCTCGCGGTAGCCTGAAGGGCATGCTATCCTGTAAGACATTTCTCCCACTTGCATTATGGGAACCTTTTCCTCTGCATATCACTCCACTTGCATAAGCTATCTTCCCATTTAGCTAAGTATGATTACAAATTGTGTTAACTCGAGCAGCAGAAAAATGTAAACAGTAATTGATGGAATGTTGCACAGCAGGTATAGTAGAAATATACCAACGATGTAAGTTTGTGAAGATGACAGTATTGATTCACCATTGTTTCAGAGTGGTTCCTTTGTATGTTCAGTGACTGTTGTCTATTATGTTTATAGGTATTGTTGTAATGGCTAGTAGTATAGAAGAAGATCTTATCAAATGTTGATAAAACACCTCTTCATAATGCCCAGATAGGGGTCTTCTCAAGAAATAAATCAACTATCTTTACAAGATATTTGAGCTATTTTGTGACTCGATACGTACAGGATGATTCTGTTGATAGCATGCTGTTTTTGTTGAAGTGATGTTATGGTTCTACTAATTTACTATTTGAGGAGCAGTAGTATTCAGTTGTGAAAATGTCAAAAATGTTATATACTATTTGTGTCAGTGAATATGGAATTATTTGCTTTTATGATTAGATGCTGAATTGGAACTGTTGATGTAACAACATTGAAATGAGGGCAACTGTCAGGTGTATCAAACCGTAATTTACACCTTACTAAGCCAGGGTCTGCCAGTCGTAGATTGAAATTACATATACAATCAGTGCCACATACTGTAAAACATGTTAGCTTCCAATATATCTCAATACGTATCACAATACAGATGCAGTATTTCAATATATGGCTAACGATTCATTTGCCAATACACAGCCCTACTGGCCATGTTGAATAATACCAAAATTGTTAACAATTTCTCTGGACGCAGGACTAGATCAATGAACTGCACCAATGAGGAGAAGAGGATTCTGCTTTTCACTATTGCCATTATGGCAATCATATAGAAAAAGCTGTTTGTGGTCAGTTCTGTTCAAATGTTACCAAATATGGCACAGATGTAGTTAGTTTTGGAGTTCCAACATACGTTCACTTTTGCCTCTTTAATTTGAATTCTACCTTTTTGATTTTTGTGTTTTGACCATGCTTTTATATTCTGTAGTCCATAATTGGATCTGCATGCATCTTACCTTGCCATTCTGAGAAAGGTCAACTTTGGTATATATGTTTCCTATCATGGTGACATCTTTAAGATTTGTAAGCAAAGGATTTTAGTGTTAGGTTGCCAGCGCTTGTGCAGACTTTTTCTCAAGTGCCTGTTTGTTGACATTTTAAACTGTTGTCTTCTTATCTTGGTGAGCTACAATTTAATAGCGCACATTTTGCCTTCATTTACATGTCACAGTGTGATATACTGAAATAATGTTGGCATCAACCACACCCCTCAGTTGTTAGACCATGCCCCCCTCCTGATGTTGTAGCCACTCCCACCTCCATGACGCCCCTACAGAACTACACCAGTAGTAGCTCCACCAGCGTAAGAGAGTGCCGGCAGCCATGATGGTCTACGCAGAGACTCCTCGTCATCCTCCCTCAGTGGCCTGGCCTTCAAGAACGTTCACATGTGTGTGTGGCGCTCACTGCTGCTGCTAGCCATGGACCCCCACACGGAGGTGGCAGACATGGCCAAGAAGATTGTCAACTCTGTCAGGCTCAGGGTCAGTCAGGGCTGTTCTGCTGATCAGCCTCATCTATCTTCACAAATAAATTATTTGTATGTACGATGTTCCCTCAATAACTAACGTTCTGCAACCTTCTATTTATGAAATCATACACTGCTATGAGGACACATAGCAAGGTTACACTGCATTGACATACTTGTGTGTATTTTAAGGAATGTTGCCACAACACATCAACTTAGCTTGGCTGTAAAATGAAAATTGTCTTTGAGGATTTGACATAGCACTTACTCCGTATATACAGAAGAGTACTGTGACTGGGAGAATGTTACCATGCTTGTTCTGTCCTGTCAGGCGTCGCTGTGTGCCAAGCCCAAGATGATGATTCAGAACAGTCAGATGTCTCACTCTGCTCCCTGCAGTCCTTCAAACAAGCCCCCAGCTAACATGATACTTGGGTATGTATCTTGCTGCAGCCATGCTCTGGTTATGGTTTGGATCCCAGATTTGTCTGTTTATATAACCTGATGGGTGGGTTTCAGTTTAGACATAATTTGAAACATATTAGTGTATTGTTCCTTCACACTAGGACAGGGAACCCCATGATATTACCGCTACTGAAAACATTTGAAAGGAGTGTTTAGCTCCTTCTCAGTTACTTAAAACAGATGTTCTGTCACATCATATTGATGCCACTGAATATCATTGATTTAACATTGTCCATGTGGAAGTCATCGTAGCTGATTCTTATATAAGCTCTAAACCCATCATGCTCCCTGCTTGAAAAGCACTAAACCCAACATAACCACTGTTCATTGCTGCTTTAATCTGACACAGGACACCTCCCCAAAATTCGGACATGATAAACAGTGTTGATGAAGTTCGGAACCGAGACAACCAGTCCCCAGGGCGCACCAACATTCTTGTGACCCCAGTTCGAGGGACCGGGCAGAGCTCCCAGCCCCCTCACCAACCGTACTCCATGCAATTCTCCCGTCACAGGAAGATATTTGATAAAGGTCCCACACCAGTGAGTCACATGCGTTGACAACTTAAAGACAAGGATGCTAGTATGTTGCACAAAGCTAGGAAATGTTCAGGACATATTTTGTTACATATGTAATTATTGATACGGTGTAATATCTTGAAGCAGATTTACATATATGTTGTTTTGTAAGAGCTTTGTCATGTTGATTTGAATGCATTAAGGGATTGTGATGTTGAGAAGGTAGTAAAGTGTTATACATCTGAGACTGCATTATAGAACAAGTACAGTCATACACTTTTTAAACTGTACATAGTACTAAAGTTGCATTATTTTTTGGGGGCGGTGGGGTAGCCTAGAGGTTAAAGCGTTCACTCGTCACGCCGAAGACCCAGGTTCGATTCCCCACATGGGTATATTGTGTGAAGCCCATTTCTCGTGTTCCCCGCAATGATATTACTGGAATATTGCTAAAAGCAGCGTAAAACAAAACTCACTCACTCACTCATTTTTATTTGTATTGTTTAGCCTAAATCTTCAGAGAAATCTATTCTGTAAGGATGTTTCCCTGCAAGATTGATTGACAAACTTGACAATATGTGGAATAGGCAGAAGGAGGAATGATCTCTCGTGTTACCTGCCCTGTATTCATGCATACAAAATGGCAGTGACTGATCATGCTTAGTAATATTCAGTTTTTACATACAAGTCCTAGTTTTTAAATTTAGCCCATCTCACAATGATAGGATAAGTATTACATTTATACAATTTATAGTTAGAATTTCCAATTTTCTACATACAACTCGGTGTCTGTAATTTATAGTTAGAATGTAGGGATACCTGCACCGCAATATGTGGCAGTACAATGTTGTGGCCACTACCCACCTGTGATTATGTATGAATGGAGACTATGATGCTGTAGATTGAGGAGAAGGAGGAGGAGGTGCCCAACATTACTACCTCCAACGCATCCAGTTCACAGAACATCGGCCCTGTTTCCACCGAGTTCTTCCAGTGGAGTTTTCGACATTTTGCGCAGCCAGTTCACAGAATGAGAGAGATGAGTGACCCAGAGAGTGAGCCGCACCATCGGCGAGAGTACTGTTTTCTGCGTAACTCACATGTCCGCAGAGACGCCCGTGAAGACCAGATTAGAGCTGGTTAGTCCCTTGATATCACCTCACTCATGATTTACTCAGTATAGTATCATACTATAGTTACGTTAACATGTTAGTTTGTTTTACTACTGGACAAAGTTTAGTGTTTCTCTAGGATATGGATTTGATAAATTACCAAGTGAATTGTAGTGTATATGTGTTATCAGCATTTAACATTAAGGTGGGCCCTTAAATATGGTATGGTAACCAGCAAACAAACAAAACTTGACATTTATCTCATTGACGATAGTAGTGCAAAGGTATACTATACAAATGACAACCAAGTTGATGTGATGTATATCTCCAGGTTTCAGTCGGCTGGATGACCAGATCTTTGTGAACCGTAACCAGTACCCTCCATCAGTGGTCAAGTTCCACCCTTACAAGCCTCACTTAGCAGTGGCAGACAAGGAGTCCGGTGTGAGGTAAGTCAGATCTCTCACACACCTTACAAGCCTCACTTAGCAGTGGCAGACAAGGAGTCTGGTGTGAGGTAAGTCAGATCTCTCACACACCTTACAAGCCTCACTTAGCTAGTGGCAGACAAGGAGTCTGGTGTCAGGTAAGTCGGATCTCTCACACACCTTACAAGCCTCACTTAGCAGTGGCAGACAAGGAGTCTGGTGTCAGGTAAGTCGGATCTCTCACACACCTTACAAGCCTCACTTAGCTAGTGGCAGACAAGGAGTCTGGTGTGAGGTAAGTCGGATCTCTCACACACCTTACAAGCCTCACTTAGCAGTGGCAGACAAGGAGTCTGGTGTGAGGTAAGTCGGATCTCTCACACACCTTACAAGCCTCACTTAGTTAAGTGGCAGACAAGGAGTCTGGTGTCAGGTAAGTGGGATCTCTCACACACCTTACAAGCCTCACTTAGCAGTGGCAGACAAGGAGTCTGGTGTCAGGTAAGTCAGATCTCTCACACACCTTACAAGCCTCACTTAGCTAAGTGGCAGACAAGGAGTCTGGTGTCAGGTAAGTCGGATCTCTCACACACCTTACAAGCCTCACTTAGTTAAGTGGCAGACAAGGAGTCTGGTGTCAGGTAAGTCGGATCTCTCACACACCTTACAAGCCTCACTTAGCTAAGTGGCAGACAAGGAGTCTGGTGTGTCAGGTAAGTCAGATCTCTCACACACCTTACAAGCCTCACTTAGCAGTGGCAGACAAGGAGTCTGGTGTGAGGTAAGTCAGATCTCTCACACACCTTACAAGCCTCACTTAGCTAAGTGGCAGACAAGGAGTCTGGTGTCAGGTAAGTCAGATCTCTCACACACTTACAAGCCTCACTTAGCTAAGTGGCAGACAAGGAGTCTGGTGTCAGGTAAGTCGGATCTCTCACACACCTTACAAGCCTCACTTAGCTAAGTGGCAGACAAGGAGTCTGGTGTCAGGTAAGTCGGATCTCTCACACACCTTACAAGCCTCACTTAGCTAAGTGGCAGACAAGGAGTCTGGTGTCAGGTAAGTCGGATCTCTCACACACCTTACAAGCCTCACTTAGCTAAGTGGCAGACAAGGAGTCCGGTGTCAGGTAAGTCGGATCTCTCACACACCTTACAAGCCTCACTTAGCTAAGTGGCAGACAAGGAGTCTGGTGTCAGGTAAGCCGGATCTCTCACACCTTACAAGCCTCACTTAGCCTCAGACAAGGAGTCTAGGTAATCCGGATCTCTCACACACCTTACAAGTCACTTAGGTGTCTGCGTCAGGTAATCCGGATCTCTCACACACCTTACAAGCCTCACTTAGCTAAGTGGCAGACAAGGAGTCTGGTGTCAGGTAAGTCGGATCTCTCACACACCTTACAAGCCTCACTTAGCTAAGTGGCAGACAAGGAGTCTGGTGTCAGGTAAGTCGGATCTCTCACACACCTTACAAGCCTCACTTAGCTAAGTGGCAGACAAGGAGTCTGGTGTCAGGTAAGTCGGATCTCTCACACACCTTACAAGCCTCACTTAGCAGTGGCAGACAAGGAGTCTGGTGTCAGGTAAGCCGGATCTCTCACACACCTTACAAGCCTCACTTAGCTAAGTGGCAGACAAGGAGTCCGGTGTCAGGTAAGTCGGATCTCTCACACACCTTACAAGCCTCACTTAGCTAAGTGGCAGACAAGGAGTCTGGTGTCAGGTAAGCCGGATCTCTCACACACCTTACAAGCCTCACTTAGCTAAGTGGCAGACAAGGAGTCTGGTGTCAGGTAAGCCGGATCTCTCACACACTGAATTGATGTCTAGTTTACATGGAGAAAGACCAGCATATGTTGCATGTCTCTTACCTGAATAGAATGAGGAACTGGATTTTAAGAGTATGTGACCAGGGGGCTATTCCAAAGGGCCATCTTAGTGCTAAGATAAAGGAATCTCCTGTACATGGACTTATGATAGTTGTACAGGTAAGGATGAGTTTTGTAATGAGATCCTGGCTGATTCCGTGTCATTCTTCCCAAATGGAGTGGATTATTCCTTCAGCTCAAGACCGCCTCCGTGGTGTAGTGGTTAGAGCATTCACCTGGAGAGCGGAAGGTCGCGGATTCGATCCCTGACCACGTCATACCAAAAGACGTTAAAATATGGTACTTGTTGGTCCCTGCCTGGTGCTCGGCATTAATGGGTACATCAAGGACTGGTCGGCTCGGAGTCAGTATAATGTGTCTGAGTGGGGTATTCATGCTTCACTGCGGCATGGTATCTCAGTGGGCTAGCACTATAAAACCAGCTTAAGTCTGAGCTAGTACAAGCAGCTGCACATACACATACACACGCATGCACGTCGTCATATGAGCGAAATATTCTCAAGCACGACGTAAAAACCATTTTCACCTCACCTCACCTCACCTTCAGCTCAGACAACTGTATTGCTTGGTCAAGACTCCATTATTCAAGTAGAAGTGTGATGTGAGGCAAGATGACCATGCTCACACTTATTCACTTTGCCACCCCTCAGGTGCTGGGGTTAGCGTTGGTCCCCAGAAACTTGTAAGGACAATAAGTACAATGGTGATTTACCCTGCAGAGTAGGTGGAGAGTAACTGCTTGGCAAGCTTAGCTCAATGTGTGTATTATCTTTCAGCATCTGGAACTGGGAGCAGGGCACTAGACTCAGCTACATCATCAACGACAATCCCAAGTCCACCCGCATCACCGCCATGGACTACATCAATGCTCACGACAAAGCATTGCTGATGTGTGGATCAGGTAATGCCTGCCAGGTCCTGTTTTCGTCTAACTGTTTAATGAATGCAGTGTTTGTAGTTTAGGCCACCACTGTCCTCCATATGTGAAGTATTTGTGAATTATGGATTTTATCTTACAGATGATGGTGCAGTGAGAATCTGGCGGAAGTATATGGTTGATGATGGCAAAGGGAAGGAACTGGTGACAGCTTTTCAGGCACTGTCTGATATGCTGCCATTATCTAGAGGCAAGTTCAGCCCTGTAATTCTTTGTCTGTCTGGTCATGTTGGTGCACAGGCAGCCCAGATGTCTTGAATGAAACACAAATTCACAATGACTGTTTCTAGGTTGATCAGCCTCATACCTGTTGGCTAGTAATTCACCAAAGTGGTAATCATCAGTCTAGGACGCTTTATAAACTACAGTTCAAATCTCCAATCCAATCCAATCCTAACCAATCCAAGTCTGTTATACACACTCTGACTATTGTACAACTAGACAATGAGCCCAGATTGTCGGGTGGAGGAATCATGCCGTGATGACCCTTCTCTCTGTGTTCAGGTTCAGGGCTTGTGTGTGAGTGGGAGCAGGACTCCGGGATGCTGCTGGCTTCAGGCGATGTCAGGATCATTCGACTGTGGGACACGCAGAAGGAGATGAAGTTACAGGTACCTGCCTTCCAGTATCCTCCTTCCATTAGCTTACTCAAACCATGACTTGGTCACCCCTCGTGGATGCCAGAGAGTAATGGTCGCCACTGCCCATTAGCTTGTTGTAAGGGATGACTGGGGATGTCAGCATTTCAGATGGTGTGCTGTCATGCCCAGGAAGGCTGTTGCTCATCATTCAGTCTTGTCACAACCCATTCTCTTCCCACAGAGGTTGGGTGGTGGGGTAGCCTAGTGGTTAAAGCGTTCGCTCGTCACGACGATGACCCGGGTTCGATTCCCCACATGGGTACAATGTGTGAAGCCCATTTCCGGTGTCCCCACCGTGATATTGCTGGAATATTGCTAAAAGCGGCGTAAAACCATACTCACTCACTCACTCACTCACTCCTCCCACAGAGGTTACTCAAGTTATATCTTCCCACGTAACCAGTGATCATTCGCAAAGCCTCGGTAATTTCCGTATGCTTCGGGAAAACTAGAACCTTTCCCTGTGCGATGCGCAAACGTTTCTTCTAGACAGAACTCAGTTGTGTAATGGCAGATCAATGGTGTCTCCATCACCCTCATTGGCAGCGGACACACTAGCCAATAAATGTCTTGTGTGTCACATCAACATAAGTCATCGGCAGAGGAGGGATATTTGTGGCCCCACTTTCTATTGCTAGTTTCTGATTTTCAGTTAAATCATGAAATACCAAATCTATCCTTCGCATATTGATCAACTAACTCCATATTGGATCTAAGTAGATATAACACGTGTTCTGTTTGGATGGCAAGAAGGGAGATAATTTGTGTTGCGATATTTTGCTGCGAGGGGATTTTACGAGAACCAAGAAATATGGCCGTATTAGAACAGAGGTTACGTCTGAAGATATGACTTGAGTAACCTCAGTAGGAAGAGAATGGTCACACCCACACTTGTGTATTTTAGATTGCTGCTGTGAAACATTACATACTTTCTTAAATATTTCTCAGTGGGGATTTCTGGGTAGATTTGCTCAACACAAGATTTGGTGGGTATTTCACCACACAGCCATGATGTTTTGCAGGATATTCCGACCAGTGCGGACAGTTGTGTAACGAGTCTGGCATGTGACTCAATGGGCAGATCACTGCTGATTGCTGGCTGTGGAGACGGCACTGTTCGGCTCTTTGACAGGAGACTTGCTCCAACAGAATGGTGAGATTGGACATACCTTTATCTATCAAACAAATATTGAGTAGTCTTATGTTTTCAAGGTTAATTCTTTAATGAAGCAACCCGTGAAGGTCCGGTTAGAACTGATCTTCAGTATCCCATGATTGTCGTAAGAGGCAACTAACGGGATCGGGTGGTCAGGCTCACTGACTTGGTTGACACATGTCATCGGTTCCCAAGTGCGCAGATCGATGTTCATGCTGTTGATCTTTGGATTGTCTGGCCCAGACTCGATTATTTACAGACCGCCGCCATATAGCTGGAATATTTCTGAGTGCGGCGTAAAACTAAACTCACTCACTCACTCACTTTAGTGAAGCAGAGGAAATCTGGTATTTCTGTCTGCGTACTGTGTCCCAGTGCCATTATATAGCCCTCTTTCTGAAGGAATATTTTCACCATCATTTGAGTGCATGTATAATAGTGTAGCTGCTTGACCAGCATGGTAGTAACACACTTTCATCGTGCTTACAGTCGTGTGATGTATAATAGTGTAGCTGCTTGACCAGCATGGTAGTAACACACTTTCATCGTGCTTACAGTCGTGTGATGTATAATAGTGTAGCTGCTTGACCAGCATGGTAGTAACACACTCTCATCGTGCTTACAGGTGTGATGTATAATAGTGTAGCTGCTTGACCAGCATGGTAGTAACACACTTTCATCGTGCTTACAGTCGTGTGATGTATAATAGTGTAGCTGCTTGACCAGCATGGTAGTAACACACTTTCATCGTGCTTACAGTCGTGTGATGTATAATAGTGTAGCTGCTTGATGACCAGCATGGTAGTAACACACTTTCATCGTTATGGTGTGTGATGTATAATAGTGTAGCTGCTTGACCAGCATGGTAGTAACACACTTTCATCGTTAACTTACAGTCGCGGTGTGATGTATAATAGTGTAGCTGCTTGACCAGCATGGTAGTAACACACTTTCATTGTGCTTACAGTCGCGTGATGTATAATAGTGTAGCTGCTTGACCAGCATGGTAGTAACACACTTTCATCATGTGTGATGTATAATAGTGTAGCTTACAGTGGCAGTGATGTATAATAGTGTAGCTGCTTGACCAGCATGGTAGTAACACACTTTCATCGTTAGCACAGTGGGTGTGATGTATAATAGTGTGGCTGCTTGACCAGCATGGTAGTAACACACTTTCATCGTTAGCACAGTACAGTCGTGTGATGTATAATAGTGTAGCTGCTTGACCAGCATGGTAGTAACACACTTTCATCGTGCTTACAGTGGGTGTGATGTATAATAGTGTAGCTGCTTGACCAGCATGGTAGTAACACACTTTCATCGTGCTTACAGTCGTGTGATGTATAATAGTGTAGCTGCTTGACCAGCATGGTAGTAACACACTTTCATCGTGCTTACAGTCGTGTGATGTATAATAGTGTAGCTGCTTGACCAGCATGGTAGTAACACACTTTCATCGTGCTGTATAATAGTGTAGCTGCTTGACCAGCATGGTAGTAACACACTTTCATCGTGATTACAGTATGTGATGTATAATAGTGTAGCTGCTTGACCAGCATGGTAGTAACACACTTTCATCGTGCTTACAGTCGTGTGATGTATAATAGTGTAGCTGCTTGACCAGCATGGTAGTAACACACTTTCATCGTGCTTACAGTCGTGTGATGTATAATAGTGTAGCTGCTTGACCAGCATGGTAGTAACACACTTTCATCGTGCTTACAGTCGTGTGATGACGCTGAAGGAACACTCTGGCTGGGTGGTCAATGTACACCTACAGAAGGGATCAGAAGGAAAGATAATCAGTGCCAGGTAGGGGGCAGTTACTCAGCAACACTTCGTCCACTGCTGTCACATTCATGGAATCGTGTCAGTATTCACAAAATTTCAAACATGCCTAAAAACAAGTGAATTTAGAATCATGGACTAATATCACTAAATCAACTGTTAGTAATGATAGAAAAACCTGTTCATCAAGATATATTAAGCATTCAAGGCATAAAAGGTGATCTGTTACACTTTTTCCGAACTGCATGCCCCATTCTGATCATTGCTGTCTCCATCAGTGCTGGCGGTGACATCAAGATGTGGGACCCGCGATTCACAGAGTCAGTCCGGAGCTTTTCCACCCAGTCCAGCATTACATCCATGGCAGTCCACCCTCGGGCTGATGTTATAGCATGGTACGTGAACATTGCCAAGTACACAGGTAGCAGTCTTGGACTGATGTTCTGGAAACAACACTGTACATAAGGGCTGACTAATGAGGGTGGAATGTGACCTGTGTGTCTTAGCACTTCAGTAACAATCTACCACAGGCTCATCTTTCCAAGACTGTTTACTGGCTACAGTAATATACCTGAAATAGTGTTGACGTTAGTGTAAAACAGCATTCACTCTCTCAATTCACACTGGTTCGGGATACTGGAACTGTGGTGGGAATGTGTGCTTATTATATTGTTATGGAAGACTGCTCTTCCAAAATTGCACCTGACCTGAGTTATACCAAGTTGAGAGTTAAGGATCTATGGATTTGCTTGAAGTGGCTATATTGTGGTGTGTTGGTTTCAGTGGGTCTGTGAATCAGTCCATCAGTGTGTACAACCAGAGTGGAGACAGCCTCAGTCTCATCAAGTACCACGAGGGATTCCTGGGCCAGCGCATCGGCACCATCAGCTGTCTGACATTTCACCCATACTTAGTGAGTACAACTCAACACATTTTCTTTAGACAGGCGGATCTGCTTGGTAGTCATCAGTGGTGTATCCATAACTAGATGTGGCATGGTATCTCGGTGCACTAGGTCACCCAGTTGTCTTAGCTGTGGCAATTCACTGTGCAGAGTTTGATTGCCTTGACATGGCTCGGAATTTCATTCTGCTTTGACTCACTCACTCACTGATTTCACCCCAGCTCACATAACAGAGGGTCACCTTTGAAAAAATGTTCAGCATGAACAAAATGAGCAGTAACACAATAACAATCTTTGCACTTGTGTCACAAAAAGAAGACTTACATTTCAGGAGGATCACTTTACTTGCTCTCATTGCTGAAATGTCTCCAGGGTGTTAGGCAGCTGAATGTTACATTGATAACCAACTTTCCAAGAGCCATATGCAATGAGTTTACTACACTTGACTGAAAGTGTTATTGCTACAGACACAAGGTTTTCAAACCAGAACTGATGTTATTGATGAAGCAAAATAAATAGCTATATTATAATTATAGCCAGAGGTTTGGGACTTTCTGTTTGAAGTTGCATGGAAATATGTGAGGTGAGGTGAAATTGGGTTTAACGTCGTGCTTGAGAATATTTTGCTCATATGACGACGTGCATGTGTGTGTATGTGCGGCTGCTTGTACTAGCCCAGACTGAAGCTGGTTTTATAGTGCTAGCTCACTGAGATACCATGCCGCAGAGAAGCATGAATACCCCCATCAGACACATTATACTGACTCTGAGCCAACCAGTCCTTGATGTACCCATTAATGCCGAGCGCCAGGCAGGGACCAACAAGTACCATTTTTAACGTCTTTTGGTATGACGCGGCGATCGGATCAAAACCACCACACCACGCGGCGGTCCTTTGTAGCAGTCTCGGGCAGACCGTAGACGCTCTAACCACCACACCACGAAGGCGGTCGCATGGAAATATGTAGTGGTATGTAACAGTCTCTGGGACTTTCTGAAGATGTATGTGGAGGAGTTGCTTCTTTATGTGTCCAGTGTTTGCACAACAGATTTCTAGTTTCCATGTGTTTGTCTACAGGTGAGGCTGGCGGCCGGCAGCAATGACGCGTTTGTCTCCGTGTACTCCAGCCCGGCTAAGAGGAGTTGACGTTAGTGTTGACTAGCATTGAGAGAACCGTCACATCTACTGCCACGACAGCTGCTGTGTGTTCCTGAATGTTGTAGAGAAAGTACGACCACACGTTTTGTAATACTCCCTAGACCTTCTAGATGTTTGTCAATCAAAATCTCTATTACACCTGTGATGTAATAGTTAAAAGTAAATGAATCCAAAATTGGTGGATGGAAACATGATTAATGTGGGGATTAATTAGCAATGTGAGCACATTGCTTCAGATAACAATTAAATACATGAAATCACACTGGAAATGAAACCTTTCTCTTCATAGCAGTGTTTGTAACACAATAAAGTAGCTTGTTTGACTGTAAAACCAACAGTAGCTCTACAATTTCCAACTCATGCTTGGGGCTGGAGTTGTGTTACATGTACATCAGAAATGGACAGGACCGCTTCTGTCCTGTGAAAAAAAGTTGTTTGATAAGTTTTGAATAGGAAAGTAACTCAGTCTTACATGAAGGCCATGTCCTTTGAATGATGCTGAAATTCTTGGTTGCATTTTTACAGTGTTTAGATATGTGTGAGACTGTAACTGAATGGTGCTCACAGTACTGATTAATGATGATGTCCTTGATAAATTTGCTCTTGTAGTGGCTAAATCGTGCAGCACTAGCATGGCCTCAGTGTGTATCTGAATTATCATGGTACTTGTGTATGAATTCCATGAAAGATTCCAGCAATATAACAAGACTATATCATCAGTGTATGCATCTAACACATTATCACTACCACACACTTAGTGTTTGTCACATAATACTGAAGAAAGATATGTTTTTCGTTTTCATTCATTTTCATAAGGTGCACATTTGAACAGACTATTGAAGGTGTGGTTTCACTTAGGTTACTTGAAACTAGTATCTAGGAAGGTAGCAGGTAGTGATGATGAAACATAAGCAACTGACTTACGTCGCTCATTCAGAGAAACACGGTTGAGAGTACTGCATATTGAATGATAACAACTGTCAACAACTCAGGAAGAGTCAACACCTGGTTGATAGAGTTACATACTCACTGGCAAATGTTACACCTTGAATACTCCTTATCTACCCTATTGTAGTACATACATGGCACTATTTGATGCTGGAGGTCCAATTTGGGAATATTTATGGGTGGGCTTGCGGAATGATATTGACTGAAAACTATGTTCTGAAGATTGAGCTTGTTTGATTAGTTTGTTTTGAAACTCCTCTACCCTGAAATATGCATCCTGTTAAGAATTTGTTCTTTGTCATTATGTATTTTCTCAGATATTGCTGTGAAAATCCAGAATTGTGTGGTGCAATAGGTTTGTCAACATGATAAAACTGAAGTGTACTACATGATTCTAATGAGAAAATCATCAAATGTGCAATAGTACATTCATGTACTAGCTGTTCAATCAATCATCTCCACAGCAGTATGATCCGGTATATTTCAACTGCCATAGAAGTCCCAAGATTTAATATGAAAAAGTGGCATTTTAATAGGTGATGAAGCATTGCATTTCTTGTAGGTTACATATGGCCATCTTGGTGGTAGTGCTACACAATAAATATTAGTGTGCTCACCGGTATGGAAGGGTCACACAGTATATATTGCTATGTTGACAGCTGTGTTGACAGGTATTGAAGTGCTACACTATTGGCTGTGATGACAGTGCTTTGAGAAATTTTAGAATGGTTAGTAGATGGTGATCTCATCATTTTGTGATAATTGTCAAGCTTGTACATATTCATTGTTTTAAGTGTGCCATCCCTGTGTGTGCATGCATGCATTTGTGTGTGCGTGCATCCGTGTGTGTGTGTGTGTGTGAGAGAGAACATGCGTGCTGAGTGAGTGGGACACATACTCTTGTAGTGTCACACAAGACACATGGGGTTCCCTGCCAGAGATGTATAGGTACATGGTGGCAGAGACACATGGTGGACACCGGACATCAGGAGCATATCATTTCTTTGTAGATTACCCATCTTTATCCTGAATTACAGGTCACATATGACAGAAATGACCTTGATGATTTTCATTATTTGATCAGAAACTATTTCATACTCAAGATTCACAGGCACAAGATGAGTGATTTTCACAACTAGATGTCCTTCCTTGGTTGCCACTCCACAATGCTATCCTAGGCCCATGACAACTTAAAAACCATTTAAGCATGGGATTTACAACAACCTTTTAACTATGATCATATTGTGGAACCGGGCCCTTGACTTCAGATCACAGATACAACTGTGATGAGTTGATTATAATCACTAACTATATGTAATACCCAAGACATACAGATACACCCTTGGGATAATCTTTATCCCTGACCAGATGCCCTGGGCTTTCAGATCACAGACACAGCTTTAGTTCCTTTACACATATACCTCATAAACATAGCTATGGCATTTCCAACTTTCACAAGGTGTTAGTATAGCAAGATGGAGTGGTGGGCAGCATGATTATGACTGGGTGTAAAACATCTGTGAACTTACATCAGGCTAGTTTGCAAACCACCATTTTTGTATGGTTTGTAGGATGTTCTATAGTACTGTCGGAAATAGAAAAAAACTGTTTTTAGGCTGTTACTCTGTATCCCTAAAATTTACACAATTGCAAATAGCATATGTCGAAATAACCCACTTCGGCCTAACTGGGCGTTCAGTGGGATGCGTAATACGATATCCAGAAAAGCATGTTTACTCGTAAAATCGGGCAAAAGTTAGAAAAAATATGAATAGCTGCTGAAAACAATAGATCAGACTATAGATGGCAATTAGGTCGCTCAGCCAGGTATGACGACGGACCGTGCATGTGCTGCCTACAGGCACAAGGGGTCATCTCAAAGATATTTTGTGCTTTTTCATGTGTGTTGACTATGTCTCATCTATTGATTAACATCTTACGTGTCTTTCTTTCATATAGTTTCATATAGTTTATGTTGAGATATGTAAAAGAGTATGATACCCGAAAACCATAGAAACGCATCGTAGTATATAGGTCGCATGACCACCTGAAGTTCGACAGGACTGGATATTATTTGTAAATTGTTACGACGTGCCGTGTACCTCCCCAGTATAATTGCCCTAAAGGATTATCTTATCTTAGCTGATATCTCTATCCCCAAGCCCGACCCCCCAGGTTTCGCTTTTGAGACGGCCCCTCCTATCTGTTTCTTTTTATAGTGACAGTGAGACTGCATGGTAGCTACATCCTTAATAGTTTCGGCATAAAAATTATTATTTTTTACATCAGCTATCGTTGATAATGAATCTACGTCTAATTTCAAATTGGGCATTTTAAAAGTGTCCTTTGTAATACAATATCGTGGCACACTAATTTGCATAAAGCCATGGTCTGTTCCAAATAAGTCTTTTTGGACTTAGAAAAAAAACGCATTGCACATTTCTGCACTAATTTCCCCTCAGTAAAGTCCTTTTTCTCCGTTTCCTATCTCTCTACCACCGAGACTGTAGTTAGCTGAACTCAGGTTAACAGATATTTCACACTTTCACATATCAACTACATAAATTGTAGAGATAAATGAGAAAATACAGTTTTTTTCTATTTCCGACAGTACTTTAATACATGACCTCAGCACTGAATGACACATTAAGTTGACGCTATGTAGTCAGATTGTCGTATTGGTCCTGTCATCACTCTCAAGCTATAGAGGACATTTTTCAACACAGTTGCAGGATTAAATCTGACCAAACAAGCATATGAACTTGGTAGAACAGGAAGCATGTAGCAAATACATCAGAACTGAATCATAAAGATATTTAATGATTACTTTTTCTGTCGGTTGTAGAACCCTTAAGGAAAGTGTCATGACATTAATTGTGATGATAACAATGTCCCCATTTACACCTTTGATAAGTACTGTGTTCTTGTATGATGGTGGATTTTTGTCAGCATAATACTGAAAGTTGTTCATCCTGCGAGTCATGTCTCACTTCTGTTGTGATAAATATCTGGACAAGAAAATACAAGCTGTTATTGCATGAATCCAGAAGGCACTGACAAAATACAGAATGTCAAGCTTCATGCATGTTAACCCCATTTCATCCTGTATTTGGCTGTATATCTGCTGAGAATGAATTGTTATGACTGTTCTGTTATGTTAAGTTATGTTTTGGTGCCAGGCCAATCGTTACTTGTTACATTATTGACATAATTTAGTCTTCCTGACCTGGCACTATTTTGTAGCTTCAAAATTCCATTTTATATATTGTTAAGTTTTGGTTAAGCTATAGATTATTTCTATAAAGTGCTTTCTTTCCTTGACATTTATTCAGTGTATTGAAATTTTATTTACCCTTTAGGTGCTACATTATCTAGATTTACATAACACAGGTTTCAGTCTCTGCTAGCTTGTCCTGTCTAACTGATTCACATTACATGTGTTGTAGTCTATCCTAGGTTGTCCAACCTAATTGATTCACATTACATGTGTTGTAAGCTCTGCTAGGTTGTCCTGATTCATATTACGTGTTGTAGTCTCTGCTAGGTTGTTCAGCATAATTGATTCACATAACGTAGTGTAGTCAATGCCAGATTGTCCTGTCTGATTCACATTACAAGTGTTACAGTCTCTGCTAGGTTGTCCTACCTAATTGATTCACATTACATATGTTGTAAGCTCAGCTAAGTTGTCCTGCCTAACTGATTCACATTATGTGTTAGACTCTGCTAGGTTGAACGATATGGATACATTTTCAGGGATTTAATCTCACCTAGCAATACGTAAAAGACAAAAAGATGACGCTTATTGTGAGAAATACCATTTGATATTGTAATATAATAATCATTTTATTGTGTTCAAATGTACAGATGATTGTAAATAAAAGGATTATGTGATTATGGGCCTGAATCGCCTTCAGTGTAAATCTGTGTTAATTATGTAAATAATACTAAAGAATCACTTGTAGATAAATTGAAAAGTCAATAAAGAAAGTGTCAACCTTCTTTGTTATGTTCTGTTTAAAATTCAGTTATTTCTATATCAAGTATATCTTCTTATTCATTTGTGGTTTTGCTGCCACCCTTGATCTTCTTTAGCTTAGAGACTGTCCATGTGGTAGCTTGGGCCAGAAGATCATGACGTGTCACAATATGTGCTATATTATTGGGAACTTAAGTGTTTGACAGTAAGTAATTATACATGCCAATCCTTATTATTTACATAAGTCCCTAAAAAATGTATGTTATGGTTCTGATATCAGTAATCTCAAAATTAGGTTGCATAAGTCAGGGATTCTAGTTTGTTTTTTTTATACAATTTATAGTGTTACATTCTGCCATTGAATTATGAAGGAAAACATTTGTTGTGTATGAAAGTGTGTAGATTTTAATTTTAATCATAAAGATTATCACCAAAACGTCATCTATGTTCTTTACCCAATATACCGGTTCTCAGAAAAAATATTACAATATCAATCCTTTGAAAAGCATACAGCGGTATACCATTAATACTGTGCAGTCCTGTCTAGGGCTGCGCAATATAACCGGTTTACCGGTTCAGACATGAAATCGATACGATATGAAACCGGTATTTTGACATGCATTCGGAAAACTTCGGATATTGCCTTGTTTCATGTGTGCCAAATATTATTTACATTTTTATTTTGTCAGGATTAAAAGTTTTTATTAAAGCTTAATCAAACATGATTTTGTTTTGTTTTTGCTTTATAAATCAAGCATTAATTCGAGTATAAGTATTTTTATTTTTTTTAAATAACTTCTTGCAATATATTGCAATACATATCGCAGTATATGCTTTCGCATCACAATATGAAAATTCTCTGCAATACCCACCCCTAGTCCTGTCTATGCTGCACACTAAAGTAATACTGATCAAAGTGTTGAACAAACCCCTACGTCAGCAGGACTGCATTCACAGTGGTATTACCAGTTACGATACAGTGTTAATGTACTACATGTACATGTATTCCAACTACACATTATCAAGTCTGGCACGAATGAAAGTCAAAATAAAGAGCGACACTGGAGAGTGACTTCATTCTCCACTGAATGGCACTGGTTGAAACTCATCAATATTCTCTCGCTCCCCTCTTTCAATGATCTAGACATGTACCGTTAGGTCTCTCAAAACCTTTTTCCATCGCACTCATTCCTTGATCTTCCTTCAGTGTTAGCTGCAGGCATATGTAAATATCTTTCCCAAAATCTGGCAGTCACACTCCTAGTATATGAAACATGCTCAAAATTTCAAGATTTTCAAAACCAGACTGCCCAGCCTCTGAACTTAATAACCATTATTAGTTATTCTAAGCAAACACCAGTTTAGATAATGGTAGAATGAGCTTAGATAAACAACTGAAACTGCAGGTATATATATATAAACCATTGTTTATTGAATGTGTTATGGCATTTATACATGAAGAAAGGAAGATAGACAGGAGAGGGAAGAAGACGGACAAACAGACGAGGTATTGCACTTGAGGTTCAGGGTCCTCCACACTCGACAAACTCTCAGACACTCACACTTCCATACACATGGAGCTCACAGAGTGGAAATGTCAACAATGTCATGATTTAATTAGTGACATGGGGAAAGTAGATTTGGTAAAAACGTGACCTGATTCAATCATGAATGAATTAATGGGAAATGCTGAACTCGACAATACATACATCATGCAAGCTGTGACACATGGTACCATATTTCCTGATATGTCTGAAAGTGTAAAAATACTGTAGCACACTAACACCTTTCAGACTCTATTTTACAAGGAACACAGCACAGAGTAACATCCTTACCAACATAATCACAACAAAATTGAATATTTGAGCACATTTTGCAGTGGGTCTACCCAGTCAACACACAAATCCTGAACCATGCTTACCAAAGTCCCAACAAAATATCAATTCACATTTAGACACCTGACACTGCTGCTGCTGCTGCTGCTGCTATTTCATCTAAATTCTAAATATCCCATAGCACTTTTACAGAGTAGCAGCATATTTTGTATATTATTTTCACAACAAAATACTGCTTAACAGCTGTCCTCATACACTATGTTTGCACTCCTGTTATATGCAATGTTAAGACAGATTCCCCGCTGCTAAGAGCAGGCCACTGTTGCTGCCTTTTGCACTGGTGATGTCTGCACAGAAGTCTGGAACTCTGTGACGGCATCATCATCTGGTGCCAGTCATGCCCATGTCAGTCAGTCAGTCGGTTGGTTGGTTGGTCGTCCACCACTCATGCTGCGTGAGAGTGACTATGAGGCATGCTGGCAAGCTGCTGGCAACACAGACTTGTCCAAGTCCTTGAAGTAGGGGTGGTTCAGGGCATCCTTGGCGGAGATACGTGTAGCTGGATCATACACCATGGTTTTCTGGAACAAATAACAGCTTTCAAGTATGTCCACTAAATCATGTACACACAACAAACAGTCAAGAGCAAAACTGACATACCATGGAATTAAGTGAGCTGTTAAATAGACCATACCTTACATAATAGAAGAACAACATCAGCTTTATGGACCTCGTGGTTTCAGATAAAGACCTTAAAGCTGACTATCAGGTCAGGTAAGCTAACAATTGGCCTTCAGGTCCCTTTGAGACGTGTCATACAGGGTTGACTGTATATGTGTATATGGCTACATTCCTTTATCCCTCAATACTGTGTGGGGCTACCCTACCTGTAGGAGATCTAGTCCCATGTTGTCCAGCTGTTTGACGGAGCCGGCCAGCTGGTTGCACTTCCAGGCAGGGAATGTGGGCTTGTAATCTGGCAAGTTACTCACTCCTGGCCATGTGTCCTCTGTCGGTGTGGTCAGCGTCCTGATAAACAACAATACGTAAGCTAACCAAATCCATAAATGATCATGACGAAAAAGTCAGTTTGTCACAACAATAAGTTCAAGTTTCCTTATTTTATTTAAGTGAGTGAGTGAGTAAGGTTTTACGCAGCTTTTGGCAATATTCCAGCAATATGACGGCAGGGGACACCAGAAATAGGCCCATGTGGGGAATTGAACCTGTGTCTTCAGCGTGATGAGTGGACTATGAGGGTACCCCACCTCCCCTATTTCATTCAAGAAATATAAGTCATTGATTACATTTTTCACAAACATGTCTGAGTAATAAGGAAGATAGTTTTTATGGATGTCAACATATTTATTTAATTTATTATGAGGAACACAATGTTTCGAGTATATTCTAACTCCTTCATCAGGTGAAATGAAGCCGTAATCAGCAACTGTATAGCTCTCTCACCCTATAATAGAGTCTGGACCAGACAATCCAGTGATCAACAGCATGAAGTTTGATCTATGCAATTGGGATACGATGACATGTAGCCATATAGCTCGAATATTGCTAAGAGCAGCGTAAAACTTAACACACCCAGTAATAGTTAAGAGCACAGGGCATATCAAGGTCAAAATCTAAATACCACTGCATGACAAAAATGACTGAGTAAGGGACGTAGAGAGATGTTTTCAATATGGCTGCCAACACACTTGCAGAAATTGGAGCATCATCATTTCTGGGAACAAGCATGATATTAGTACAGCTTATTTGACACTTCTCTCTCTTGCTTTGACACTGAGTGGAACGAATGAGAACTTTTCCTCTAGGCCTCTCTTGTCCATACGCCTGTGTTCCCAGGCTGCTCTCCTTATAGGACAGGTCCCTGGTCCCCGGCTAAGCGTGCAGCATGTTCCCCTGTCTACCCACGTGACTACCTCAGAGTGATCATTCTCTTCTTGGAGCCAATGACAGTTATACGTAACCGTCGTAATCTGAGTAGAGGGGAGGCTGGGTGGGCATCCATCTCGTGAGATAGGATAAGTATATAAATATACAATTTATATTAAAATTTTCAAATTTTTAAACTTATCCTATCTCACGATTTGCACTTATCCCACGGTTGGACAGCGGGTCACAGATTACCCTAAGTCAAAAGGCACTGACAGTATATACTGTATAGGCTAATGACAACCGTAGATAGCAATGAACAAGGGAGGCCCGGATCTGACTAGCATAGTACCTCTACTAGTGATGGGTTCTCCTGAACCCCTTGGCTTACTAGGCATCATCGCTCCCAAGGAGTGGGTGCTCCTGAGCAATGTGGTGTTCGGCCGCAGGATCCAACTAGCATAGTACCTATACTAGTGATGGGTTCCCCTGAACCCCTTGGCTTACTAGGCACCATCGCTCCCATGGAGTAGGTGCTCCTGGGCAATGTGGTGTTCAACAGCAACCCTCGCATACACAAGAAAACGCAACTAGGCAAGTCACCTTGCTTCGCCACGATTTATCAGAGTACCCCTGTAATTACGACTAGTAATCGGGCCCGCACATGCCTTGAGACAGCCCCCCAGACCCCATCACGAGGAGGGGAAAAGGAAACTAAATCGGAAAACTCGCACGTTTAACGTTCAGTACCAAAACAACACCACATGACTTCCGCTACTTACCACAGTTAGGACAAAACGGTGTGCTAAGGTACTTAGGAGCTTGAATGCTACAAAATCCATAAGGAAATCGGGAAGGACTCACTACACTGACGTGATTGCTCCGTGGAGTAGATGTCAGCAAGCGAGATTGTCGAACACTTCTACATCCGTAGGGAGCAACGACAAGGTAGGCCCATAACTACCAAGGTCACTACGTGCGATGGTTAGTTCGAACCCATTGACTTACTAAGCACAATTGCTCCCAGGGACCGGGACTCCCGAGCAATGTGGTGTTCAGTCACTACCTTCACGAAAGTGAAAGGACGCAGCTTAGCGAGTGTAATCAGTCGCATTACCACGATTTCCAAGGTACCCCCGTAATAAAAGTCTAATGACTAGTATCGGGCCAGCCCCTGCTTCGAAACAACCCCCACAGACACCGTCCCGAGATGAAAGGGTAATTGAATCGAAAACTCACAATTTTAACGTTCAGTACCACATCATCTTATGACTTCCACTACTTACCACAGTAAGATCACATAGATGTGTATAGGTACTTAGGAGCATGAACGCTCCGAAGTGTAACACTTCGGGAATGACTCACTTCACTGATGTAATTACTCCACAGCAGACGACAGTAAGTGAGGTGGCGACTCTCCAGAGTCTCAAATTAAATTGAGAGGAGAAATCGAAGTCCCAGAAGAATCGAAGACACAAATCAGAAATAAAATTCAGAATTTTATTCAGATTGTACACAAAGCAGAAACGATCGCAACTGGTGATCATCTGCGCTGAAGCTGATGGTTTGTCCCGAGTGGCGAACAGGTCTACCACTGGTAGTGGTAACAGGTAGATCTTCGATTGGAATATCAGAGGCAGTTGTTTCCACTCCGTGAGTGACAGGCGTTTGAGATGTGACAGGGCATCCGCAATGACATTCCTCATCCTGGGAATGTGTCGGGCTCTGGCCACTGTGTTGAGTGAACCGATCAGATGATAAATTTGAAACATCAACTGAAGCAGAGCTGCTGATCCTGTCGACCCCTGATGGTTTATGTACAAAATTACCATCGAAATATCTGATTGAATCAGTATATGAGGTTCAACTGCCCAATTCCGAACGGCGAGAATGACAATGCTGATTTGTTGATATGAAGGGCCCTTTCTCCTGATGACCATTTTTTCTGCTAGGCCACTCGATGGAGAAAGTGAGCGCCCCAGCTTGAAAGATGCGTCGACGTACAGGTGTTGAGTCGGTATGAAGGGCACCATAAAGACTCCAACGCAAACATTCCACTTGTTGAGCCACCAACGAAAGACTGAATGTAGTTGTGCGGGAAGACAAATCAACTCCCTGGGGTTGTCGTCCCAGATGTATGGGCACAGAAACATCTGAAGAGGGCGAAGCTGCAGCTGGCCCCTGTAAGTCAGCGCTTGTGCCAACGTCAACCACCCTAGTAACTTCTGCCACTGGCGAAAAGTTGTGGGTTGGACCAGCACTAGTGATGCATTGCACTGAATCTTGTCCAACCTCTCCTGGGGCACAAAGATCATGTCGTGTGGAATATTGTCCCAATAAAAAGAAATCACCGGATCGGTGTTACCTCCGATTTCTCCGAATTCAGCAGCCATCCTAATTGCGCGAGCAACTTGATGATGAACTGCCTGTGGAGAGGAAGGACGACTGGATCCTGCTGGGCTTGAACACAGTCGTCGATATAGTTCTCAAATGTCATGCCTCGACAATGCAGGTAGCTTGTTATCATATATATATGCCAAACAGCAGGACACTCCATTGGTATCAATGACGCCCCTTGAAAGTAAATCGAAGATACTTCTGACAGTCTGGATGTATTGGGATGTGAAGGTAGGCGTCTCGCAGATCGAGGGAAATGAGAGGTCGGCCGAACGAAATGATGGTTCGCCAGGTGGAGTGATAAAGGTAGTAGATCGCTGCCTGGTGACAGTCCATGCATAACTGCAGTGACCTTTGAACTCAGTGCTTAAGCTAGTGTAGAAAACCGAGTAACCCCAGCAAAAGTCAAACCGTTCACGGGTGTTTCAGTCCCTCAGCCTCGATAAGCAGTCTCTCTCGACTGGCTGTCAAAATCCCGACACAATCACTCTTACCGGGAATGGCACTGTTGATTGTTACTAGCATTTAAAGGGTGGACTTGATATCCGATTCGTGGGACAAAGACAAGTCTGCAAGGGCACTTCATAGTCACTTTAATCATCAAAATTCCAGTAAACAAACAGTAGTCCGCCATTTGCAAACGTTACACACGAGTGACAAAAAAAACTGACAACACGGTCTTCAGTTAACCGGGCGAGTCGCAACCCATAAATTCCGGGCTGAGCTATGCTGGCTATTTGACAAAACATCAGTGCTGGTACCATGCGCAAAAACTTGACCCATCTGTTATCTGTCCAGAAACTTGCTTATCATGTAAAACAAAGGGAGCTGAAGATGACGAACCATCTGCAATAATTGCACCCAGCGATACACAAACACGCTGTTACCAGTAGTCTGTAGTAACAAGACTCAGTGAAGCGTGGTAAAGTATTCCTGGCTATATATATATAATGCCCTATCGGGAGGTTGTAGAACTGATATCTACACCGAAGGGTCGATTCGTAGAACCGAGTCATTCACCAAAGGTGAAGATCGGATAGTAGATTAAGTCTGGAATGAGATGAGCCCCGGTCACGGAGGACTCTTGAGAACTGTGATCGTCAGACCGTCAAGTGCCGAGCGTGATATGTCTATCGCTTTCCGCTTGGTGAAGCACATAGCTACTACCTCTGTTCAACCAGCCGAAAAAGGGGTACAAGGTGGGATAAGTCATGTGATTAAAAACATTAAGCGCCTCACAAGCCGTAAGGTAAACCGGATAAACATTAATCAAATTGTCGTGCTTAGAGCTTGCCACTTCGTAATGAGGAATTCAGCGCCTCACAGATGCCCTGAAAACTAGGATCGTATTGAAAACTAGCAGAGTTCGACAAATTTGGCCCTATCTAGATGCAAGTTCACGAACCTCGTTGAGGATGTGGAAAACCAGTGTTGACAAGTCCCATCCTTCATGTTGAATGTAATCAATAGAACATCTGGTATCTTGCTCTAGGTAGCTGTAGGTGGTCGGCAAACCATGCGAACATGTGTGTCGAATCAACCAAAACAATTCCTGCATCTTATAGGTGACTGGCATAGCCGAACCATGAAAACAAAGACAAGGTTCGATGTGGGTTAAGTGTCTTGGGTGGCATCCCAGACACATTTGACATAGGCTGGTAAGATGTGCCGTGTTGGAAATAACATGAGTGGTGAATCGCCCAATTCGTGAATAAGCTCAATTGCTGGTAAGGTCCGAGGAATGGATTATTGACGAATGCGGACAGTTCGATGAATGCTGACAATTCAGTGATCTTGAACGGCCAGGTGAACTGGTTCACCGATAGGAAGCGGTTCGGCCTGGTGAAACGGTACGAGTGGGGCTGGTAAATCAGTTCAGGGTGGTGAGCCGGAACGTTTATGTGATCTGAATCAGTCCGTGATCTGGATCGTGACTGTGATCTGGATCGGTTCGGTAATCCCAAACGTTTAAATGATCTCAGCTGATGGAGAGATCTAGAACGATCAGATGAACCGGTGAGGCGAGGTGAAATGTTCCGGCCGAGGTGAATCGTTTCGGTGAAGAGAGCCGTTTCGGTGCTGTGAATCGATTCGATGATGTGAACCGTTTCAGTGATAAGAAAAAGTCTTAATATTATGGCGAATTGAGTCCATGTCATAATCCACATACGCCGTGGCGAAACGGTTCGGTCTGGTGAATCCATTTTGTATGGCGAACCGATTCGGTGTCGTGAATCGGTTCGGCGATTTGACGATGAGCTGTGTGAGTCAGCTGGCAACACAGAGCGGATTTATGAGGCGGAACGACGAGTAGACATCTGATGATGCGCCAATAAAATTATCACCGTTCAACATGGGAATCTCCGGACGACGAGCAGTTAATACCGGTTGTTAAAAGCGGGGGTTTGTCGGGTGATCAACTGTTGAAGTGTAACGAGCTGTCTGCCAGCCAACGGGAGCAAGCATGTCTGTATGCTCTAAAAACCTAGATAAGGGAGCACATTCTCAACGTTTGCTCCAGGAACACAGGTCAATACAACCCGCACATGACGAGTGGGATCCGAGGAAGTAAATATTGTTACAGTGTGCACAAAATTACCCTACTTAGGGTCAACTACCCATGATATATTTCTCATGTTAACTTGTAAGGAAAGCTGAGAATTCTCACAATACGTCCACACAGTGGTGCAACAAGAAGAAGAATGATTACTCTGAGGTAGTCACGTGGGTAGACAGGGGAACGTGCTGCACGCTTCGCCAGGGACTAGGGACCTGTCCTATAAAAAGAGCAGCCTGGGGAACACAGGTGTATGGACAAGAGAGGCCTAGAGGAAAATTCTCATTCGTTCCACTCAGCGTCGAAGCAAGAGAGAGAAGTGAAAATCGTGAGAAGTTTAAAAATTAATATTGACGATGGACAACACACAACTGACGATCTATTCATTCAGGTGAGCTAAAATACAACAACCCCAGTCCACTTTGATGAAGTTCTCAGAAACAAAGGACAACTAGAGAGATGATAGGATTGTTGATGTGGCTGTACTATTTACCTGAATATCCTGAAAAGCTGATCAATTTCTGAATCTCCATGGAACAATGGCCTTTTGGTTACCATTTCAGCAAATATACATCCTATACTCCAGACATCAACAGGTGTTGAGTAGCGTGGGGAGCCCAGAAGAATCTCTGGTGCACGGTACCACAATGTGACAACCTAATGAACACAATATCACAAGTGAAAATAACATACATTTTAAAACAAATCACATGCTCTAAACGTAATAGCTGCTATTTGTTATGGATGATGTCCTGTTCAGTTAAAACCTACAGACTATAAGCTGAGCGCCCACGACAATTATTGGAAGAAGCAAGTTAGATCAAGAGACAGAAAATAGGCATTCTTCAGCATGCTAGTGCTCAGAATTCCTTCAGTAGTTCAACTGAAAAAAAGAAATTACTGTGGGAACTAGTACACAAAAGGTAAATATTACCAATAAGGACAGGTAGATTTGTCAGCTGGAGTGAAAACAATACGACATCATGCTACCACCTACTGAATACACCGAAGAGAGATCATGAGTAATTTGTATTCTCTAATTATGGGTACATCCCACATGTGACTAACCTCATGTGTGTACACTCTAACTGGAATGCCAAAAGCCCTGGCCAGACCAAAGTCAGCTAGTTTGATGGTTCCTTTGCTGTCAATGAGCAGATTCTGTGGTTTGAGATCCCTGTGGAGGACTCTCCGCTGGTGGCAGAACAAGATGCCCTGTAGGATCTGGTATGTGTAGCTCTGAGGGGAGTGGAAGAAGACAAGGTGAACAGTAGGCTGCAGTGGGGCATACAATGTGGAACACCTCCCCACTTAAAAAGTTACAAACAATGGTCAATCTAAAATGTCACCCTGTTGCACTTTCAGCATTGTTCAGAAGACATTGTTTGAAACTGAGTAGGATTATCTAAATGTGAATCAACTTTGGTTGGAGACAAGATCAAAGCTTCCACTCATATCACACACAACAGATAGTGCTATACATTATCATGTGAACCACCTCCATCAGGGCAAGAGCAATAGCAGAGTTTGGATCATGGGCTGCAGTTATTGAGGGTGAGTATCAATACACTTGGTGTAATGTATCCAGAAAATCCTAAAGTTTTGTGTGGTCAGAGATGGACATAGCTCTCGCTGAAAATAACAGTCAATCTGCTGGCTACAGTCCAATCTTTTTTGATAAAAGAGCATTGAAACACAATCATTCTAGCAATTTCAAAGCAGTTTCCAATTTCCTTACAATAAAGGCCTTGTTGATATTTTTCATAATATCTATCTTTGAGAAACAAGGTGTTACTCGTATACCACGATTTGATGAGTATTCAACATGTTCCAGGAATTGATATTTTATCATATGAAACCTTCAACTTTCACTGGAGGATCCAACTGAAATGTTTTAACTTCAATAGTCAATAACACCTGTGGCCTTGAAACAACTACCACATATATTCAGATTGTAGTTAATGTTAGCAAGCACACTTTTGTCAATCTGTATTGAAAGGTAGCTCTGAAAGTGCAGCTGACCTTGACAAGCATCTTGTCCATGTATTGGCCACTAGGTATGGTGTCCATGTAGCGCTTCAGGTCCATGGACAGGAACTCAAACACCAAGTACAACTTGTTCTCCTGCATCAACACGTCCTCCAGGCTACAACAGAGTTGACATACACTTGCTACAACACATATACATATTAGATACCAGCGATACTCAGTGAGTAAATTCAGTCGAGCAATACTTATGTCATGGCAGTGACACATTTTGTGTCAGTTTAATGCGAGGCCATTATGGCATGACAGATTGACAAAAGTACTATAAAAGAATCTGGTGGTCCTTAGCTTCACTTGAACAGAATAGAAACCATAAGCTCCGGGCTCTGGCATGACTTACAGTACACACACCTGGCACGAACACAACACTGTGATCTCGGTGTAATAACAACAAGAGTGAGTGAATGTGCAATACTGTTACAGAATGTCACTTGAAGAGGTCTGAGTGTGTTGCAATCCTATTGGTTGAAAAAAGTGGGTGGACGAGTTTAGTTTTACGCCACTTTTAAGCAACATTCCAGCAATATCACGGCAGGGGACGGGTTGAAAAGAGCTGTTAAAACTGAAACAGATTCTAGTGTATTTGAGTGGCTCGTCATACATTTTTTGATTTTGCATTTCTTCCACAATTCATTTTGATTGCAAAACAATTAGGCATGACCCATGTGTGTACAGTTTCCTGACTGCCAAACACAACGGGGCTGGGGCTGCATTTCTGTGCTGAATATGTAACAGATTTTCTGTTGAAGTTTTTTGTGTGACTACAATTGAATAAGCAAATCTGCAAGTAGTTGTTGTTAATATATTTCTGAGAACTGACTTCCTTATGTCTTTGCATTTATTGAGGCATTAGGTAAAAACGTGCTCACTTTGATATGTAGATTTAGTGTGCAATCCACATACTTCTCAAAACTACACTAAAACGTGAAAATGTGAATGTTATTTTACATCACTATTGAAAAAAAGACCATGACTACCGGTATGTATTAAACTCAGGCCTGCAGTGTGCAGAGAAAGCCCTTTACAACTTTAACAGGACTATGACGCTGCTCCTTTTCACAGTAAGTACAAGATACTGAAGACCTATTCTATCCTGGATAAAAGTGACCCCTTCAGGGCTTGAGACTACCCTACTGTTGTCATGGCTATGACTCACCAGACAATGTTGGGGTGTGCGAGTTCCTTCAACAGGGAGATTTCCCTGATGGCTGTGGATGGGACGCCTTCCTCTTCACTCTCAAGACGGATTTTCTTGAGAGCCACCAGACGATTTGTCTTCTTATGACGACCTTTGTAAACTACACCATATGTACCTGAAACATGCACACCGAACATGTTGAACGTAAGAATATTTACAAAACGTTTATTTTGTATTAGGTACAGCGACAGACAGGAGAGATGAGAACAACTGGCTGCTGTGAAGACCTGCTTCACTGAGTGGAGAAATGAGATCAGATTGTATGAAGACAGTTTTGACTGTTTTCTATCCAGCATGTTTTTAATGCTCATACAAATGTCCAATGTCTGTGTTCTGTTGTGTAGCCCTTGAAAACCGGACTACATTAGTTTTTGTCTTAGCCAAGAAAACCAAGTGATCTAACTCAGTAACTGATCATTTTCTATCTTTCTTACAGGAATTTATGTATGCATATAAACATTAATGATGCACATGGATCCATGTGTATAAAGAGTATACAGCCAATCTGTAGTGTACACAAACAGCACGTTAACACCAACATCCTGTAAAATATTTCAGTGTATTTTCAGTTTTTTCATACTGTGTACACTTCTGTGAAATATGAAGACGTTATACTGGTTAGCATGTATGTTTTAGGCTGCACAAGTTGATTTCAACATGCACCTGTCCAGTCTAGTCACGTACAGTGACAGAACCATTACCTTCTCCAATCTTCTCTATCTTGTTGTAGTCCTCCATAATTCCCAAGTGTTGATATCACAGGCTTACTTCAAATGAATGCTTCTGAAAGAACAACAGAATCATTTCAGAACTGAAAAAAGACTAGGTGCACAGTGGGCTTCAGTGATGCATACAAAAAATGTGGACAACTGTTTTGTTCCAAAGTGCAAAACCTCCTTTTGAAAAGTTACCAACAAGGGTCAATTTAAAACACCATGTTGCACTTTCAGCATTGCTCAGAAGACATTGTTTGAAACTGAGTTATGTTGTATGAACAACAATCTTTTTCATGGTTATCACTGTAGTTTTGGGCAAAATCCCCTGATACTCAGTGATAGAGTGTTTGAGATGGTGACTGCATCCTTGGTTTTAAACTACTTTTTGCAGTGAAGTAAATGGTGATAGCATGAACAATAAAAAAAGGATTGGCAGTGTCTTCACAACTAATGACATCATCTGATATGATGCTGTTGTTTTTGAGTGTGGAATTCACTTCCCATTCTGTATGTGCATTTTCATGAGTAAACTGATCCAACAAGAGTCCATAATGTACAATTATATAGAAATCATTTAACAATGTGCAATGAAATGAGTTCAAACAGATTTCATTTGAATTTGCAGTTGAAGAATCAACAGATTCTCATGATTTGTCCATTGTCATACGTTACTCATCTCTTCAAAAGGATATTCATCATATGACCACGTTATATATACTTATTAGTGGTGTAACAATTCATAGATAGTATCGATGTTTGCATCGTCAACTACGCGATACAAGTGCATCGATACAAAACACATTTAGGCAAAATATCAGGATAGTTATAGCGCAAGGGTCCTTGCTAGATCGATGTATCGCCACAAGAGACGATATATCCCGATACAACTTAAATACTAGTTAAAGTTGTAAGGAGTATTGCATTAGGAATAGGAAGGGAGTCTCTTTGAAATTCTTCTGAATTTTAAAAACAAATTGAACCTTTTTAAGAATTTGTTTGTGTCTGTTATCTTTGTTACATGGACAAAGGCGTTGGTGTATAAGTGAAAGAGTGTGAACATTTTTCAAATTCTGTGAACTGTAGAATACTTGTCTTTAAGTAAATGAAATATGTTTTAGTTGTTTGACAAATAACACCATTTATTAACAAGTATGAATGACGTCTTAGCTTTGTTAAGAAAGAGAACAAAGAGAAGATAAAATTTAGAAAACATACTTAAGAGGTTTTTTCAGTGATTCTGAATTCTGATATAAGACCTGATATTCAATTGTTTGTGAAAGCATTAGTGCAGAAACACACCTTCCCAAAGGAAACTTCGGTTTCAAACTTATATATGTTAGATCAAAGTATACTGAATATGTTTGACTGTACTTTAAAAGCATTAAATGCTGAAACTTTATTAAATGAACAGCTTTTTAAGTGTGTGTGAATGTAACACAAGATCTGCTGTATAACAAATAAAGATTCAGTCATTTTATCTATCATATATGTTCTGCTATTAGAAAGTGTAAAGTATCGGGATACGTATCATATTGCCACCATTGTATTGTGATGATAATTGTCTCACAGGTTCCTTGCCAATACTTTCATGATATATCGTCTCGCCTAATTAAACTGGTATCGGGATATATCGTCTCGCCACTTAGACCACAATACACAGCTCTACTTCTTATTACCCATATGGTGAAACATAACCAGTGTCATATATATCATTTGTGCACATATCACTTTTGCCTTGCAACCATTGTCTCTATTCCGTCGGCGGTGACGTCATTAAACAATTGAATGTGACGTCAATGAAGATGGCCATCACACTTGCTTAAGGTGTTTTACTTCACAAATGTACATGAATAAAATGGATAATAAAAAAATTATTACACTTGAGGCCAAATACAAAAAATTGTTGTGGTTCCGATTACATCTTTAAAATTTAGGGTAGGTAGGTAGGATTTCTTTTAAACAATTTTTTAGAAGTAAAGTACAAACTAATAACACATTTATCAATGTATAAGTGTTTATTCAATCAAGCTTGCAGCCATCATGTTGATTTTCGGTAAGAGTTCCTCTTGTTTCCCCATCCCTAATGATATTTATAAATTAATATATACTAAAACTATTAACAAAACCTAACACAACAATTAATAGAGAACTCACTAAAATAACTAAAATCCCAAAACATAATTACAATATAAATGGTCGAACCACGTTGTATGATAAGGGCCCCAAGCACGGTAATGTTACAAATCAATATGTTGGAACGGAAGGAACTCTTTCCAAAATATTTTTGTATGGTATGTTACTTTAAACTTGTTGAATATGCACACATACAAAATATGGAAATGTTTTACATCCAGTCTTGTGTATCAAGTGATCACCCTGTGAAACTGTTTTATGTTTACTGTGTCTGGAGCGATAAAACACATTGCAAGGGAACATATAACAGTGCAAGGGAACATATAACAAGCATTATTTTCAACATTTTGAGAGTGCATAGTTGTCTGTAATATATTACTGTCTGACTATGGGAGGTATTGACTGAAAAGTGTAAATTATTTGAAACACATTTTTGGGATAACCATTCCCTGTTCAGCATGTATGTCAAGATTTGAACTGAGTTGTTGATATAGGTTCAATTTAAAGGGTCAAATTTGCCTAATGTTTTCCTATCTACGAGCACAAATCGACCACCAGGATCGACTTAACAAAATAGATGGAAAAATATATTGAATTTACTGTACCAAAATGTCACACTAACGCTGAAAGCATAAAACGACATCTACCGGCTAACCATGTCTCATTGTCCGTTTATTAGTTTCAAAACTGCTCAATGCCACTCAATACGTAAATAAAAATTAACTAACATACACCAGTAGCGGTATACAATAAGCCTTGGTGTACAGTTTATTCAGAAATCTTTAGCCCCTGACTCGCCGACGTATGCACCAAAAGATATCACAGCCATTTGAAATAACACACTTGGTTATGGTAGTAAATGTAGTAACTGGACATGTTCAAACATGAACTGCATGTAAATTTGTATGTCCAAAAGCCATCGACATCATCGCTGCAGACAGGAACAAACTACAACTTATTCGTATTGGGACCGGGGCAAAATGAACCAAATACACTGAAGTTGATGTAAGAAGGTACATAAGTCGTCAACAAAATTGTATTTACCGCCGTTGTGTGTCTGCAGTTTTGAAAATAGTCGGTCACGATATTCAGCTAAACTCAATATTTGCGAATAAGAACCGTGTGATTAATGGTATACTGAACTTCCAAAACAAATTGTGCTTATGTGTGAGTTTTGATAAGTAACATAAACAAAACTTACCTTAATAGGGTTCTCTTCCTTAGATAAGTCCTTTCCACGTTCTTCGCAATATTTCACAAATTCACGAGCGGTAGGTTCGAATCGACCAATAATAATCGCCGTTTCATTCTTACCATTCAAACGAACACCAATCAAAATACGCCTTCCATTTGCATCTTGCCAACAGTAAACAATCAACAGATGGCGCTGCTCAGACCACGTGGGGCTTGTCAACACTGAAACGGCGAACCATGTTGTCAGTTTCTGATTTAAAAACATCAAAACTATCCTTTGATATTAGCACATCTTCTTTTTATTCTTTATACGACGTTACAGAGATAGTTCTTGCTCCTTCATCGGGTGAATGCGGAGTCAGTGCACAGAGAGAATATATATAAAGGCATGTAAACTTACACAACGTGGGAGAATGTACAAAGATAATGGAGCTGAAAGCTCAGTCACTAATTGAAGAGAACACCGCAAAAGAACTTCTTTGAGAGGCATTTTAGATGTTGTATAGATGAAGAAAGCCAAGTTCTATGGATAGTCAACTTCTTTATTGCATTGAGTGCGACGTTTCAATGAAGGTACTAACACCATGATCACTTCTTGCTTGAAAACGGTGTTAGTACCTACATCTAAACGTCACACTTATTGCAATAAAGACGCTGACCGCAAAAGAAACAATGGAAAAAGGTAATATTAAAATGTACAAGCACACATTTACATCACTTCAGGTTTAGGACACTTCAGATGATTTGAACACGTGATAATATAACCTTATTATTCAAATATTTGTTCCTATATAATTACTAAAGTTACCATTTGCAATCTCTCTTCACCCCAGAGATATTTTAAAGGCAATAACTGTGAATAGCTTGGAATGAAATATGTAAGCATTATTTTCAGATATCATTGGACTTGTGAGTGATGAAAATAAATATTTCTCTCCCTCTGTGTATCAAGACTCGTTCATTACGACTCGCCATATATTGACTAAATATTGATTGATTGACTCGCCATATATGACGACACCTGTGAAGATCCGGGTTAGAATAAAAATCTTCAGTAACCCATGCTTGTAGTAAGAGGCGACTAAAGGGATCGGATGGTTATAGGTTCGCTGACTTGGTTGACACAAGTCATCGTATCCCAATTGGGTAGATCGATGCTCATGCTAGTTGATCACTGGATTGTCTGGTCCAGACTCGATTATTTACAGACCGCCGTCATATAGCTGGAATATTGCTGATTGTAAAACTAAACTCACTCACTCACCCATATAACAACAGAACACCTTGTAATAACTTCATTATCATAATTACGACTTTAAAAAATAGTTATTATGATCTCGTATTTTCAGCTTGGGTCTCGTGAAAACGAGTAGTATTTTTCGCTCGTTATTGTTACATGTACTTTCTTCTTGTAACAACGTTTAAGCTGCACGTCTTTGACACCACTGGACTTTCGTACTGAAATGGTGATGAAATGATACCGTCTACTCCAGTTGAATGTTCCATACATTAGTTCAATTATATTCTCATGCGAAGGGTGTTTATACGAAAGCCCAGAGGGGTCAAATGTCTTTTTTTAATTTTCTGTTTTAAGATTGGTTAGGTTCGCTGACTTGGTTGACACAAGTCATCGTATCCCAATTGGGTAGATCGATGCTCATGCTAGTTGATCACTGGATTGTCTGGTCCAGACTCGATTATTTACAGACCGCCGTCATATAGCTGGAATATTGCTGATTGTAAAACTAAACTCACTCACTCACCCATATAACAACAGAACACCTTGTAATAACTTCATTATCATAATTACGACTTTAAAAATAGTTATTATGATCTCGTATTTTCAGCTTGGGTCTCGTGAAAACGAGTAGTATTTTTCGCTCGTTATTGTTACATGTACTTTCTTCTTGTAACAACGTTTAAAGCTGCACGTCTTTGACACCACTGGACTTTCGTACTGAAATGGTGATGAAATGATACCGTCTACTCCAGTTGAATGTTCCATACATTAGTTCAATTATATTCTCATGCGAAGGGTGTTTATACGAAAGCCCAGAGGGGTCAAATGTCTTTTTAATTTTCTGTTTTAAGATTGATTAGGTTCGCTGACTTGGTTGACACAAGTCATCGTATCTAATTGGGTAGATCGATGCTCATGCTAGTTGATCACTGGATTGTCTGGTCCAGACTCGATTATTTACAGACCGCCGTCATATAGCTGGAATATTGCTGATTGTAAAACTAAACTCACTCACTCACCCATATAACAACAGAACACCTTGTAATAACTTCATTATCATAATTACGACTTTAAAAAATAGTTATTATGATCTCGTATTTTCAGCTTGGGTCTCGTGAAAACGAGTTGTATTTTTCGCTCGTTATTGTTACATGTACTTTCTTCTTGTAACAACGTTTGCTGCACGTCTTTGACACCACTGGACTTTCGTATTGAAATGGTGATGAAATGATACCGTCTACTCCAGTTGAATGTTCCATACATTAGTTCAATTATATTCCTCATGCGAAGGGTGTTTATACGAAAGCCCAGAGGGGTCAAATGTCTTTTAATTTTCTGTTTTAAGATTGGTTAGGTTCGCTGACTTGGTTGACACAAGTCATCGTATCCCAATTAGGTAGATCGATGCTCATGCTAGTTGATCACTGGATTGTCTGGTCCAGACTCGATTATTTACAGACCGCCGTCATATAGCTGGAATATTGCTGATTGTAAAACTAAACTCACTCACTCACCCATATAACAACAGAACACCTTGTAATAACTTCATTATCATAATTACGACTTTAAAAATAGTTATTATGATCTCGTATTTTCAGCTTGGGTCTCGTGAAAACGAGTAGTATTTTCGCCTCGTTATTGTTACATGTACTTTCTTCTTGTAACAACGTTTAAAGCTGCATCGTCTTTGACACCACTGGACTTTCGTACTGAAATGGTGATGAAATGATACCGTCTACTCCAGTTGAATGTTCCATACATTAGTTCAATTATATTCTCATGCGAAGGGTGTTTATACGAAAGCCCAGAGGGTCAAATGTCTTTTTTAATTTTCTGTTTTAAAAGATTGGTTAGGTTCGCTTGACTTGGTTGACACAAGTCATCGTATCCCAATTAGGTAGATCGATGCTCATGCTAGTTGATCACTGGATTGTCTGGTCCAGACTCGATTATTTACAGACCGCCGTCATATAGCTGGAATATTGCTGATTGTAAAACTAAACTCACTCACTCACCCATATAACAACAGAACACCTTGTAATAACTTCATTATCATAATTACGACTTTAAAAAATAGTTATTATGATCTCGTATTTTCAGCTTGGGTCTCGTGAAAACGAGTAGTATTTTTCGCTCGTTATTGTTACATGTACTTTCTTCTTGTAACAACGTTTAAGCTGCACGTCTTTGACACCACTGGACTTTCGTACTGAAATGGTGATGAAATGATACCGTCTACTCCAGTTGAATGTTCCATACATTAGTTCAATTATATTCTCATGCGAAGGGTGTTTATACGAAAGCCCAGAGGGGTCAAATGTTTTTTTTAATTTTCTGTTTTAAGATTGGTTAGGTTCGCTGACTTGGTTGACACAAGTCATCGTATCCCAATTGGGTAGATCGATGCTCATGCTAGTTGATCACTGGATTGTCTGGTCCAGACTCGATTATTTACAGACCGCCGTCATATAGCTGGAATATTGCTGATTGTAAAACTAAACTCACTCACTCACCCATATAACAACAGAACACCTTGTAATAACTTCATTATCATAATTACGACTTTAAAAAATAGTTATTATGATCTCGTATTTTCAGCTTGGGTCTCGTGAAAACGAGTTGTATTTTTCGCTCGTTATTGTTACATGTACTTTCTTCTTGTAACAACGTTTAAGCTGCACGTCTTTGACACCACTGGACTTTCGTACTGAAATGGTGATGAAATGATACCGTCTACTCCAGTTGAATGTTCCATACATTAGTTCAATTATATTCTCATGCGAAGGGTGTTTATACGAAAGCCCAGAGGGGTCAAATGTTTTTTTTAATTTTCTGTTTTAAGATTGATTAGGTTCGCTGACTTGGTTGACACAAGTCATCGTATCCCAATTGGGTAGATCGATGCTCATGCTAGTTGATCACTGGATTGTCTGGTCCAGACTCGATTATTTACAGACCGCCGTCATATAGCTGGAATATTGCTGATTGTAAAACTAAACTCACTCACTCACCCATATAACAACAGAACACCTTGTAATAACTTCATTATCATAATTACGACTTTAAAAAATAGTTATTATGATCTCGTATTTTCAGCTTGGGTCTCGTGAAAACGAGTTGTATTTTTCGCTCGTTATTGTTACATGTACTTTCTTCTTGTAACAACGTTTAAGCTGCACGTCTTTGACACCATTGGACTTTCGTACTGAAATGGTGATGAAATGATACCGTCTACTCCAGTTGAATGTTCCATACATTAGTTCAATTATATTCTCATGCGAAGGGTGTTTATACGAAAGCCCAGAGGGGTCAAATGTTTTTTTTAATTTTCTGTTTTAAGATTGGTTAGGTTCGCTGACTTGGTTGACACAAGTCATCGTATCCCAATTGGGTAGATCGATGCTCATGCTAGTTGATCACTGGATTGTCTGGTCCAGACTCGATTATTTACAGACCGCCGTCATATAGCTGGAATATTGCTGATTGTAAAACTAAACTCACTCCACTCACCCATATAACAACAGAACACCTTGTAATAACTTCATTATCATAATTACGACTTTAAAAATAGTTATTATGATCTCGTATTTTCAGCTTGGGTCTCGTGAAAACGAGTTGTATTTTTCGCTCGTTATTGTTACATGTGTACTTTCTTCTTGTAACAACGTTTAAGCTGCACGTCTTTGACACCACTGGACTTTCGTACTGAAATGGTGATGAAATGATACCGTCTACTCCAGTTGAATGTTCCATACATTAGTTCAATTATATTCTCATGCGAAGGGTGTTTATACCGAAGCCCAGAGGGGTCAAATGTTTTTTTTAATTTTCTGTTTTAAGATTGGTAATAACCATAACGATTTTTCTGGTAATACCATTTATGATGGTTGTCTAGTGAGGTAAGATGCTTTCTGCAAGTGGGACCACTAGTAATAACTTTTATTAATTATAGTGTGTCCGGAAATCAGAGTTAGTAAGGTTTTAAATTCACTTCAGTATCTGTATATCTACTAATTTTTGTTTGAACCCATTCAGCAATCAAGATTGAACCAAAAACCTGTTTGAAATACTCATACCCTTACATACGAATCCCTTTTCAAAGCCCAAATCGCCCCAAATGTCTGTTTAACATTATAAAATCGGTACTTTGTCTATTAAATTTGAGAAGATCACAGATCATGTTGTGTTCTCATATACTGAATCTTCAATCCAACCGATAATACAATCCGCAGTGGCTGTTTTGATATATAATATTTTACAAGCATGTGTGTATAAACTGCACCGAGGCGATCAAATCTCTTCAGTTTTCAATTAGATCCATTCATAATCACAAGTATATGGTGTTTCTGTGAATAATTCTCCTTGAAGGACTGTAAAGAAAAGGAAACATACCCAGCAACCACCAAATGTCACCTAGTTGTGGCAATAATGAAAATATAAAACAATTCACAAAGAAATACCAACTAAATTGAAGTTTGAAAATTAAGGACACACTAGGTGCTTTGTGATTATTTAAATTAAAAACAACAACAAAAACAACGTAAATATTTTTGAAATGTCGTTTAATTTGTAGCCAGTTGCGGCGTTGCCAGCGTCTCAGGTTGCTCGACCAACCTAGACGTTTCAGTCGTTGCTGACTATTTAATGACATGCACCGACATGGTCGATAGGCCCGGATGCATTAAAATACGACAGTTCCAGCTGCGTTCCGTTATACTGTAGGCGCATATCATGCACGTGCGATTCAACAAATTATGATTTTTCACATCCCACATGCAACACTTTAATGGATACCTGTGGTGGTTTGGCAATGTTCACATTGTGCTTGACTTGTCAGTCACAATACGTCGCATATAAGAACACATTTCAAAGTGGCCGTGTTGTTTTGCGGGTTTCGTTCAAACGACCTGTTCAAAGGATCAGTTATCGATGTCACCGGTTCCTGCTGGTCGGCCAATCTTTCTCGTTCTCGAACCGTTTTCCAATCCGTGCGCATCTTATTCTGGCGTCGTACATCAGCTTTCTGGTCACTGGACCGGACATGTTTCCATTTTGAGACATTTTCCCATCCTACTTGTAATGTATTTTATACTAACAGGCAATATGCACAACTCCAGTCAACTGTGAAATCCCGGGAGGACACTGACGGCTCTGATACAGGCCCATCTATAATCTCCTTACACAAAATACTATCACCACCACCAATAACTCCTGTTATACCAATGTCCACGCCTTCCTGTTGTGTTTTGAAACCCAAGCAGTGCTTAGAGAGTGGTCCTCTCTCGCACTTTGTACCTAAAGTAGAGAGGGATACACTACAACAGAGCACTTCATATTCCAATAACGGTTTAAATACCTGTGTTAACTCGAATCCATGTCTCGTCAGTACTGACCCGTGTAGTTCCATGGTGTGTCTCTCTTTGTAAAGCAACACTCTGTCACTACAGCAACAATCCTGCCTGCCGTGTTCATTAGCTCTTATTCTCTATTCATAAGCTCTTATTCTTATTCTTATACTTAACTTGTGTTCAAATGTGTTTATCCGTTCCCGTTCAGCATGTTAATGCCTCTACACATTGAAGACCAGTTCTAACCCTGAACTCCATTGGGTAATACGTTTATAGACGACCCAGCGTTGTATTGCCCTCAGAGAGAGAGAGAGAGAGAGAGAGAGAGAGAGAGAGAGAGAGAGAGAGAGAGAGAGAGAGAGAGATGAATGGCCTTTGTGATAGGTCAGAACTACGAGGATCTACAAATTAGTGTTGGGAATTGGTTAAAATCTCATAATTGATGATTGGTTCATTACAACCGATCAATCATCGAAAATAATTTGTTAGCGCCATTTATGAAATTTGTTAATACACAAAAAAATACGGAAAAAAGCATGTAGTTCTTTTTGGCAAAATGTCACGTCTTTAAAGGATGACTAGTATGTTAGGAACATGGATTTCTTAGAGTCTTTAAGATAAATTCAATCATGACTTGGAACGAGCTTGTAGTGCTTATGAAATGTAACAGACAAAACCAACCTAGTGAAAATTACTGTTAATGAAAAGAAGTGTTCCAGAATTGTTTGTGTTCGATTATGAGAAAGCATGATCGATTGCTTGGTCGTTTAGTCACTACGACCAATCTTCGATTATTTCAATTAATCGGACCACCACTACTACAAATAGCACACACGTCACTATTGTTTACTGCGATAGATAGTATGTATTTATAGTTACACGTGTGCATGTGTATTTTTAGATCCACGCGTATTTGACTCATGCAGCATTATGTATGTCTTATGTATACATGATAAAAATGTATGGAGCGTTTGTTTCACAACGCAAAAAGCCGGAGTGACCTCTTAAAGTACTCGCTTGTTGCACAGCCTTCACTTGTTGCGTAACAGGAAGTAATCCTCCTGTGTGAGATCACTTGTGGTGTTATGGTAGAAGACACCACTGTTTATAATCCTAGTCCATTTCTTATGCTTCAAATGATACCTGACCCGGGGAGTGGCTGCTGATTAGCGCTATACATACCTTAAGTATACCCCTGTCGATGGATCAAGTGAGCACTCTATCTCCTGTCTCAGCACTCATGGGAGTAGACACCCCGAACTGCGTGTGAAGTGCAGTCCCATTACCAGCCCACCCTACCGGGTACCCTTTCACGAATGAGTGAACAGAGCTGGGCATTGTTCGAAGAATGTCCTTTACCAAATGTTACTTGTATAATGCAGCAGGGGGACGGTTCAAAGCTCTGGAAACTCGCACGAATCTGACATTCATGCACCCACTCTACGAAACATACGCTGTGTAACGTCGTCTGATTTGTTACCTGAGTGCTCTTCGCAGGACCACCGAGTCTACACTTAGTCTAGCATCCCCTTACATATTCGTAATATGTGCTCTATACCTCGCTGATTAATTACCTCATTATTACACGATACAGAACTATATTCTTGTATATAAACAGAATGCAGTCTGTGACAATAATGCCCTGGTCGTGGATATTCCAATGAAACACATGAGATGCAGCGAATAGTTTACTGGGCAAGACAGTAAAGGGTTGATAAGTAACCTTTTTGTAAGATGCTTCGGACCCTAAACAATGACTATCACTAATGTGACAATTTAAAAATGTGAAAACAATTCGTTTAGACATGACATCCAGCTATGTACTACATCATCCATACTAGATAACAACTCGTTCAGACTTGGCATTCAGCTGTGTACTACATCACCCATACAAGATAACAACACGTTCAGACATTATATTCAGCTATGTACTACATCATCCATACTAGATAACAACTCGTTCAGACATGATATTCAGCTGTGTACTACTACATCACCCATACTAGATAACAACTCGTTCAGACATGATATTCAGCTATGTACTACATCATCATACTTGATAACAACTCGTTCAGACATGATATTCAGCTATGTACTACATCGTCCATGCTAGATAACAACTCGTTCAGACATGGCATTCAGTACTACATCATCATACTACATCGTCCATGATTAGATAACAACTCGTTCAGACTACATGATATTCAGCTATGTACTACATCATCCATACTAGATAACAACTCGTTCAGACATGATATTCAGCTATGTACTACATCATCATAATTGATAACAACTCGTTCAGACATGGCATTCAGCTGTGTACTACTACTTCACCCATACTAGATAACAACTCGTTCAGACATGATATTCAGCTATGTACTACATCATCATACTTGATAACAACACGTTCAGACATGATATTCAGCTATGTACTACATCGTCCATACTAGATAACAACTCGTTCAGACCTGATATTCAGTTCCTACATCGTCCATACTAGATAACAACTCGTTCAGACATTATCAGCGATGTACTACATCGTCCATACTAGATAACAACTCGTTCAGACATGGCATTCAGCCATGTCACGTCGTCCATATTGATAACAACTCGTTCAGACATGGCATTCAGCTATGTACTACATCGTCCATACTCATCCAGATAACAACTCGTTCAGACATGGCATTCAGCTATGTACTACATCGTCCATACTAGATAACAACTCGTTCAGACATGGCATTCAGCTATGTACTACATCATCCATATTAGATAACAACTCGTTCAGACATGGCATTCAGCATATGTACTTACTCATCGTCATATTCAGACATGATATTCAGCTATGTACTACACTCCATACTTGATAACAACTCGTTCAGACATGATATTCAGCGATAAACTACATGTTCCATACACGTTCAGACATGATAGCTATGTACTACATCATCCATACTAGATAACAACTCGTTCAGACATGATATTCAGCTATGTACTACATCATCCATACTAGATAACAACTCGTTCAGACATGATATTCAGCTATGTACTACATCGTCCATACTAGATAACAACTCGTTCAGACATGGCATTCAGCTATGTACTACATCATCCATACTAGATAACAACTCGTTCAGACATGGCATTCAGCTATGTACTACATCATCATACTTGATAACAACTCGTTCAGACATGATATTCAGCTATGACTACAACTCGTTCAGACAACTGTTCAGACGCTGATTCATTCAGCTATGTACTACATCATCATGATATTTGATAACAACTCGTTCAGACATGATATTCAGCTATGTACTACATCGTCCATACTAGATAACAACTCGTTCAGACATGATATTCAGCGATGAACTACATCGTCCATACTAGATAACAACTCGTTCAGACATGGCATTCAGCTATGTACCATATCCATACTTGATAACAACTCGTTCAGACATGATATTCAGCTATGTACACATCGTCGTTCAGACAACCAGACATGGCATTCAGCTATCATCGTCCATACTAGATAACATTCAGCATGATATTCATCATACTACATCGTCCATACTAGATAACAACTCGTTCAGACATGGCATTCAGCTATGTACTACATCGTCCATACTAGATAACAACTCGTTCAGACATGGCATTCAGCCATATGTAACTACATCATTCAGCTATCCATACTAGATAACAACTCGTTCAGACATGATATTCAGCTATGTACTACATCATCCATACTAGATAACAACTCGTTCAGACATGATATTCAGCTATGTACTACATCATCCATACTAGATAACAACTCGTTCAGACATGATATTCAGCTATGTACTACATCATCATACTTGATAACAACTCGTTCAGACATGATATTCAGCTATGTACTACATCGTCCATACTAGATAACAACTCGTTCAGACATGGCATTCAGCTATGTACTACATCATCCATACTAGATAACAACTCGTTCAGACATGATATTCAGCTATGTACTACATCATCCATACTAGATAACAACTCGTTCAGACATGGCATTCAGCTATGTACTACATCATCTCCATACTAGATAACAACTCGTTCAGACATGATATTCAGCTATGTACTACATCATCCATACTAGATAACAACTCGTTCAGACATGGCATTCAGCTATGTACTACATCATCCATACTAGATAACAACTCGTTCAGACATGATATTCAGCTATGTACTACATCGTCCATACTAGATAACAACTCGTTCAGACATGATATTCAGCTATGTACTACATCGTCCATACTAGATAACAACTCGTTCAGACATGGCATTCAGCTATGTACTACATCGTCCATACTAGATAACAACTCGTTCAGACATGGCATTCAGCTATGTACTACATCGTCCATACTAGATAACAACTCGTTCAGACATGGCATTCAGCTATGTACTACATCATCCATACTTGATAACAACTCGTTCAGACATGGCATTCAGCTATGTACTACATCGTCCATACTAGATAACAACTCGTTCAGACATGATATTCAGCTATGTACTACATCGTCCATACTTAGATAACAACTCGTTCAGACATGGCATTCAGCTATGTACTACATCATCCATATACTAGATAACAACTCGTTCAGACATGGCATTCAGCTATGTACTACATCGTCCATACTAGATAACAACTCGTTCAGACATGGCATTCAGCTATGTACTACATCGTCCATACTAGATAACAACTCGTTCAGACATGGCATTCAGCTATGTCATCATCCATGTACAACTCGTACATCATCCATACTAGATAACAACTCGTTCAGACATGGCATTCAGCTATGTACTACATCATCCATACTAGATAACAACTCGTTCAGACATGGCATTCAGCTATGTACTACATCATCCATACTAGATAACAACTCGTTCAGACATGGCATTCAGCGATGTACTACATCGTCCATACTAGATAACAACTCGTTCAGACATGGCATTCAGCTATGTACTACATCGTCCATACTAGATAACAACTCGTTCAGACATGACATTCAGCTATGTACTACATCATCCATACTAGATAACAACTCGTTCAGACATGGCATTCAGCTATGTACTACATCGTCCATACTAGATAACAACTCGTTCAGACATGGCATTCAGCTATGTACTACATCATCCATACTAGATAACAACTCGTTCAGACATGATATTCAGCTATGTACTACATCGTCCATACTAGATAACAACTCGTTCAGACATGACATTCAGCTATGTACTACATCGTCCATACTAGATAACAACTCGTTCAGACATGTGCTACATCCTAGATACTACATACTACATAACGCCTTCTTTTCCGGTTTTAAGAACTGATCCAATTATAATGTCGTATCAAAATTATGAAAAATGCCAAAAGCACACAATTTAATCTACTGATTATAATCACAGACATTCACTGTGAATGAACCCAAATCATCCTTTAGATATAAGTGATCGAACTTGTTACAGACGTTCCTACTAACGGTGGTCCTTTGTATGAATGGATTCTAGTTATTATCAAGAATTTTCAAGACAGAAAAATATCACTTTGCCTAATTAAGCTTTTTAGATGTGGGATACATGTATTCCAATCAAGCCACTCCTTACCTGTGAGTCGGTCGATATTTTTAGACGGGATTTCCCAGCTATTTATACATAGCTATTTATACATCCATTACGGTTGCCTAAAAATAGCAGTTAATGAAATATTTTCTGTCAGAAAATGCTAACATGTATGTTGTTTTGATTCAACTAATAGATCATATTATATGACCTTGTGAACTTGTAATCTAGATCAATATAGTTTAGGGTTACCGGTATTATGCACAGACCTGAACGAATGCCGCCTACGTCAGTGCAGTACGTGTTGACTCACGTGTACCTATATTTACTTTTGGGTAAGCCCGAAGGGACTTTTCAAGATGGAAATGCCTTTTATATCGGTGTACACATCATCTGAAGAACATTCGGGATTACACAACTCCCCAGAAGGGTCTCTATCTCTGTATGGGAAGGAAGCAATTGGAAGGAAAGCAGATTTTAATCATGGGTTTTCTGACACATTTATTCGTGTTTTCCACCCTTGTTCTGACGGTGTCGGGGATGAAATACAAATGTCACAGAGATATCTGTGATTCCAGCTACCAGTTCTGTAACGATGGGGAGGAGCGGTGTAATACTTGTACCCCCGAGCAGTGTCAAGATGACGTGGCCAAACACATATTCTACCAGTGTGAAGTCAGGTGTCAGGAACTTGGTGAGTACATATCATAGTACTATAATTAATTTCGTCACTGGTTTCCTGTTAACCCTGAACACCAGAAGCCAGTCGCTCCTTTGAATGATATACATTTATCTATAACATTATGGTCATTTTCATTAATAGTGTAATAGTGTATTAATATATTGTGAATATGTGTACATTGAGTTACTGAATTAATTATACAAATGGTGAAAGAATATGTTTAAACAGTTCAATGTTATTTTAATGTTATTAAACTTTGGGTCTGGAATTTCGGACAACTTGATACATTTTCAAAGATCTACAAATCTTTGTCAAGGACATTAAAGTCCAAGTCAGTATTTTCCCGTGAGTGTTTTTACTGGACGACTAGAGGAAAGACGTACATGATTCATTTTGAATGATATATTTCAGCAACAACGACGGCGAGATCTACGGAGCCAACTACTACGTCTGCTGCCATCGTGACCGCTCAGGACAAACCAGAAGGTTAGTTTGGGTTGTTATTCTTTATAGGGCGCAGTTAGATAAAGACGCAGTTCGTGTTACTATAAAAAGACGTGGGTATTCCCCATATGGTAGGATCGTCTCCCTTTAGTGCAGCTTCGATCCTGCCTATGCTGTGTAAACCAGATATTATTTGTTTGGATGAAGAAAAGAAACAGTTGTTCTAAGCAAGGTTCCAGAATATTCAGAATGTACATATGTGTATAGTACATTATTATTGTTCAAGCAAACTTTGATACTTCCCTTATTGGATGTATTTTATTGTTCAGCTGTCTGCTTGAAAAAGGTTGTTAAACAGTAACATAGAGCTCTCAAACAAATGTTGTTTGCCTCTCTATTTTAAAAATGTGACACTTTAAAGACTGATATGTTTTAGATTCAAGCACAAATTACACCATATTATTGTTTGTTGCAGAACCACACTTCCTGACTTGGCTGACTCCTGTCATCCTTACAGCTGGGATAGTGGTCATAGTGCTGATCTTGATTCTGGTCTTGTGGTATGTGGTTAGGATTGACAGAAAAGTGTTCGACCCAGAGATGGCTGGGAGTGAGACCTGCACCACTATTTCAACTACTGGGGATGTGGAGAAGGCACCACTTTTGGAACAGGGAATTCAGGTAGTCCAGAATGAGGAGTCTGACTCTGGCGCCCATTTGAACAAGATGGAGGAGATCCGCACCTTGGCCCAAGCCCCTGCACAAGCCGCAGCTGTAGTAGTCCAACCAGACCAGGCTGACCCACCCTCTTACAGTAAGTAGCTGCAGCATCAAGTCAACAGAAATCCAAGCCCGAACATTGTAAATAAGTACAGCATGATACTATTAAGAGACTGACTTTTTTCATTCTTGGTGTTACCTTTTTAATTTTCTATTCCAGAAAATAATCTATAAGTTTCACAACTGTAGCTCATAGGAAAATAGCATGTGTTATATCAGTAACCTAATACGTATTCTTTCTTTGTGACTAAATACTTATTCTATCTTCTCCAAAAATGTTGTTTATAGGAAACTGGTACATTATTTGTGTCACAGTCATGTTTTACTTTTCAGCCACCTCAGACTTGAAAAATAACAAAACACCTACAATGGCGTCCGTTGCATCGGTGGAGGCAGTACAAGACTCCGGGCTGCAGGACTATTTGAGCGAGACGATTCCAGAAACTGATTTCCTCCAACAGAATTTCAAGAAAGAAAAAGAAAACGAAAAAGACATTGGAGTGGAGAATACAAGGCTCAAATCAGTCCAAAATCAGTCACACCTGAAATTCTGATCTGGAAGGGATGAGCAGGTGTGCACTGTCCTGAATCTGATGTTGAAGGTGTTGACATTAGGAGCCACATGAAAATGTTTGCTTGCTACACCAAAGGTAGTGGTTTGATTCCCCAACTGAGTGAAGATCATTTCTGGTATCCCAAACTAGGATATGTCTGAAACTAAGTGGTGTAAAACCATGCTGACTTAAGGTCGTATCAAAGCCAATAAAAACTGTGATAAACTGTACCATTCTGGATGGAGATTGTGACTGATATTGTCATGTACAAAGTAGGGTGGAGATCACGGCCTGGGCACTCCAAGACGACAGCAGTGGAACGCCCCTACCAAATATGTCCGTGACGGCAGACTGTCAAAGAATAGCTTATCATGATATTGGTGGTCTGTTTGATGTTACTTAACTCGACAATGATCTTGGTGCTTTGGAGAAAGCCAATGAACAGACACAGATGATCTCAATTTCATCCAAAACTAAACCATATACAAGTAACATATCACCATTGGTTACAGCTGGCCAAATCTCATTGTTTCAGATGACTATAAAATGGCAACTGGAAATGGCAGTATGAACTATATTCCATGTGTGCTAATGAAAAATGAACGAAGTTATGAATGTGTACTTGTGTCAAGATCTGTTGTAAATATGTCTGTAAGTTTTCTGTACATATGGTGTATTTATCAAAACTGTAAACATGTTTGTATGTTAATACAATAATAGAAAAAGAAATGAATGTTTCTCATGTTTCACTATTGAGATGAAGCTATTTTGTACACACTGACAACATTTATATATGTAAATGCAACACAATTTGCCAGAAATACAGTTGGCATGACTCCTCTCTAGAATAGACGAGTCAGTAAGTACTTCTTAGGACTACTGATTATCATGTGCAATACATTCACTACTATGTCAGTGTGTGTAACATACAAAAGGTACTAATTTTTTATTTATTTTGCTCTTACAATAATTGGTTGGTTGGTTTGTTGTTTAACTCCAAACTCAGCAATATGGTGGCAGTCTGTAAATATTCAAGTTGGACCAGACAATCAAGTGATTGAGGCACACAGATTAGAGACACTACATAGTATCAAGTGACACTGAAAACTTGGATTTGATATAGCAGTGTATGAAATAAGACCTGTCCAACCGCCCGAGACAGTCTAGATCTGATATAGCAGTGTATGAAATAAGACCCGTCCGTCTGCCCGAGACGGTCTAGATCTGATATAGCAGTGTATGAAATAAGACCCGTCCAACCGCCCGAGATGGTCTAGATCTGATATAGCAGTGTATGAAATAAGGCCCGTCCGACCAACCGAGATGGTCTAGATCTGATATAGCAGTGTATGAAATAAGACCCGTCCGACCAACCGAGACGGTCTAGATTTCTGACGGACGGTCTAAATCTACAGCTAGCCATCCCGATGGTCTGGTAAAAAATTTAAATGTTCCATACATCTGAGTAAATTCACCATATTTGGTCTGGTTAAATCCATTTTGGGCTGGTAACATTTTGAAGTTACCAGCCCTGATGTCTGGCTGGATTTTGGGCTTATTTCATACACGGGATATAGGCTGGTGGACACACTTGCTGCAAGAGTGAGTGAGAGAGTAAGTTTAGTTTTACGCTGCACTCAACAATATTCCAGCTATATGGCAGCAGTCTGTAAATAATCGAGTCTTGGCCAGACAATCCAGTGATCAACAGCATGACCATCAATCTACGCAATTGGGAACCAATGACATCTGTCAACCAATACAGCGAGCCTGACCACCCGATCCTGATAGTCGCCTCTTACTACAAGCATGGGTTACTGAAGATCAATTTCGTTTAACGGGGATCTTCACAGGTCACTTGCTGCAGGAAGATTATTGTGGTCCCATGTCGACATTGCTGAAATATGGTTAAATGCAAAATAACACCAAATCACTCACTCCTTTCAAATATCACTCAACCCCAAATGCTTCTATCTCTCAAACAACTTACAACCAGTGTATATAAACAATGATTCGTAACAATTCCAAAATGATTTTACGAGATGTAAACAATCACAAACAGTAATATTTTTTTTAAGAAACAACCTTTATTTTGGTGATGATAAACAGAAACATAAAAGATTCTGGTTAAGATAAAAACTTTAAGTAATGAGACACAATCTTGTAAGATTGTAAGCAATAAGGAAAGTGATGCTAACCTGGGACATGATGTGTGAACTTGCTGATTTCATCAATTGTTTATGAATATCGCACATTAACAAAAGTCAAAACAAGAATATTAGATAAATCAATCACTGAAATATGAAACAATTTAAGTATTTAAACATTGCAACTACAACGTCAATATCTAACAATGTAAAAATTGTTCCAATAATATATTCATGAAACATTAATCATTTCACAAGCGTTACTAATTATGACAGCCATTTTGAAGTGGCCTTACCCTTTGACAGATCTGAAATAATTTTGTTCAAACATTTAAAAAAAAAGCTTTTTAAAATGCACTGTAAATCAACAGATGTCAGATAGTTACACACTATGACCTCTCTCACTGATAACTTCAACGTGAACTATAAAAAAAAAAGAAATTACATGAATATAAAAGTATATATAAAATGTGATTCTTATCTATGAGAAGCGGACAAAAGCATGATTACAATCATTTGAAGTTCAATCAAACGTGAATCCCTGTTCTGTTGTCATACCGGCAGCACACTAAGTAAGAGACAATATTCTCATTCTGATTCATCTACTGATGGAGCAGAGCACTCAATGACGTCACATTTCTCTTCTGATAATACTACCAAAACAAAACAATAAGAAGAAAAAACCCGTTGCAAACTTGATTCCCCAGAAGGAAACTGTGATCAACAGTCTGGTGCCTCCCATTTCATTATAGGTCCAGAAGTGTCATAAATGTTATCAAATGGATAACTGAAATGTGGACAAAGAGATGTAAACCTTATTTAAACTTGCACCAGCTGCCATGACATGCTTGAAGCAGTACTCTGTAAAGATAATTCATGTCTCAAAAATAATTGAGTCAGCTGTGTTCTAATACAAAAGGTAATATAATATTTATAATAATATAACTAATTATAAGTAATTATAAATATTTATATTTATTATCATTGAAACAACATTAAAAACTGAAATTAGAAAAAGGACTTCATATGATTTGTTTTGATTTAAAATGAAACAATAGTTATTATTTTGCTTCTGTGTTGGGTTGTCGAAAACTGATCTTTCTAATTCATCAGCATTGTTAAATTGCATGCTGAATCCATAATTTATGCTGGAATAGATAAGAATAGATCTTTCTTCATAGATCAACCACCTGCAAGTCAATGGCTGCACAGACTGGCAACATGAAGTCTTCTCAACAACACTAGTACTGTTTGTATTTAGGCAAACAGTACTTATTCAATACCATAAACATTATGGCGAGGTCAATTAATGTTTCTCAACTTGACAAGAGAGGAAAAAACAAAATAATTACACATCCAAACTGTTATTTTTTTTTTACCCAAAGAAGCCAACATTTTTGCACCCTGGTTCGGCTTCATATCAAAGATCAAGATAGAATGGTAAATCACGATCAAGACAGAATGGTTGTTATACACACTTGCTTGTAAACATTCCTATAAAGTTAACTCAAAAGTTCTAGGTAAGCAGATAATCCTTGGTAAAACATGGTGAAAAATGTATTGCCAAACCCCTCCCATATGAAACTATTAAACACTCAAGATGGTAAGCACTTTACAACTGATACTACAATAAAGTAAAGCACCATCATGGATTTGGTCAGAAAAAAACAATATTTCTGAGTGAAAGAATGAATTATACAAATGCTTAAGAGGGAATGTGTTGTATTGCTGATGTGTGTTTGTGTGTAATTGACATGGATGATACTCAACATTGATAACATGTGCTTATGAGGGAGTGACATGGATGAAACAATGCAGTGCTAACATGTGCTTATTAGGGAATGGCATAGATGAAACAATGCAGTGCTAGCATGTGCTTATGAGGGAATGGCATAGATGAAACAATGCAGTGCTAGCATGTGCTTATGAGGGAGTGACATAGATGAAACAATGCAGTGCTAGCATGTGCTTATGAGGGAATGGCATGTGCTTATGAGGGAATGGCATGTGCTTATGAGGGAATGACATGTGCTTATGAGGGAATGACACTTGTGAAACAATGCAGTGCTAACATGTGCTTATGAGGGAATGACATGTGCTTATGAGGGAATGACACTTGTGAAACAATGCAGTGCTAACATGTGCTTATGAGGGAATGATGTGCTTATGAGGGGATGACATTGATGAAACAATGCAGTGCTAACATGTGCTTATGAGGGAATGACGTGCTTATGAGGGAATGACATTGATGAAACAATGCAGTGCTAACATGTGCTTATGAGGGAATGATGTGCTTATGAGGGGATGACATTGATGAAACAATGCAGTGCTAACATATGCTTATGAGGGAAGGGCATGGATGAAACAATGCAGTGCTAACATGTGCTTATGAGGGAATGGCATGGATGAAACAATGCAGTGCTAACATGTGCTTATGAGGGGATGACATGGATGAAGCTGTACAATGTTGCAGTTAAAACATTCTTACGACAGTATAACATGGGTAAAGCTGTACAATGTTAAGTTGTTTCATAGGCATTTTTAGAATTTGGGTCAAGAAGCAATTGTATGTATTACAAGTTCTTTAATATCTATATGGTAATGTTTCTGTCTACTGTTTTCAAGGTAATTGATGTGAGAGGATACAAGGCAATATATATACACTATAATGTACATGTTATTGTAAGAGATTAGCTGTCACATGAAAACAGTGATGACCGATCTCAGAGATTAAGAACAACTGCAGCTGTGGAGAGGCATATACTGAGGAACCCAGGGACTCATTCTGACAAGAGTTAAAGAGCACCGCACATCTACAAACAAAGGAAATCAACCATTTCTGACCACATCTGCTCAAACCCCAGCCACCATATCCACTAGAGCAACACTTCTATCCTTGCTAACAACCTCTCTGACTTCACCAAAAGTTAACTTACTGGAGCCACCCAGATCAAAAGACGCAAGCCATTATTTATCAACAGAGATCAAGGATCTTTCATCCGCAATGCTTACAGCGAAATAATTAAACATTAACACTGTTGTGACAACCCCCCTTCTGCCGGTACTACTGGTTTGGTAGACTGTCAGGTTTACCTAAAGTCATGGTGATGCATAGGCCTACTATACAAATGATCCCTAAAAGTATTAACACAGGCTAACCACAGATTAACCTACTCTCTGTGCAAACATACTTATGTACATTTATTTAGCTTTTCTCACTAGCTGTTTTCATGTCACCACTAATCGCTTAAAATAACATGTTGCTTTTTGTGGATATATGTTGCCATATATATTTTAAGTACACATATCATCATCTCACATCAGTTAGCTTGAAAACGGTAAAAGGATCGATGCCGAAATGTTGCCTTATTGGTATTAAACAAGTTGTAATTTGATTCTTTAAACTCAACAACAAATAGTAACAAATATAAAATATTAAAAATCAACAACTTCTTTTCTTAGTATTTAAGCCTCTTATTTTCTGAAACATCTGACTGACTGAGTTTGGTTTTACGCCGCTTTTAGCAATATTCCAGCAACATCACGTCGGGGAACACCAGAAATGGCTTCACACATTGTACCCATGTAGGGATTCAAACCCGGGTCTTCGGCATGACGAGCCAACACTTTAACCACTAGGCTACCCCACCGCCCCTTCTGAAACATCTATTCTGCATAACTCTTGTCAGAAATAACAAATAACATGAACCAACAACAGGACTAGTGTTTTGTGATGACAGTGTTTTGTAGTCATAGACCTTATAGGCAAAGTAAAGTGAAGCAACATTATTCGGGACATACATTTTCCTTGATACATTAAGTGAAATTCCAAGAATAGGGAATTTGTAGAAAATACACATTAAACTGTCTGACTGAAAGTGCTGAAATCATACAGTCTACCATAGTCTCAGAACACAAACCTAGCTATCCATAGCTTCAACGCAGGACAACAAATGTGTTAATTCCCTGATATGTAAACTTGGCGGCCATGTCTATGGTAGATGGTTTCACTTCAGTGAACATCTTTTCACTATGGTGTTATGTTCAGTTTCCTTGCCCTTTTATACAACATTCACAAAAAGCAAAACAGAATTCCCCTGAACAGAAACTTAGACTTCAAAACTGGCAACAACTGATAAATCTAATGGTACAATAATTTTTCCCTGACAAACAACATAAGACTAAACCACTATGTCACTGCCTTGGCATTCACTAGGTGGCTAAGATACTATGAAATTATCGTGCAGATAAATCAGTCTTTGATCAGATAAAGCAACAATACATGAAATAGGCACATGTACAGACTTACACAGTCAAATCAAAATTAATCGCAATCTTGTGTCACAATATAAAGCTGTCATACATACATCGCTCTAGATCTTCTACTTTCATTGGGAACATTTATCTCACAACAAGACGACATTACAGTCTGATAGAGTTGAGACATTTCCTAAACATGACAACATTAAATGCAATCTCAATAAAAGTTGAGACATTTCCATGAGGTTAAGTCCAAGGTGTACTCATTTACCTTGTATGTTCACCTGATATAAAACACAATGTTTATATTGACAGTCAGTGCTGCAACAATGTTTATACTGACAGTCCTGCAACAATGTTTATATTGACAGTGCTACAACAATGTTTATATTGACAGTCCTGCAACAATGTTTATATTGACAGTGCTGCAACAATGTTTATATTGACAGTCAGTGCTGCAACAATGCTTATATTGACAGTCAGTGCTGCAACAATGTTTACATTGACAGTGCTACAACAATGTTTATATTGACAGTCCTGCAACAATGTTTATATTGACAGTAAGTGCTGCAACAATGTTTATATTGACAGTGCTACAACAATGTTTATATTGACAGTCCTGCAACAATGTTTATATTGACAGTCAGTGCTGCAACAATGTTTATATTGACAGTCCTGCAACAATGTTTATATTGACAGTCAGTGCTGCAACAATGTTTATATTGACAGTCCTGCAACAATGTTTATATTGACAGTCCTGCAACAATGTTTATATTGACAGTCAGTGCTGCAACAATGTTTATATTGACAGTCCTGCAACAATGTTTATATTGACAGTCAGTGCTGCAACAATGCTTATATTGACAGTCAGTGCTGCAACAATGCTTACATTGACAGTCAGTGCTGCAACAATGTTTACATTGACAGTGCTACAACAATGTTTATATTGATAGTCCTGCAACAATGTTTATATTGACAGTCAGTGCTGCAACAATGTTTATATTGACAGTCCTGCAACAATGTTTATATTGACAGTCAGTGCTGCAACAATGTTTATATTGACAGTGCTACAACAATGTTTACAGTCCTGCAACAATGTTTATATTGACAGTCAGTGCTGCAACAATGTTTATATTGACAGTCCTGCAACAATGTTTATATTGACAGTCCTGCAACAATGTTTATATTGACAGTCAGTGCTGCAACAATGTTTATATTGACAGTCCTGCAACAATGTTTATATTGACAGTCAGTGCTGCAACAATGCTTATATTGACAGTCAGTGCTGCAACAATGCTTATATTGACAGTAAGTGCTGCAACAATGTTTACATTGACAGTGCTACAACAATGTTTATATTGATAGTCCTTCAACAATGTTTATATTGACAGTCAGTGCTGCAACAATGTTTATATTGACAGTCCTGCAACAATGTTTATATTGACAGTCAGTGCTGCAACAATGTTTATATTGACAGTGCTACAACAATGTTTATATTGACAGTCCTGCAACAATGTTTATATTGACAGTCAGTGCTGCAACAATGTTTATATTGACAGTCCTGCAACAATGTTTATATTGACAGTCCTGCAACAATGTTTATATTGACAGTCAGTGCTGCAACAATGTTTATATTGACAGTCCTGCAACAATGTTTATATTGACAGTCAGTGCTGCAACAATGCTTATATTGACAGTCAGTGCTGCAACAATGCTTATATTGACAGTCAGTGCTGCAACAATGTTTACATTGACAGTGCTACAACAATGTTTATATTGATAGTCCTTCAACAATGTTTATATTGACAAACATTTCAGAACAGTCCTGGTGTTTAAAATCAGAATATAAACAAAAGAGTGAGTGATTTTAGATTTACGCTGCTTTTAACAATATTCCAGTTACATCACGGCAGATACAAACAAAAGAGTAAGGAACTCAGTAGAAGACCAAATATGGCGTCAAGAAATAAATTTTAGTTTAGAAAACCAAAATGATAAAACATGCCAAATTTCATTAGATACTGATTCTAAACTCATATGGTGAGAAAAAAAATCAAAAATCAATCACCATTCTAAAAGTACAAACTTGATGAGAAAAAAATATTTTATGGTTCAGTGAAACATGCCCACTTTCATTCCATGATTTAACAACAGGAAAATGTGTCTATCATAATGATATGCATTTACTACTGGATAAGAGGTAAGCATTCAGAAAAAGCCATTCACCAAGTTTTGCCCACATCTTTCACAAACTGAAATGTAAACACAACACAGAAAACCTAACACAGAAAATGGATTGTGAATGAATACAAACACTATTCCTCGAGGTATGCCCTGAGGTATAGATCCAAGGTACAAGTAGTCATCAAGTGAACATTTCATTTGCTGTATTTTCCACAAAAAGTCCTATTGGTTGTCCATAACACTTGTGTGGGAATGGAATTCCACTGCGATACAGTTAGATCACATTTGCGAAATGTATTCCTCTGAAAAAAGATCAATTAAGTGGGGTTCTTTCCATGATCTAGGTTATCTGATATCTTTCAAAACTGTTACAGATCGGTATTTTACATATTTTACATTTTATTTTGACAAATTGACTGACTGACTGAGTTTTGGTTTTACGCCGCTTTTAGCAATATTCCAGCAACATCACGGCAGGGGACACCAGAAATGGGCTTCACACATTGACAAAATGAAGGTTTAAGGTATCTGTGTATATAAGATATGCACTGATTGGATTCACATAAATGTCTGGTAAAGCTATATATGGTGTACTTCAACATGTAAAGAATTTCAGAACACACTTCTTTATCTGTAGACAGTATTGGACAACAAAATAATGCGAGGCAGTTCATCTGGTAGTGCAGCTGATTATAATACAAATGAAATAATATATTTATCAATGCCTAACATCTACCTCATTCAACAAGTTTCCTAATTCAATCAACAGAACCATTATTCAACCTTTACATTATTGGCGTATTCTTTACCATGAGGTATGAAGAACACAGAATACAAATCAAAGGAGACGTGAATGGAGTCTCAATACACAGGAATACCGTAATTCCTCTGATAGATGCACACCGAACATGTACTTATCAAAATGACCAGTATTTTATTGGTCCTTTATTAAGTAAAGGTGACGTGAAGTCAAAAGGGGTTTAGCACTGCTCTCGAGATTATTGCACTTACATTGTAACATGCATCCACCGATTTGTGTGTGGCTTCCTGCACTGGCCAGCCTAAAGCCAGGTTCATGGTGAGATACCATGCCACAGTTTTAACAAGGATGCCACTCTATGACTCACTATGTGGATAACTAACAACTGAAGAATTACAAACTGCCTTTACAGGGGTGGAAATAACTTTAAAATTGCTAGTGTACTCCGGTACAGTGGCACATGTAAAAATCACTTGCCCTAATAATTTTTCCACTATACCGGCCATTTTCTTGTTGATTTTTTAAATAAATAACATTATTAACATTGGAAAGTCAACTGGACACCGGTACAGTGTGATATACAAATTTGCTTGCCCGACAGAAAAAAACACCGTACTCGGACATCGGGCAATGGGTTATTTCCGCCCCTGCCTTTACTTTTACATTTTGGACCACATATCTTTTGGAGATCTGGCACCTATTTGAGGAATCAGTACTATTTGGATGTAATATTTCCAAACAGTGTTTCTCATCAGGACATAAATGAATGCATCTAAATATGACACACAGGATAACAGTGGATTTACCGACAAGAGTAACACATAAATCGCTACACAAATCGCTACATCAGGCTGCAATAGGAGGCAGTCCTGGCCTCATCCAGTGGTATGGAGGTCATCTGTTGGAACCAATGACATAATACATACTCCCATCACCACATGGAAAGTCCAGGGTTGCCTTGCAGGGCACTGTAGGTGAGTCTCTCAGGCACATGCTGGGGAACAGTAAGCCATTGCCGGGCTGTGTAACCCACACCTTGCTACACATACCACACATGATTGTATATCACAATTTAACAAAAGGCACAATGAATGCAAAAGGCACAAAAGAATTCTTCTATCCATAAAGAGCGAGAACATTTGAACATGTATTTGAATGTCCGTGATCAGGTAAGTATGTGAGTCTTGGAATTTCATACACTAATCTCACTTTTTAACTTTTATAACCATTAATCAATCAACTAAATCAGAATTACTTACATATGAACTTCAACTGCCCTTGTTAAAACAAAATATCACCAATGTGCTGTATGTATTAAGTAGATTATTTTCAACGTTAAATGAAATGCTCTACTTCTTAGAATTACAGCTCACAAATCAAAACATTGTCAAGAAAACTTGAAAGCAAATTATGTGTTTGTAGTTTTACAAAATTGCATGTTCATGAACGTCTGACAGTGTCCTCATATAACCAGTGTCTCATAGAGACATATCATGCACCTTTGGTAATTTCTCCATGAGAGTGTTTAGACTGTAGCATCGATGAGATATTTCCTCTCTGGCTACAATAAATCCTGCAGATGATTTCGTAAGCACTGTTTTTCAGTGTGTTGATGGTCTTACTACAATAAATCCTGCAGATGATTTCCTAAGCACTGTTCTTCAGTGTGTTGATGGTCTTCCAGCTGATAGTCATCCAGAAGATATTGTCCTGCACGTTCATGATCTTCTCCTTTAGGTGTGCCATGAGGTCTCCTCGGTCCCGGATTTTTGGTGAGGGCAGTGTAACTGTCTCTGGAGCACAGAAATCAAGAAGGAACCTTCAAGAAAAGTCTAGAACAAGGGCTATATATACACTGACAGGAAGAATGTTGAAGCAAAGTCTAGAACAAGGGCTATATATACACTGAGAGGAAGAATGTTGAAGAAAAGTCTAGAACAAGGGCTATATATACACTGACAGGAAGAATGTTGAAGCAAAGTCTTCATTTAAAACAAGGGCCATGCATGCATTGCCAGGAAGAATGTTGAAGCAAAGTCTCAATCTAGAAGAAGGGCCGTACATGCAAAGAAGGAACATTGTAGCAAAGCTGTGTTCCAGAACAAGGCTGGTGGTGGTGGTGGAACAAGGGACAAGTAGAGGAACATATATATGACTTTAAAGCCTTAAGACCTGTTTATTCATGTGCAAATAGTTTTCAGAGTGTAATGCTGTATACAGGTAAATATCACTGCAGTATCCCCACTTTAATCATCCCGTGGATGAAGCACTTTATGTCTACAAACAGAACTTTGAGCTTCCTAATATGGATGACATAATTTTCACGTTTTATCTCCATGAAGATGGTCTGGACTTGGGACCAATGTCTAGGTCTATGTACAGCACCAGTTAAACAGTAAAACAATTATAGACATGAAACAATTACCACTGTGGAGTGACCATTTGGACGGCGCAATCTCCTTGTCACACTGCACATCATTGAAGTCCTGTCCAAATATGTCTCTGAAGTAGAAGACAGCTCTGTCAGCATACAAGAAATGGAGACTATCCTGCTAACATGTTACGTCATGCTTTACTACCCGGTAATCTAAGATCAAAATGTCTGATGGTCTAAATAAACCGCAGACTGTTAATTTTATATCTGCAAAGGTGCCAAAAGTCATGAAGGCCAACACAAAACTTTTTAATAGATAAAGATCTCACTTGGATTCCATCCATGTGCAGTCACTACAGAGATGTCTGCTGACAAAATGGCAGCACCTGCCCTGAGGACACAGGCCAGCAGAATAATGCTACAAAGGCTCTAATCACAGTTTCTGTTGGATCAATCTGATATTTTACCATATAACTTGTCTTTGACTAGCAATCAATACCTTTGTTTCATTTTTCTACCGTTTCACTACAATTCATGTTGGTGTAATATGTCAAAGATGCCATTTGATGACACCATTACACAAGTTAAGCTTAAAGCTGAATTCAGAAACGTAACTAACAGATGTCTATTAAACATTAGCCATGTGACCAAATCAGAATTGAAATTATTGACAGTAATCTATTTTGAAAATTTTGATTCAAAGTTTCTATAAACTTATAACCAGTTATACAGAAAAGTATGTGAACAGATAAAATGAACAGCATACACAACATCTTTTCACATGAAAGTGGTATAACAACACAGAGAGCTGCTGTTGTAATCCTGGACAAATGTTCCTACCTGAGTTGTTCCTGGCAGTCCTCCGACATCAGCTTGATGTTGATGACGATGTAGCGATGCTGGTCACGGTCAGACTGATGGCTGATGCCCCACGAGGGCATGATGGTATGTCGCAGCTGCAGAGTAAACCACTCTAATACATGGAAAAAATATGGCAGAAAACTGGAAGATACACAATATGAACCATTTCTCCTGTTATCCGAACTATCAACCTACTTTAGCAACGTTTCTGATGCTGTCTGAAGCTGTTTGGCGATGCATGTCTCACAATGAGACCATCTAAATCATATCTCAGTGGACAAATTGAACAAGCAGGTTCTGGGAAACTACTCCGATCTGGAATCTACATGGGTTTAAGTACTTTAGACACATTCTGACATTGAAATCCCATGGGAGACAAGCATGGGGTACTGGGAAAATATTCTGACATGGAAATCCCATGGGAGACAAGCATGGGGTACCAAGAAAATATTCTGACATGGAAATCACATGGGAGACAAACATGGTGTACTAGGAAAATATTCTGACATGGAAATCTCATGGGAGACAAGCATGGGGTACCAAGAAAATATTCTGACCTGGAAATCACATGGGAGACAAACATGGTGTACTAGGAAAATATTCTGACATGGAAATCTCATGGGAAACAAGCAAAGTGTCCTTGGAAAATATTCTGACATGGAAATCTCATGAGACACAAGCATGGTGTCCTTGGAAAATATTCTGACATGGAAATCTCATGGGAGACAAGCATGGGGTACCAAGAAAATATTCTGACATGGAAATCACATGGGAGACAAGCATGGTGTACTGGGAAAATATTCTGACGTGGAAATCTCATGGGAGACAAGCATGGTGTACTTGGAAAATATTCTGACCTGGAAATCACATGGGAGACAAGCATGGTGTACTGGGAAAATATTCTGACCTGGAAATCTCATGGGAGACAAGCATGGTGTACTGGGAAAATATTCTGACCTGGAAATCACATGGGAGACAAGCATGGTGTACTGGGAAAATATTCTGACATGGAAATCTCATGGGAAACAAGCATAGTGTCCTTGGAAAATATTATGACATGGAAATCCCATGGCAGACAAGCATGGTGTACTGGGAAAATATTCTAACCTGGAAATCCCATGGGAGACAAGCATGGTGTACAGGGAAAATATTCTAACCTGGAATATCTACAGAAGACAAGGATGAGATGATAAGAACATGGTGTACCGGGAAAATATTCAAACCTAGAAATCTCATGGGAGACAAGCATGGGGAACTGGGAAAATATTCTATCCTATAATATCTACAGAAGACAAGAATGAGATGATAAGAACATGGCGTACCGAGAAAATATTATAACCTAGAAATCTCATGGGAGACAAGTATAGGGAACTGGGAAAATATTCTATCCTATAATATCTACAGAAGACACGGATGAGATGATAAGAACATATTTTAACCTGGACCCCCTACCAGACACAGGAGTTCCCCCAACTCCCAACTATGAGACAATGCAGTATACAGCACTCACCAGATCACACATCTCTCGCCAGTTCTGACGCAGATCTGTGAAAGAATCATAGCTCAACATTCAGAAGTGAAAAAAGCACATTCCAGAAAAATATACATTTGTATCAAAGGCATTGTAGCACAAATAATTTTTCAGCAGTTTACAGAATTCACAATGACCTAAAGTAAATGTAAACAGTAGCAGCAAAAAACATTTAATCACAAGAATTTCTACTAAAAGTGGTGTGTTTTGTACAATACAGACTATTATTACATGACTGTCAGAGGCTATGTGCATGTGAGATGATCTGCCAGAAGTATCTTTACTTACTCTTTGTCACTGGTTTCTTGATAGTTGTAGCCCACTCATCAGCCTCGGCGACCAGGATGTCCAAGATGGCGTCCACCAGGGCTCTCTGGCCACTCAGGAGAACTGGCAGCTTCATCAATGCTGACAAATCAGGGAGGAAGGCATTGTTAAATAGTACCTACCTTAGTGTTTGTAAGACTATTTCCTGCCCCTTCATCAAAGACACTGCTATTCATTAAGTAACATGTCCTTGTGTTTTATAAGCCTGAGATTCAAATCACAGAACTGATACCAGGGATTATCAACTGAACACTTTTCACTGAAAGTATTCAATATGTTTGACCTATTGTGATTAACCATTAAAGTTATTATCACAAACAAGATGAGAAAACAGCTTGCAATGGCTATTTGTTCAAGAAATGACTTCTGCCCTTCCTTCAGAACATCTTTCAACCACTTGATCACAACATTGATCTAATAAACTTGTACAATTCAATGATTATCTTGTTACTTCTTCATTTATTGCCACATCTTGACACTACAAGTACAAGTGTTGTTCTGGCAGATCCAGCATATTTCCGCCTACATGTATTACACACTGGTATCACCATACTCAAGTTCAGGTCAGTCAGACAGGGCTTTACCTTTGAGTGGAGCAATGACCGTGTAGGGACTATCTGCAACAGCAAGAGAAAAACTGTCTCAACATACATCTTTGTACTTGAACAGGGAAGCCATAACTACAAGTAGGACAAACATTGTATCTGACGAGGTTTTGTGCTTCTTGGCCAATAAGATGACTCCAATACAATAACTTAGATTAATGACAATCGTATCTTTGTGAAATCGACCAATGGATTTGTTTTCACTTTAAGCTGTATAGTAATCACGTCTGTTCATATTCTATTGACACACCAGACAGTAGGGGTGACTATTGAGGGGAAGCAACTATTGCAACAGCAATAGTCTATTGCAACATACTATTGTGATAGTGATAGTCTATTGCAACATACTATTGTGATAGTGATAGTCTATTGCAACATACTATTGTGATAGTGATAGTCTATTGCAACATACTATTGTGATAGAGATAGTCTATTGCAACATACTATTGTGATAGTGATAGTCTATTGCAACATACTATTGTGATAGTGATAGTCTATTGCAACATACTATTGTGATAGATAGTCTATTGATAGTTGTGATTGCAACATACTATTGTGATAGTGATAGTCTATTGCAACATACTATTGTGATAGTGATAGTCTATTGCAACATACTATTGTGATAGTGATAGTCTATTGCAACATACTATTGTGATAGAGTCTATTGCAACATACTATTGTGATACTGATAGTGATAGTCTATTGCAACATACTATTGTGATAGTGATAGTCTATTGCAACATACTATTGTGATAGTGATAGTCTATTGCAACATACTATTGTGATAGTGATAGTCTATTGCAACATACTATTGTGATAGTGATAGTCTATTGCAACATACTATTGTGATAGTGATAGTCTATTGCAACATACTATTGTGATAGTGATAGTCTATTGCAACATACTATTGTGATAGTGATAGTCTATTGCAACATACTATTGTGATAGTGATAGTCTATTGCAACATACTATTGTGATAGTGATAGTCTATTGCAACATACTATTGTGATAGTGATAGTCTATTGCAACATACCATTGTGATAGATGATAGTCTATTGCAACATACTATTGTGATAGTGATAGTCTATTGCAACATACTATTGTGATAGTGATAGTCTATTGCAACATACTATTGTGATAGCGATAGTCTATTGCAACATACTATTGTGATAGTGATAGTCTATTGCAACATACTATTGTGATAGTGATAGTCTATTGCAACATACTATTGTGATAGTGATAGTCTATTGCAACATACTATTGTGATAGTGATAGTCTATTGCAACATACTATTGTGATAGTGATAGTCTATTGCAACATACTATTGTGATAGTGATAGTCTATTGCAACATACTATTGTGATAGTGATAGTCTATTGCAACATACTATTGTGATAGTGATAGTCTATTGCAACATACTATTGTGATAGTGATAGTCTATTGCAAACATACTATTGTGATAGTGATAGTCTATTGCAACATACTATTGTGATAGTGATAGTCTATTGCAACATACTATTGTGATAGTGATAGTCTATTGCAACATACTATTGTGATAGTGATAGTCTATTGCAACATACTATTGTGATAGTGATAGTCTATTGCAACATACTATTGTGATAGTGATAGTCTATTGCAACATACTATTGTGATAGTGATAGTCTATTGCAACATACTATTGTGATAGTGATAGTCTATTGCAACATACTATTGTGATAGTGATAGTCTATTGCAACATACTATTGTGATAGTGATAGTCTATTGCAACATACTATTGTGATAGTGATAGTCTATTGCAACATACTATTGTGATAGTGATAGTCTATTGCAACATACTATTGTGATAGTGATAGTCTATTGCAACATACTATTGTGATAGCGATAGTCTATTGCAACATACTATTGTGATAGTGATAGTCTATTGCAACATACTATTGTGATAGTGATAGTCTATTGCAACATACTATTGTGATAGTGATAGTCTATTGCAACATACTATTGTGATAGTGATAGTCTATTGCAACATACTATTGTGATAGTGATAGTCTATTGCAACATACTATTGTGATAGTGATAGTCTATTGCAACATACTATTGTGATAGTGATAGTCTATTGCAACATACTGTTGTGATAGTGATAGTCTATTGCAACATACTATTGTGATAGTGATAGTCTATTGCAACATACTATTGTGATAGTGATAGTCTATTGCAACATACTATTGTGATAGTGATAGTCTATTGCAACATACTATTGTGATAGCGATAGTCTATTGCAACATACTATTGTGATAGTGATAGTCTATTGCAACATACTATTGTGATAGTGATAGTCTATTGCAACATACTATTGTGATAGTGATAGTCTATTGCAACATACTATTGTGATAGTGATAGTCTATTGCAACATACTATTGTGATAGTGATAGTCTATTGCAACATACCATTGTGATAGTGATAGTCTATTGCAACATACCATTGTGATAGCGATAGTCTATTGCAACATACTATTGTGATAGTGATAGTCTATTGCAACATACCATTGTGATAGTGATAGTCTATTGCAACATACTATTGTGATAGTGATAGTCTATTGCAACATTGTGATAGTGATATTGTGATAGTGATAGTCTATTGCAACATACTATTGTGATAGTGATAGTCTATTGCAACATACTATTGTGATAGTGATAGTCTATTGCAACATACTATTGTGATAGTGATAGTCTATTGCAACATACTATTGTGATAGTGATAGTCTATTGCAACATACTATTGTGATAGTGATAGTCTATTGCAACATACTATTGTGATAGTGATAGTCTATTGCAACATACTATTGTGATAGTGATAGTCTATTGCAACATACTATTGTGATAGTGATAGTCTATTGCAACATACTATTGTGATAGTGATAGTCTATTGCAACATACTATTGTGATAGTGATAGTCTATTGCAACATACTATTGTGATAGTGATAGTCTATTGCAACATACTATTGTGATAGTGATAGTCTATTGCAACATACTATTGTGATAGTGATAGTCTATTGCAACATACTATTGTGATAGTGATAGTCTATTGCAACATACTATTGTGATAGTGATAGTCTATTGCAACATACTATTGTGATAGTGATAGTCTATTGCAACATACTATTGTGATAGTGATAGTCTATTGCAACATACTATTGTGATAGTGATAGTCTATTGCAACATACTATTGTGATAGTGATAGTCTATTGCAACATACTATTGTGATAGTGATAGTCTATTGCAACATACTATTGTGATAGTGATAGTCTATTGCAACATACTATTGTGATAGTGATAGTCTATTGCAACATACTATTGTGATAGTGATAGTCTATTGCAACATACTATTGTGATAGTGATAGTCTATTGCAACATACTATTGTGATAGTGATAGTCTATTGCAACATACTATTGTGATAGCGATAGTCTATTGCAACATACTATTGTGATAGTGATAGTCTATTGCAACATACTATTGTGATAGTGATAGTCTATTGCAACATACTATTGTGATAGTGATAGTCTATTGCAACATACTATTGTTATGTGATAGTGATAGTCTATTGCAACATACTATTGTGATAGTGATAGTCTATTGCAACATACTATTGTGATAGTGATAGTCTATTGCAACATACTATTGTGATAGTGATAGTCTATTGCAACATACTATTGTGATAGTGATAGTCTATTGCAACATACTATTGTGATAGTGATAGTCTATTGCAACATACTATTGTGATAGTGATAGTCTATTGCAACATACTATTGTGATAGTGATAGTCTATTGCAACATACTATTGTGATAGTGATAGTCTATTGCAACATACTATTGTGATAGTGATAGTCTATTGCAACATACTATTGTGATAGTGATAGTCTATTGCAACATACTATTGTGATAGTGATAGTCTATTGCAACATACTATTGTGATAGTGATAGTCTATTGCAACATACTATTGTGATAGTGATAGTCTATTGCAACATACTATTGTGATAGTGATAGTCTATTGCAACATACTATTGTGATAGTGATAGTCTATTGCAACATACTATTGTGATAGTGATAGTCTATTGCAACATACTATTGTGATAGTGATAGTCTATTGCAACATACTATTGTGATAGTGATAGTCTATTGCAACATACTATTGTGATAGTGATAGTCTATTGCAACATACTATTGTGATAGTGATAGTCTATTGCAACATACTATTGTGATAGTGATAGTCTATTGCAACATACTATTGTGATAGTGATAGTCTATTGCAACATACTATTGTGATAGTGATAGTCTATTGCAACATACTATTGTGATAGTGATAGTCTATTGCAACATACTATTGTGATAGTGATAGTCTATTGCAACATACTATTGTGATAGTGATAGTCTATTGCAACATACTATTGTGATAGTGATAGTCTATTGCAACATACTATTGTGATAGTGATAGTCTATTGCAACATACTATTGTGATAGCGATAGTCTATTGCAACATACTATTGTGATAGTGATAGTCTATTACATTGCAACATACTATTGTGATAGTGATAGTCTATTGCAACATACTATTGTGATAGTGATAGTCTATTGCAACATACTATTGTGATAGTGATAGTCTATTGCAACATACTATTGTGATAGTGATAGTCTATTGCAACATACTATTGTGATAGTGATAGTCTATTGCAACATACTATTGTGATAGTGATAGTCTATTGCAACATACTATTGTGATAGTGATAGTCTATTGCAACATACTATTGTGATAGTGATAGTCTATTGCAACATACTATTGTGATAGTGATAGTCTATTGCAACATACTATTGTGATAGTGATAGTCTCATTTGCAATAGTTTTTCTCCCTCCTACTTTCTCATTTGAAGTCATTTCCCAAATGAATGTATAGTTTATATGAAATAAAAACAAGTTGAAGTAGTCCCGCCTCTTTTGATAACTGGCAAGAAACTTGAAACCCAGATTAAGTAAACAGTCATCTTTGTTTTAGAGGTTACAGGGGCGGATACCTCTAAATTTAAATGAAGGAATCTGTACTTTCTGTAGTTTGTGTTGAGCGTTTATCAACAGAAGTCAATTACTAAACTATCGATAGTCACACATACTATCGATGCATCGATAGTTTTCGTTTCTACAATCGATTGATTGCTATCTGAGACTCAACAATTGCAATCCATCGATAGTTCAATGCATCGTTACAGCCCTACCAACAGTATGGAAACACTATATAAGGAGTGTTTGTTTGGACGAGACAACAATGGCCACCATCATTTAGTCCTGCTAACTTTAGGTCCTTTCATTTGTCTGGCATTATCACAAATGTACAACACAACTAAAGTGCATGATGACATACAAGACATGGTGGAGCCCACCCTTCTGACAATACATTACAAGGTCAGCATGGGTCCACATTCTGCAGAACATCTATATACTCACAATCTCTGCTTCGGATGGCATCCCTGCGAACTATCAGTCCTTTGTTACCCTGAGGTTCCGGAGTTATCACCCCTTGAGAGGAGCGCCGTGTGCACATCTTGGCTCTGTTTACAATTTGAAAATAGTCACAATTTACAGCGTACTTGAATTTACAATGAATGCATGCATGTCCTCATATAATTACTTGCAGTACACATTGCCTGATTGACCATATAAAATGACATTAAAAGAATTTCTAGTAAGATGCTGTTTCAAAATACCTCTATATGTCCCACTAAGAACAAGTGGAATATTATAACTTATGGAAAAATACAATTCTGAACTTACAATTCATAATCAGGCACAGTCCCCGAGGCCCTCCTCTTCATGTGGTGGCCTGACGTGGGTTCGACCTTGTTGACCAAGAAGAAGGTGGGCTTGAGGACGTCGCTGATGTAGAGAAACTCCCCCTCCTGGATGGGGATGCTGCCTTCCTTACTCTGGTCCTCCCATGTCACGTTCGACCTGAGTCAGACATCAGATATCATCAGCATACTATTTCACTTATCACACTCCCACCAAATTTCACATATATAAATATAATATGATAACTCTTAAAGTTGCATGCCACAGTCAAGAGTGTTCCAGTTCTATTGAGTCATGTCAGCCTAATGCTATAAGAAGCTAACTTTGGTGAATCCACAAGCATAGGTATGACAAACCGAAAAACACAAATGGAGCCAATTAGCGATTTGAACCAATCAGGGGACACAACTCTGCACAGCAAATTGAATTTAATAAGTATTCAACAAAAGTGTCCATCAGCTACAACCCCTCTTGTTCTATACTCTGGCTTGTTGTGTAATGACACCCTGTTAATATCAAGGCTGGACCAGACAACCCAGTGATTGATATTACTATGAAAGATCCATGCCATCAGGATATGTCATCAACAAATTCACCAATCCTTCTCACACGATTCATTTCATCACCTCCTAAACCAGCATAGGTTGCTGAGAACCTTCTGCTAACTTGGAAACCACATGGGGCCCTTGAAATATGAATTTCCAAAACACGGTGCAATTTTCCTCAGACAGTGACAATGAAACCTTTTATGTTGGTGATAGTTTAAAACAATTATTCCTGGAACCTAGAGAACTATTCAAATAGAAAACAGGCCACAGCCAACCTGACGTAGAAGTTCTTCATATTCAGCTTGGCCATATTTTCTTCTGAATCTGAAACAACAATATAAATTATTCTAAACACAAACATAACCAACAAATTATGTTAAAATGTGCAGTATCTCTAACCTGTTATATTTGTTTAAATCTTTTCTAAATAGATATCCTTCCAATAATTATTAATGAACTAACTAGTAATTATGAACACAACTGTTACCAAAGCAGAGAATATAGTTTACTGCCTTAATTGACACTGGAACTTATTGACACAGTTTCACTGTGGTCCCCTATGTGTCACAGAGCACATACATGTTCTCAGGCAGAACCAGGCAGCCCAGTTACCTGAGGCATTCTTTTGTTCCCCTCCATCTGTCTCCAGAGTTGATATGCCCATGCCGGTCTGTGAGTCAAACCTACATACCAGAAAATAACACTTCACTGAGGTGCAACAAGAGTACTACTAGTAACATGCGCACCAGAACAACATGATACTCTGTACATAGCCAGGGCACACCAGAACAACATGATACTCTGTACATAGCCAGGGCACACCAGAACAACATGATACTCTGTACATAGCCAGGGCACACTAGAACATCATGATACTCTGTACATAGCCAGGGCACACTAGAACATCATGATACTCTGTATATAGCCAGGGCACACTAGAACATCATGATACTCTGTACATAGCCAGGGCACACCAGAACAACATGATACTCTGTACATAGCCAGGGCACACCAGAACAACATGATACTCTGTACATAGCCAGGGCACACCAGAACAACACGATACTCTGTACATAGCCAGAACAACATGATACTCTGTACATAGCCAGGGCACCAGAACAACATGATACTCTGTACATAGCCAGGGCACACCAGAACAACATGATACTCTGTACATAGCCAGGGCACACCAGAACAACATGATACTCTGTACATAGCCAGGGCACACCAGAACAACATGATACTCTGTACATAGCCAGGGCACACCAGAACAACATGATACTCTGTACATAGCCAGGGCACACCAGAACAACATGATACTCTGTACATAGCCAGGGCATACCAGAACAACATGATACTCTGTACATAGCCAGGGCATACCAGAACGACATAGCCAGATACTCTGTACATAGCCAGGGCATGCCAGAACAACATGATACTCTGTACATAGCCAGGGCACACCAGAACAACATGATACTCTGTACATAGCCAGGGCACACCAGAACAACATGATACTCTGTACATAGCCAGGGCACACCAGAACATCATGATACTCTGTATATAGCCAGGGCACACCAACAACATGATACTCTGTACATAGCCAGGGCACCAGAACAACATGATACTCTGAACAACATGATACTCTGTACATAGCCAGGGCATGCCAGAACAACATGATACTCTGTACATAGCCAGGGCATACCAGAACAACATGATACTCTGTACATAGCCAGGGCATACCAGAACAACATGATACTCTGTACATAGCCAGGGCACACCAGATAAACATGATACTCTGTACATAGCCAGGGCACACCAGAACAACATGATACTCTGTACATAGCCAGGGCACACCAGAACAACATGATACTCTGTACATAGCCAGGGCACACCAGAACAACATGATACTCTGTACATAGCCAGGGCACACCAGAACAACATGATACTCTGTACATAGCCAGGGCATGCCAGAACAACATGATACTCTGTACATAGCCAGGGCACACCAGAACAACATGATACTCTGTACATAGCCAGGGCACACCAGAACAACATGATACTCTGTACATAGCCAGGGCATACCAGAACAACATGATACTATGTGCATAGCCAGGGCACACCAGAACAACATGATACTCTGTACATAGCCAGGGCACACCAGAACAACATGATACTCTGTAAATAGCCAGGGCACACCAGAACACCATGATACTCTGTACATAGCCAGGGCACACCAGAACAACATGATACTCTGTACATAGCCAGGGCACACCAGAACAACATGATACTCTGTACACTCTGTACATAGCAGCCAGGGCACACCAGAACAACATGATGATACTCTGTACACCAGCCAGGGCACACCAGAACAACATCATACTCTGTACATAGCCAGGGCACACCAGAACATCATGATGCTCTGTACATAGCCAGGGCACACCAGAACAACATGATACTCTGTACATAGCCAGGGCACACCAGAACAACATGATACTCTGTACATAGCCAGGGCACACCAGAACAACATCATACTCTGTACATAGCCAGGGCACACTAGAACATCATGATGCTCTGTACATAGCCAGGGTTGTTCTACAAACATGCATCCAAGAAAACCAAAAAGAACACTGGACACAGAGCTGTTCTCCCACAAACACACACACCACATGAGAACACAAGAAAAGCCTTCTATACACAGCATATGCACGCCAAAACGGGATGTTTCAAATAGAGCGAGGGTTGTTCCACAAACATGGACATCCGGACACAACATGATATTCCACACACAGCAGGGTACTTCCATAGACAGGTATCACTTACTTCTGCTTTGTCTATCTGGGTTCAGATTGCAAGTTCGTTTAAGTGTAAGTGTGAATCATGTTTTTTTTCTTAATGCAGATGAGGCAACTACAGATGAAAATGTCTGCAATAACAGACCCGCTTCACTGTCATTTCTTCAAATCTTCCATGTACATAGATTCTTGTTCACATGAAACTTACAATGATTTTAGAAATTTTCCTGATAAGACAAACCATCAACACTGCTGCATATTAAGTTGTGATTATCTAAAAGATGATTCCATTGCATGTAAAATGCCAAAAGCATTGAACAAAATCTGTATGGATCCGTGAAAATCAGGCTTCAGAAGGTGCTCGCTAAATACTGTAACATAGAGAAAGATGAGTTACAGTGTAAAGACGTGTACATGCAATGTGAGAGAGAATGTAGATGTACCAGCGTAGGTATTGAGAGTCCGCCGGCAGGAGGTCGCTACGGATACAAAAGACGTCTGCATCACGCTGCACATCCGACGACCCAGATGATGAAGTTTCTTGATCAATGCTGAATCCACTGCCTGAAACCATAAGTCATGTCAGAAACCATTCGTCAAACCAACAACATGTACTTGTAATTGCAGGCCATCACACTGGGTCAGCTGACATGGACAAACAAACATCGTCAGTACATGCAACATCACACACTGCAAGGCCATGCAACCAGTGTAAACATATGCTGCTTTTGTCTGTTTGCTGCTTAACACCACATCACAACCTTCCTGGGAGTTTTGTATGTCAGCCGGACCAAAAGAAGAAACCACTAACTGATGCTGTGAACTATTGAATAGGCCTTTGGATAGTGGCAACACACACTTAGTCCAGTGAACTCGCCTAACCATTGATCCAAAATTATTGTATGAGTGAGTGAGTTCAGTTTTATGCCGCACTCAGCAAATTTCCAGCTATATGGCGGCGGTCTGTAAATAATCGAGTCTGGACCAGACAATCCAGTGATCAACAGCATGAGCATCGATCTTGGCAATTGGCAACCACGCCAGCGAGCCTGAGCACCTGATCCCGTTAGTCACCTCTTACGACAAGCATGGGTTACCGAAGGTTCATTCTAACCCGGACCTTCACGGGTTGAGACAAGCATGGGTTACCGAAGGTTCATTCTAACCCGGACCTTCACGGGTTGAGACAAGCATGGGTTACTGAAGGTTCATTCTAACCCGGACCTTGACGGGTCATTATTGTATGAGCTACAACACATGTACAAGGACAAGCATGGGTTACTTGACAGAATCCCTGCAGCCAGCATATAGATACACCATCCTAATGTTTCTGTCAGAATTCCCACATATTGATGCACGACCCTACCATTTCAGTCAGAAAATAAGCTAGGCATACCTGCTTTATCACTTCCTGCCCTAAACTATAGCCTCGCCTAGAGGAAGAACAAATATACCAAGGCAATGAGGTGCCAACTGTCTGGACAGCCAACACACAATCTTCCTTCAGACAAATCTGTCCCATGCTTTCCAGCACCTTAAGAATGTAAGCGTTTTGGGGTTTTCATCTAATAACTAATCTCATAATGTTTTCAGTATGCCTGCCCTTAACCATGAGAGGTTGGCATGAGTGACTAAAAGTTGATCCCTGTTCTCAACAATGTACGTCCACCTTTACAGCGGTCCAAGAGCCTTTGGTGATTCCAATACTTTACTATATCACAAGTTTGTCAATGTGTTTAAAGTCACCACTGTGAGACTAACACATTTTCAACCACACAACACTGCCTTGGTAAAGTGTCTAGAGTCGAACTTCCTCAAGTGTGAATTAATCAGTTTTAATATCTAATATCTATCTAAGGATTTCATTACTATTGATAAATTATACATTATCAAATGAAATATTTGGTTTACTTAAAGATAAGGGCTTGGAATTAAAAGGTTTTTAAAATGTTGACAATGTTATGCTACTCAAAGGAGTTAAGGACCACCATAGAAAGGGAGTCGGTGACAAGCATGCAATACCTGTATATGTAGATGCAGAGATATGAAATGAAGCTGTGCCTATGTTAAGTTTCAGGAAGGTGAACTGGTTATATATTTATATATAGTGTGGAAGAGCTGGAATGTGGAGATATTAGAGGATGAGACAGGGTAAATGGAAATTAATGGGCCTGGAACTGAAAGAGACAGCTGCTTTGGGAATGGCTTCAGGAACATGATGAAAGTGAGACTCACTGATTATTTAAGATTTTATGAGCACTTCCAGTTAATGATGTTTCACATTGGCATTGTGGTGTTGGGAACACATGCACAGACTGAGTATCAGGTTTTAAACACTGTGAACTGTATTTCTATGATATCATGTCAAATTACAGTGATGCAGTCATGGAGTTGATCAATCTGGTACAAGGTCAAAAGCAAGGGTATGGAGTTGACAACCAAACATCATAATGAGTGCAACTTTTGAATTTGGACCCAAGAGCAGCAGAACCTGATACAACTAAGAGTTGCAACTCTGCACATAACATGTTGGTGCTTCAGATGACATGGCCGTTGATGCATTCCCCACTTGAAGGTGTTCTTATCACTCATCCAGTAGTGTCCAGGTGTTATTTTATGTCATATAATATAATTTGAGTTAGGACAAGAGTTACCTTTCTTTGACCACAACTTCACCTTTCACGTACCCCTACAGTAGAATAGAGTTAGCTCCCTTAGAATGGCGCTGCAATCGCCTTCGTTTTTATTCCAATGTTATATTTTTGTAATTATTGTTAGATTACTTAAAATGGTTTATATATGGCTGATTGGAACAACACCCCAGCGACAGCCTGACATGGTATCCTGAAAGTTATCTCCAGTAGACAATGAATGAGTCCACCCTTGACATATAGGTACCATGCAATACCTAATGAGATCCAGGGCTCTTCAACGAAAGAGTTTAAGCAATAAGAGCATCATAAATCTTAGTACCAGTATTATTGGCTACTCCAAGATATTCAATAATTACAACTTCATGTGAAACCTGTTTTTCTGTTCAACAATGGCTTCTCCAAGGTGCTTGATGATTACAAAGTAATGTGACACCTATTTTCTATCCTATAATGGCCAATGGCCCCTCCAAGATGATTGAGGATTTCAACATAAAGTGAAACCTTGTTATCTGTCTCACAATGCGGACTGCCATCTTAACCTGGCCCATGCACTTTGATCACCTATATAATGACAGACTTTGCCTGGTTGGTATATAATGGATTATGCAGATTCATACCAAAATTTGCAAACTATAATTTTGTTATTCAAAGCCAGAACACTCTGAGACAGAGAAGCAAAGGAGATACACTTGTGCTCATGCTGAACTTTAACAACAACATAAGAAAATGTAGCTTTAATTTTTATTGATACATCTAGATTTGTGCGAATGCACATCTTGATATCAGAAGATTTAGCTGGTGAGATATATATAGATTAAATGAGTATTATTCGTATTAGTTGTGTACATCAATTACCAAGTACTTAGACAGTGAAAACCTTGACCGGTGTGATGTTCCTGGATGAAGCCGATCCCATCCATCATCAAGGGGCCGATGGTGGACTTAAGTGATGTATGTATGATGTATAGCTGCCTTCACGGCAAACTAAAGTTTGACAACACATGTTGATGAAATTATAAAAGTTGTCAAACTCGTGTTTTCACATGTCAAACACATGTTGTCAAACTTTCTTGTCATTTGAGCGCCATGTCTTTATCAGTGCGGTCACGTGACAATTTCGTTGACTGCGATTGGTTGTTTCTGAACAACACAAGTTTTACAACACTTCAGACGTCAATCGAGTTTGACAACACCGAAAGTGTGATGGAAAAGTTGGTGAGAATAGAGACCGATCATATTTCTCGACAACAGTTTGACAACTCTGAAATTGGTGTTGTTGGCGAGTTGTTGGAATGTTCACACCCTCAAACTCGAGTTTGACATGTGTAGTCAAACTTTAGTTTGCCGTGTGAAGGCCGCTTATCTGCCAAATGCCTAATAGACTGAGTATGGCTTAACACTGCTTTCAGCAACGTTCCAGCAATATCATGGCAGGCGAAACCAGAAACAGGCATTTGGTGTGGCGTGACGTACAAAAGCTTTTGTCACTAGGCTCCATCTAAGCACCTACGTAATTCAGTGCCACGGTGGACGGAATGATTGTATTGAACTATTGTCATAGTAACTGTTATTCTTACCCTTACAGTAAAAAAATGCAGGCATGACTATTTGTGCGATATAAACACCCCCTTTCCCCAACAATCACAAGAAGCAACATTGTCAATAACAAAGTCAAAGCCACATCACAACAAAAAACAAGTTGTTGGAAATGCAAACACCCACGCAGACAACACAGGCTGCATGCAAGTCCAGCTAATCGTGAGCTCCAATAAATAATATATTTTATGATATAAATAAATCTCATATAACAAAAGATGCTTTAAGAGGAACTATATTGATCTAATTATGAAGAGAGTTTGGCGTACTGTAGTATTCATTTTTTCGCCAAACTGATATATGTCATGTCACAAAAAGGTCAAACTCATTTAAAGTGAGTGATTGAGTAAGTATTGTTTTAACTTTAACAATTATTCAGCCATATCACAGTGCACACAAAAGAAATGGAAACTGTTAGTGATAGACAAACAGAAATGAGTGTCATACACATGCCACGACAAGCGCACCAAATCACACAAAAATAGTTAATACATCTCTCCTTCATGACTTCTTAATGTATGTGCACAATTTACCTTTTAAGGTTACAAACCATAATATTTGAAGGTTTGAAGTAGTTTGATTAAATATGAATATTTAAATTAATTCATATTATATATGCATATCATAAAACAATTGAGAAACTGATTGATAATCTGGTACAGTCTAATAAATGCCAAATACCTCTTCTCCGTGAATAATACACACTCTGTAATGCTTGTTTAGTTGTATTAATAACACTGAGATATTCATGTTCTGGCATCCTACAGATCAGGTACTGTTAGTATACAGTGGAGATATTCACAGAGAGTGCACATGCTGTCAGGAAATCAAAGACTCAGTGAGATTGTGTACCCATGCATAAGGCAACCCCACTTCAGAGTCCTCTAGTCCGAGGTATCAAAAACTTGCTTTATACATGGCGATATACCCTACCACTTTGATGGTCTTCATCATAATCATCATCACTCCGACATGTTGGATCACTGTCATCATCAGCAGTAGCAGGACTTTGGGTGCTAGAAACTTTTTTCATTGATGCAGAGATATTAACCACCATGGAGTCACTGTGATTTTTCAGCCTGGGTTTGCGTGCAATCAGGGGCCTTAATCCCTTTGCTGTAGAATCACGTTCACAGGATGGACTAGTTACAGTATTTCGCACACTGAAACTCTGCTGACACATCAGGCTATCATTGGACTGGTCATCACCCCCTGTCTTGAACGTGGCCGCCAAAGTACTAACTCCAGGTTGTCGTGGGTGTTGTTGCGAGGCTCCCTCCTGTATTGCTGCTGGATCTGTGTCTGATAACACAGAAAATGGTCATTCTCAGACGGAGTCTCACAGAAACTTGTGTCAGTCATCAAGATGGGTCTAGCCTCTCTTGAATGGAGCTTTTAAGGAAATTACAATTTCTTTTTCAGGTGCATGACAGTAAGCAGTGTCTGCTGAATAACTGTAAGTGTTTGCAAGGATCACATGAAGTGATATATGTTGTGTTTACTCGCTGGGATCACATAAATGTATAGAACGTCATACTAGTGCATTTTGATGTTTTGTATTGAACGAGATGATGTCATGGGGGCAGAGAAACAATGAGTTCGAGTTCCGTATTGTACCCCTGTATTACTATCCTAAGTTTACATGGGTACATAATAAAATACTGTATGTTGTCTTTACTCGCTGGGATCACATAAAATACTGCATTTTGTGTTTACCGAAGATCACATAAATTGTCATATGTTGTGTTTACTCTATGAGATCACATACAATACTGTATGTTGTTTACTGAAGATCACACAAATTGTCATATGTTGGGTTTACTCGCTGGGATCACAATACTGTATGTTGTTTACTGAAGATCGCACAAATTGTCATATGTTGTGTTTACTCGCTGGGATCACATAAAATACTGTATGTTGTGTTTACTCACTGGGATCACATAAAATACTGCATGTTGTGTTTACTGAAGATCGCATAAATTGTCATATGTTGTATGCATCACAGAAACTGTAGCATGTTGTGTTTACTTGATGGAATCACATAAATTCTTTTCATGTTGCATTTATTGATCACATGAATTGCAGTATGTTGTGTTAATACTCGTTGATAACGGTGTTAGTATCTACACCGAAACATTAAAGAAGTTGACTATCCATAGCACTTAGTTTTCCTTTAAACTTTAGTTTGTTGTGTTTACATGAAGGGATCACATAAATTGCTGTATGTTGTGTTTACTTGATGTGATCACATGAACTCTTGTATGTTGTGTTTACTGTTAGGGATCATATAAATCCTTCTTCCATGGATCATACCATATCCAGAGTGACGCCATGTCATATTTACTAGCAAGGATCACACTTTACATTTCGATCCACAATTTGTGTTTGCTTGCAGTGATCACAGAAACTGAAGAATGTTTTGTGCATGTATCATGTATCTGGGTACAGTGTTATGTATTTCAGTTTAACTCTATGCAAGAAATAGATCTTGCATCTCGAGCAGTTCATCACTAAGAATGAATAAGCTACAAATCTGCTGTGTATCCAGAGACCCCTGTGACTATGTTTGATCCACTGTATACTGGTGCACAACACTGTTATACATTCGATACTCACATGCTGTGATTTCTGAGTTATCACATCCACATTAGATGTGCTTTTTTTCTTATCAAATTGAATATAATTCAAGGTAGGAATTTAGTTTCCAAACAATTTTATGTATTAAGTTTATGTCCGTTACTGGAACTTATGTTGACACTTCACACTGCATGGATCAGGAAACACCACATGAAGCTAGGGAGATAGGGTCAGCACAGGAAACAGAGCTAGCAAAGGTGAGAATGACAGGAATCAAATGTAGTATAACACTTCCTGATAAGTATTCAACTTGCACATGTTTTAAATCTTGAGCTCATGATTAAAATTTTTAAAGTTTGATCAAAGAAACAATTTAAATGTGAATAATACAACCACCAATTGTGAGTTAATTTGTGTCATTAGCTCTGGAAATGAAGTATGTTTGAAAATAACATAATCTTGATCACAAACTGATTCAAGTTGCAGTATCACTACATGGGAAATCAAGACATATAAACTACAAACATACTGAAGAAATATATCAAAACACTCTTTTAACAAAGAAAAGACCTCAGATTTCAGGTACATCACTGTAGTCTTTCATCATTGCTGCCATATTTTTCTGATATCATAATTGCTATTGTTTGAGTTAGTAAATAAGACGCCATTGTGTCTTGCTGTAAGTTATCATGATACCCAGCGACTCGGTCTGGGTCAGTATGACAGCTCTATGACACAGTCTGTACATCCATGAGGATGTCGCAATTTCCTAAATCATAGTTTACAGCTGCCCAAAGTGTGTGGGAACTGGGACAGGCAAGTCCAGCAGGATTAAAAAGCAGATGCTAAAGTCCAAGTACAACATGTTGCCAATGACAGAGTCATGAGTAAAAAACGGGACTCCCACTAGCCTCGATCCCGGGCATTCTGTGTATGGGATGTATTGTCTGGTGGGATAGGTTATCAACATCCAACACATTGTGTCTTATATCCTTGTCAACACCCTCTGCACATTGGACAGATAACACAATAGCCCTGTATACAGACTGAGGTACGATGAGTGAGGGAACAGAAAGACAGACAATACTATATTACCTTAAAAGGAATTCATTTAACAAGGAGAAATCGGGAATTCTGAACTTGAGCATTTGGTTCTAACAATTTTAGTAACAAACCACGAAGTTTGAAATGTGAAACATATCAGTGTGTGAGTGAGGGAGTATGTTACTGGTGGTCGCACTTTAGAATATTTTGCTCATATGACGACGTGCATGCATGTGTATGTGTGTCTGCTTGTACTGGCCCAGACTTAAGCTGGTTTTATAGTGCCAGCTCACTGAGATACCATGCCGCAGTGAAGCATGAATAACCCACTCAGACACATTATACTGACTCCGAGCCGACCAGTCCTTGTTGTACCCATTAATGCCGAGAGCCAGGCAGGGAACAACAAGTACCATATTTTAACGTCTTTTGGTATGATGCGGCCGTGGATGGAACCCGCGACTTTCCGCTCTCTGGGCGGACGCTCTAACTGAGGGAGTATGGTTTCAGACTCCTTACGCACTATTTAAGCACCACCGTGGCAGAGAGATCTGGAAATGATCTTCACATGGTCTTGTGGGTAACAAACTCGGGTCTCTGTTGAGACCAGCGACACCTGACTGTGAAGGGCTGTAGTCAGCCTACTGTTGTGATGACAATGACTTTGGTTGTGAACACTGGTCGGAATCTTAATACGACAGCAGTGTGATGCCATAACTTCAACTAACAAATCGGCACAGATATCTGCAGTCTAAGTAAAGTGACGGGGGAAGAGAAAATCCCCAAACCATTTTGTAAGTCTCACTGAACAGTAAAATAGAAGCCGTTTTCTGATTGGTTAACTCCGTTCGGCCGTCTCACATTTGATTGGACGGTCATGGGTCGCTCAAAGGTTAACTGACGCGACCTTCAACTAGGGTTTGTTAGACTCAGTATAGCAGTCTAACGAATAATATTGAGCCTAAGTTTACTTAGACTGAGATATTGGAAAAGTTTTACACCTGATCTTTCAACACCTTTGATTTTGTTATTTACAGAAATGTCAAATTTAAGAACCTATTTAAGTATTTGTATTAAGAAGGAAAGTTATGGATGTCATCTCTCTACTCTGTATTCCGTACATTCAAACAGATGACATGTATATATTCTTTCCTTCACAGAAATTATTTGTATTCAGCTGTTGCTTTGGCACATCTACTCACCAATCACTTGTCCTGCTGATCACATTTGACCAGTCACATGATGTCCCTACTGAAACATTTAGGTTATAAGTTGAAAGTGGTATGAATCCATCTGTGTTTTTATTTAGTAGCCAGTCCAAAGCTGAATAAGGCATTTTCATCAGATCTGTGATTTGGTTACCATTGAACCTAACCTGAATTAACATATCACATGTCTAAGTAAAAGTGATTAACTCTTTAATATTTATTGAAATTATCTTCAGGAAACTATGTGTTTGACAAAATTGAGTAATTGTGATTTAGTTGTATTTAAGTCATCTTGTAATAAATGACCAAGTGAGTCATGAGCACATTGAATGTGGTCACAACCCATCAATATTCTGTCCAACTACAGTTTTCTTATGAGACCATTTTGTATTGACTGAATTTCTGACCTGTCATGTTTTGCACCTGTCTAGAATCTAGGGGTTCAACAATACAGAAGGTCATGTTTTCTACCTGTCCAGAAACTAGGGGGTCCAACAATACAGAAGGCCAAGTTGTGCACCTGACCAGAAACTAGGGGTCCAACAATACAAAAGACCATGTTTTGCACCTGTCCAGAAACTAGGGGTCCAACAATTCAGAAGGCCATATTTTCCACCTGTCCAGAATCTAGGGGTTTAACAATACAGAAGGCCATATTTTGCACCTGTCCAGAAACTAGGGGTTTAACAATACAGAAGGCCATATTTTTCACCTGTCCAGAAGCTAGGGGTTCGACAATATAGAAGGCCATATTTTGCACCTGGAAAGAAACTAGGGGTCCAACAATACAGAAGGCCATATTTTGCACCTGTCCAGAAACTTGGGGTCCAACAATACAGAAGGCCATATTTTGCACCTGTCCAGAAACTTGGGGTCCAACAATACAGAAGGCCATATTTTGCACCTGTCCAGAAACTAGGGGTTCGACAATACAGAAGGCCATATTTTCCACCTGGAAAGAAACTTGGGGTCCAACAATACAGAAGGCCATATTTTGCACCTGTCCAGAAACTTGGGGTCCAACAATACAGAAGGCCATATTTTGCACCTGTCCAGAAACTAGGGGTTCGACAATACAGAAGGCCATATTTTGCACCTGGAAAGAAACTAGGGGTTCAACAATACAGAAGGCCATATTTTGCACCTGTCCAGAAACTAGGGGTTCAACAATACAGAAGGCCATATTTTGCACCTGTCCAGAAACTAGGGGTTCAACAATCCAGAAGGCCATGTTTCTTGTATATGTTTGTGAGTCTACAACAGATCACAAAGTCAAGGAATATGATTGTGAAGCTACAACAGATCTGAAAGTCAGGGTCTGTGCTTTTGAAGCTACAACAGATCTGAAACTCAGGGACTATCCTTGAGAAGCTACAACAGATCTGAAACTCAGGGACTATGCTTGTAAAGCTACAACAGATCTCAAAGTCAGGGACTATGCTTGTGAAGCTACAACAGATCTCAAAGTCAGGGACTATGCTTGTGAAGCTACAACAGATCCGAAACTCAGGGACTATGCTTGTAAAGCTACAACAGATCTCAAAGTCAGGGTCTATGCTTGTGAAGCTACAACAGATCTCAAAGTCAGGGACTATGCTTGTGAAGCTACAACAGATCTCAAAGTCAGGGACTATGCTTGTGAAGCTACAACAGATCTCAAAGTCAGGAACTATGCTTGTGAACCTAGAACAGATCTGAAAGTCAGGAACTATGCTTGTGAAGCTACAACTGATCTGAAAGTCAGGGTCCATGCTTGTGAAGCTACAACAGATCTGAAAGACAGGAACTATGCTTGTGAGGCTACTGTACACTTGGTTTGCAAATCAGGGTCTATGCTTGTGAGCCTACAACAGATCTCAAAGTCAGGGTCTATGCTTGTGAGCCTACAACAGATCTCTAAGTCAGGGTCTATGCTTGTGAGCCTACAACAGATCTCAAAGTCAGGGTCTATGCTTGTGAGCCTACACAACATCTCAAAGACAGGGACTATACTTGTTAATCTATGCTTCACATGGTCTTACAGGTTCTAGGACACATCTTCCTAAGGGCCAAGACAGCTTGCAGCAGGATGTACAGAGGAGCTAGATACCTGATGTGGAAGGATAGGACTGGATGAGAGGGACAGACTGTGAAAATCAATGCTACATCCGGGAATCATACCTCCTCGTGCAGTCTTTAGAAGTGGCAGTGGTGTGGGGCGAACAGACTCTGGGGATAGTCTCTGCAATACAGAAATTCTCATTAGGGCATACAAATTTAAATATGAAACTTCTTTTTGACAACAACATCTATAATGCTTGTAACATCATTTCAGGGCAATTTTTTGCCCTGTCATCTGGCGAATGAAAGTTTAACGACAATATGATCTTCTAACTGCCTATCAACGACTTCAATAAAACTTCAATAATTGATATATATGCAAAATGTATTATCAAATGAATGAAGTTTTCTACTTTTACAGTAAATAAATACATCATATGTTCACAAAATGGATTGACAAGCAAATTTCGATAAATATAGCCTGGTAACTTACTTGGTGATTTGGGCTGATGTGTCTGCATGTTAATGTATTACCACCACCATCTACAGCTTCCTGTAACATAGAGACCCATTCTCCCTGAAATATCACTGGAGGACAACAATATCTTGTCAAATCAAGGTTAACATCTAGTCAAATCAAGATTAACATCTTGTCAAATCAAGGTTAACATCTAGTCAAATCAAGGTTAACATCTTGTCAAATCTAGGTTAACATATAGTTATTTCAAAGTGAATATCTAGTCATTTCAAAGTGAATATCTAGCCATATCAACTTAAGTATCAGATCATATAAAGGTGAATATATATATACAAAAATATTAAGAATAATATCAGTGCAATCATGATGAATATTCACTGATATCAAGGTCAACATTTAGGCATATCATGGTTAACATGTAGTGATATAATGGTATCCAGTGATATCAAGGTGAGTTTTGATTTCGTAAGCTGAAGCATTACAGAATCATACTAGAAAAGTTTCAACGGAGACAATATTCAGTCCATATGAAAATAATTCTGATTATCTTTAGCTTGCCCTCATCTTCGATCACCTCCAGGGTATACGTTCGGATAAACCTCCACTATACCCTGGAGGCATATACAGCTCGAGCCGATAATTTTATTACCTCCCTTGGTTGGCTTTTTATCCAATCAGGTGTCAACGCTGGGAAGTTGAGCGTGCCAATCACAACTCACTTTCGCTTTTTAAATTACCAAACCGATTAAACTTGGCAACACAATAATATATTGTTGCAGATGTACTCTGAAAGAGGTATAATGAGTTCTTCTATATATTTATTTAAGATTTCAGACCTGTCAATTTGTCTGTATGTTTTCTGTGAAGCCCATTTCTGGTGTCCCCCGCCGTGATGTTGCTGGAATATTGCTAAAAGCGCGTAAAACCAAACTCAGTCAGTCAGTCAGTCTGTATGTTTTCACCCAAAATCTGAGTCGCACTGCGAACAAACTTTCACGGCTGCGACCGCTATCTTTGTTGACACCCGTGAGCTCGGTTGTAAGAGCGGCTTATCTGATTGGCTACTGTGAGAATGCGGAGCCAGCAAAGGGAGGTAATAAAATCATGGGCTCAAGCCAGGGTTAGTGGAGATTTATCGGAACGTATACCCTGGAGATTATCGAGGATGGCTAGTCCTTAACTACCTTATCAAGCCACAATAGGAACATTAACTAGATTCAGTTTCAAAATCATGACAAATTGTTGTACCTCTGGTTTAGAACGACAATCACTTCGTATTCGTTCATAGTTTTGCCGTAACCTGTCATATTTCTGTTCAAGGTTGTGTTTGGCCACGAACAATCTCTGCTTCTGATCGGAAATGTCCCAGCACTTCTGTTGGGCCAGTATCTTCTCCTCCTCAGCCTGTGAATGGAGAACTGTTTGTGAGATGGGGCGAGACAGATGATCCATAGTCAAAGTCATATCACTTGGTCTGATGGATGTATTGCAGATATCTTCTGCCATTTTGTGCAATCTCCTTACTCAGTAACAGTTTCCAAGATATTCAGTCATGTCATACTCAGTTCCAAAAAGTCATGGAAAATCTTACATGTGGCAAGGAATATGGCTCTTGTGCATACAACTGACGAGGTTGTCACACCATTATGAAAATTCTAGTTTTGAATTTTGGGATGTTTATGTGTTGCTTCGACTATTCAGTTTTGTGGGTTAATTATATCAAACCATACAAATGGAACCATACAGTCCATAAATCACTGGCTATATTTATACAGTATACAAGAACTATTCCGACTCAACAGGCATTGTGGCCAACCAATCCACAAATCACTGACTATATTCATACAGTAAACAAGAGCTATTCCGACTCAGTAGGCACTGTGGCCAACCGATCCACAAATCACTGACTATATTCATACAGTAAACAAGAACTATTCAGACTCAGCAGACATTGTGGCCAACCGATCCACAAGTCACTGGCTATATTTGTCCAGCCCAAGCCTACCTTCCTCTTCTCTTTCTCCAGCTGCTGGATGGTCTTGAAGTACTGCTCGTTCCGCCTCTCTGCATGCTTCAGGAACAGCTGGCTCTGGTCACTCTCTCGCTGCAGCTTCAGCTTCTCACACCGCAGCTACAACAAGAGCAGTGGAATGGTACAACATACAAAGGTACATCCCAGTATAACAAGACAATATTTATTCTCAATGAAGACATTAATTTCATCATCAGTGACTTAATTATCAAAGTCCAACAAAGATAAAAACATGGATAAGTTCCAGTAGAATGAATTTTGTTGCCATAACGACGTCTGCGCTGCTACCAAGTACATATTGTGTGCATGATTACATTAGAGGTCTTGAGGACTGGCAGATTAGGCCATCATGGTTGCTCTGGGGTGCCATGGATCTGTCTTATACAGCACCCCATCAGCAGGACAACAAGGGTCAACAATTACTTTTTAGGATGGGATCAGATAAATGACCAGTCTTTCACACACAATTAGGAACTCCTGAATAGGGATCATAGGCAGGAAGACATGAGGCTATAACTCTCTTTACCTCAAATACACAAAGGAATGGTAGAGAAATGGGGAAAAAAACTTGTCAGTGTGTCATCCTTCCTCAAAATTGGATCAGACGGGATCATACAAAATTTTAGCTCCTTTGTCCTATCAGTATCAGAGAGAGGCTGAAAAAACCCAGTTAATTATAGACAGACGACAAGGGAGCTAATAAAAAGAATAAACTTTGGGTACTGTTCGGGCCTATGATGCGTATACCACTACAAACCAAACTGCCTGTGAATACATGAAACAGTGGTGATTTAATGATAAACACAGTTCAAAATTTCAAGGTGTAACGTCAGAATTGATATATATTAACAGACAGAAAAAGGCTTTCAACATTCATGGAAACTCCAGCACATGAATCCTTCCTTGTTGGATAAGGAACACATCTTGTTTTGAAAGACAAAACATTTCTAAACAATTTGTATTTCTTTTCCCAATAGTTATATTCCCAAAAATCATATATCAAAAATACATCAAATTCAACTGTACACTGTATTACCACAGTTGACAAAAGTACTGACTGTTTCAGATGCCTGTCTCTCGCTGATCAATTCTGCCTGTGTCATCTCCAGGGTTTCGATCATCTCTTTCACCTTCTCTCTCTCAGCCTCAAGGTCACACTGAAGGATCTCTATCCTTGTCTTAAAATTCTGGGCACGTGGTCGATCTGACTGTTATAACGAGACATTATTAAACACGAAGACAACATTCTAGTTTCTATAATGTAGGGTGGGTGTGGGATGCAAGCATCAGTGGGTGCTCATAATCTACAGACAAGTAAACAGTGTTGATCTTCTGTTTTCAGGATGCATGGGGCATGGTGGGCGAGCTGTCTAAGGTGCCAGGCTAGTAATCCAGCGAGCTTGAGGTGTCAGGATCGAGCCCACCTGTGACAGGGTGTAAAAACCTTGGAGTCAACTTTGTGTGCAGACTCTTTCAGTGTTGTCACAACCCCTAGTGTACAGTACACAACCCTGTGCACTTAAAAGAACCCAAGAATCTGTTGGCATATGACCAGATGGTGTCCTCCCATTTGCGAGAACTCCCAGTTGCGAGACACATTAATTAATGGTTCAGTGCACACAAGTGGTGCTTCCCAATCCCTACGATGAAAATGGGAACAGCCCTGTTGCTGAAGAGTACCCGCAGGAGGCATAGTTCATTAATGAGACAAAGAACCCATTGTTCATTGAAGAGCATTTATTGATTTCAATAAAGAACAAGTTAAATACTGAAAAAGATTATCATTATATTTACACAGAAGAACTAGTTCATTAAATACTTCATTATCATTTTTTATTCACACATTTTTATGATTTGCGTTATTATGATGTTTGTGTGTCATTATAAATAACTTTTTTACATGGGTCCATATTTGGAAATTTTGACACTTTTCATATTTTCAGCAGTTTGCCGACTGCATCAAGATACTGCATGTGATTTTTCGTTCCATCTGCAAGTTGATCTTTGAGTCTATGTAGTCGATTGTCTATTTCCTGTACACGCTGCTTTCCTCGATCGAGGGCAGGTCGAGTTGGCACAGCTTGGCCTTCTCTGCCTTCTCTATTTTCCTGATGATTTCCATAAACCTGAAGATGTTTGGATGGCGATGACTGAGTGTAGCATTCAATCTACTGTGAAACCCCTCAATGTTGTTGTTGGTCCTGGGGCCGAATGTGTCATGATGGTTCCATATGGGCAAGGGAAAGCGAGTGTCCGCCGTCCCACCCAGGTTGTAGTGATGTAGTCGTTGAATGTCTGTGTAGGTACAAGTCTGCCGCTGCTTGTTCTTGTAATACAGGTGACCGGAAAGAGCAGTCACAGGTTAATAAATACATTTGGATTCATTATAGTTACAACAGTTATTGCTAGATTTTTCAAGCACGTAAATCTGAGTAGGTCAATTAATTTCTCTTTCAAATGATCACGAAGTTACCTACACAAAGTGTTTATTTTTTAAAGCCATTTACCTGAGTAGGTTAATTACTTTTTCTTTTAAGCTACCTCCACAAGATTCAGTTAAATAGCTAATCCCTAATTAGCTGGGGTTAATCCATTCTATCAGATATGGGAGTAAGGTGTATTTTCTTTGCTCCTTACCTCCTCCACTGTCTCACAACTGGGAGTCTCGCAACTGGGAGTTCTCGCAAATGGGAGTAGACCGACCAGATAGGTGGCCACATGAATATGTGCAAACACCTAGTTGTCAGTACATCAACGACTGTGACTATGTGTGAATATAATAGTCGCTTTGAATTATTTCTTAACTCATGTAACTGTGAAAGCAGGAATGCATTATTTAGCTATGCACATATAGGATATATTGCTCTAAGAGTGTAGCATATATTTCCCTTACAATATATGGGATATATCTACCTCAGCATATGGCATTTGTTTCCTTTAGCATGTAGGATATATATTGCCTGCTGCAAGTGTGAAATATTTCCCTCTGTATATAGACTATATTTACCTTAGCACATAGGATATATTTCCCCTTAGTATGTAAAATATATTTCTCTTATTATGTAGGATATATTTATCTGTGATTCTACTTTCTCACATGCTCTTTATATGATACGAGCACAACACTGCCAGAAACACGGAAAACCTTTCATCAAATTACATAATTTGAAGTTATTCTAATCCCATTAGCTGGTACGTAAACTGTCCCTGCTTAGGTTAAAAACTTATACAAACCTGTAGAGGTTATGAATTCTTTGAAGAAAGTCCTCCTTGGGGTACTTATAAGCATTAAAATGTCCATTTTAAAAACCTACGACAGTTGTAACTATATTTCAATAAAAATATTTACAAAACGAAAAAACACGTTCTGCATTATGAGACCACCCCTACAGAGCCCCCGGGGGGCCCCCTACCGGCAAGAGCAGGTAACTCTCGCACCTCACTTTTCATGCTGTCGTCTTACAAGAGAGACGTGCGTGTCGTTCATTGATGAAAATGAGTGCTAAAGAATCAATTAATGTATGTATGGTTCCTCTTTTCTCTCGCACGGGCGCTAGATGGAATTGTAGGTTGATTTTTTCATTCATGATTGTTGTAACTTAGTCGGACAGGCTCCATTTTCCAGCCAGGTGGCAGGCAAGATGGCGGTCGGTTTAACTTCCTTCTGTCCTACGGTTGTAACTTTTTTGAGTTACATCGCTAGGGTGGTAGGGTATTTCAGCGATGTGTGGTGAGTTGGGTAAGTTTTTTCATATGTTTTTTACGCTGTATATGTTACGCAGGAAGCTTGCATTTTCGCCTCTTGTTCATGATACATGTTAAAGGGTTAAAACTGCCTTAGAACGGAAATAAAAACCGCCACCACATACCTTCACCAGTGCAAAATAGGGGAGAATAGACCCGACACCAGTATAAAACACCGAGTAAATCAGCGACAAGGCTCACTCGGCCTGAGGCGTGTTACTCTGTCCACTGTGGAGAATCGTCTGGCCAAACCGAGCACGCTCACGCGAATGTTTGTCCAGCTGATAATGGCGAATGAACGTACTTGGTCGGCTCCAAATAGCCGCAGAGCAGATCTCCTCAATGGGCAGAGCAGCAGCATACGCTTTAGACGTGGCAACTGCTCGAACCGAATGAGCCTTTAAACCCTCTGGGGGAGTCATACCCTTGTGTATGTAACCCATACAAATCGCCGACACAATCCACCTCGATATGGTCTGTGTGGTAACTGGGTGACCTACTTTACCACCCCCGTAACAGCAGAATAACTGCTTCTCTTTACGGATTGACATTGTTCTCTTGACATACGTCTTGAGTGTCTTACGGACATCCAACACATGTACTCTGCGCTTCGCGCCTACCAGACGAAGCAGGAAGCGTAAAGGCAGGCAAATCAATAGGAGCGGTGACATGAAACGCTTTATCGATTTTTGGGCGGTAGGAATCAGGTAAACGAATACTTACCCTATCCTTGTGAAAAACGGTAAGCTCCGGGTCTGAGGACATAGCATGAATGTCCCCAACCCGCTCTACCTGAACTTAACAGTTGAAGCGACAACCCCGACATATCGTAGAAAAAAGGACTAGATAGCCAATCTAAAACGATGGACAGATCCCATGGCGGACTTGTCCGTCGGACGACCGGAAGCACTCTGTCCACACCTGCTAAGAAACGCTGAACCAGAGGGTGTTGTCCTAAAAGGGCACCCTCGGTAGGAATGTGGAAAGCTGAAATAGCTGTGGAGTAGCCTCGGATAGTAGACGCGGCTAGGCCGGCTCCTAACCGAGACTGTAAAAACTCCAAAACTTCGACTACAGTCGAAGAAAAGGGATCAAGTATCCCTCTGTTTCCACACCAGCGCGCATAACAGGCCCATCTATCCTCATACTGTAAGTTAGTCGAATCCCTCCGCGAAGCCAGAATTGTGTCTGCAACTGGTGCAGGAATTCCGCTCGCATGGAGGCGACTCCTGACAGTGGCCAAGCCACCCACTGGATCCATGGATCCGGGTGTGGCTGGCCTTCCTGGGATAGAAGGTCCGGTCGCATCGGTAATAGCACAGGAGGCTGTACGAGCGATCTGAGTATACAGGGAACCAGCGTTGAGACGACCACAGAGGTGCAAGAAGCACAAGTAGTCGCGCTGGTTGGGTGGCGAAGCTGTGATAGGACTCTGGGAATCAGAGGTATCGGTGGGAAAGCCCACAGAACCCTGTCCGTCCAATCTAGCTGGAAGGCATCGGAGGCGATCGCTCCCGGATCCGGGATCCTGGAGCAAAACACCGGAGTCTGGTTCGTCACCCCAGAGGCAAACAGATCCACCTGGAACGACCCGAACAACTGGGAGATAACCCCAAATATCTCCCGGTCGAAAGTAACCACTTCGTGAGGGGCCAGGATACCGTGAGAGTGCATCTGCACGCGGTTGTCCTCCCCCGGAGATACACAGAATACCTGTGTGCTGAACCTGTCGCACCACAGCAGAAACTGCCACGCCTCCTGGAGGAGTGACGGAGACACCGTACAGGATATAGGACATCGCCGTTTGATTGTCCATTTCTAGATGAACCACACGGTTCCCAACCTGCTCCATGGCGTTGAATACCCGTCCGGACCGCTCTCAATTCTAACACATTGATGTGCATGGTCAGCTCACGGACCAAAGTCCGGAAGCTGTGAGGTCCCCTAGGACCCCCACCCCACCCTGTGAGAGAGGCGTCCGTCTGAATTGTGGCGTAGGCACCGGGGGTCTCCAGTGGGATACCCTGGCTAGATTCCCGGTCGGTCCACCACCTCAGGTGAGGGAGAAGCCACTCTGGAGTTAGGAGAATTGTCTCGTAACTCCCGAGTGTGACCACAGCTGTGCTAACGCTTGCTGAACTGGCCGCATCCTCAGACGCCAAGACGCCAAACCACGCCCAGTCGCCGCCATGTTGCCTAGCAACTGAAGCCATGTGCGAGCTGAGGCCCTGGGGGACTGAAGGAATTGTAAAACACCCCTTTGGACTTTGGAAATGCGGTCTTGAGACAGAGAGACTAAGCCCTGCTGTGTCTCGAATCTCGCCCCCAAGAAAACCCGATCCTGGGATGGAACCAGCTCGGATTTCTTGAGATTGATGACCCAACCCAACCTGGTGAGAATATCAATCACTGTCTGTGTGGAGTCTCGACTCAAGTGAGTGGAAAGCGCCCTGAGAAGCCAGTCGTCCAGGTACGGGTAACAAAAGTTGCCCTGTGCCCTGGCGACTTGAGCTGGCACTAACATTAGTTTTGTGAACACCCTTGGCGCCGTGGAGATGCCGAAGGGGAGCACACGAAACTGATAGCACCTCCCGTCGAAGGAAAACCGAAGGTATTTCCTGAACTCGGGGTGCATTGGTACATGAAGGTACGCGTCCTTGAGGTCGATTGACGTAAGCCAATCCCCTGCCTCCACAAATGAGATCACCGACCGCAGTGTCTCCATCTTGAAGGACGGTACCTCTAGCAAACGGTTCAGACCCTTTAAATTGAGAATGGGTCTGAACCCTCCATCCTTCTTGGTAACCAGGAAATAGGTTGAGTAAACCCCTTGATTTTCCTGGCCCGTCGGAACCACCTCGATGGCTGCCTTGTCCAGCAACGACTGGACCTCGGCACGGAGAATATCTGCCTTCTCCGGAGAGTTCGGCACTGGCGTGCAACGAATCCCGGAGAAAGGAGGAGGGCCTCGCTTCCACTGTGGCATATGACCATCCCTGAGTGTGGACAGGACCCAGGGATTTGAAGTGACTTTCTCCCATTCCCGAAGGAAGAGAGGTAGCCGGCCGCCGACAGGGACGTCGGGTAAGAGGCAGTGAATCCCGGCAGTGGGCAGTGTAACAACTGCTTGTGCCGGGACCGACAAGGGCTCCGGAGGAATGCTTACTGGGAAGCCAGGGCCGACTTCCCCTTCCTCTGAAAATGCTGCTGAGAGGCGGCAGCCTTGCCCCTACCTCTACCCCTGCCCTTGCCTCTACGTGCCTGAAGTGGAGCCGTCCACTTCGGCGCTTCCTTTCCTGAAGAGGAAGGGTAAGCTGAGGCAAGGACAGAAGGCCGGGCGCGAGAAGTGAGGGGTTGCTCGAGTAAGGGCTTTGAGTCCTTAAACTGGCTAACCGCCTCCGCGGCCTCCCTGACCACTGTCAATGCCCCCGGGACAGGGTTGAGCCCATCCTGAATGGCAGAGACAGCAGCGCCTGCTGTGTAGCCGGTGAATATCTGGCCACAGACAGCCACAACCGACAGAGGCCCATAACTGCAGACATCATCTGGCTAGCGCACGACCGAATGGCATCAGCGTGCCAGATGTGAATGCACCTCCGTGAGCGTCGTCCACGCCCTCCTGGTCCACCAGCTTCCTCTGCAGGGCCGAGAGGTATGCTGAGTGGACGGAAACCTTAAGTTGTTGTACTGCGTTACGGTATTGTTCTTCAAAGGAACGATATACCGATTTCAACACCTGGTTGTTGGAAGTAAACGGAGGCGAGCGCCGACCCTGACGAGCCGGCGTGTGGCTATGGCCAGATGACCCCCCCAGGGCGACTGAGGCATAAATGCACTCATCTACCACCGGGGGGTCATAAAGAGCCCCCTCTCCCATCAGGTAGCGCCGGTTCAGCTCCGGGAGATCGAAGCGTGACCTGCCACCTGAGAGGAGAGGGTTAATAACCTCACTAATCAGTGAAGGTAAAATACGCAAGTGGGCCTCGGCGACCCGACATGGAGCAAACGCCTCCCCAGGGAGACGAAACTCCACGGGGTCGGGGTCATCTGACGGCACGACCACCTGCGGCAAAATTGCCCCCCGTCCTCATCCATGGCTTCCTCCTCCCGCTCCCCCGGAAGCGAACTCTCGGTATCCAGAGTCACCTCCGAAAGCACGGAAGTCGGCTCCACGGACAAAGATAGGGGAGCCATAAGAGCCGAGACGCCTGGCCCGACCGACCCTAGGCTCGAGGATGAGCCAGGTCGCCGAGGACGCAGGGAAGAGCCTGCCGAAACAGGATTCCCCGAAGTAACGTAAGGCCCCGAGTCGACCGGTAGCACCGGCGCTCGGAAAACCCTGCTTGTGAGCTGGTGGCCAACGGTACGAGACCCGTATCCACCGCGCTAAGTACGCTGCGCTGAACTGGAGCCGAAGCTCGGGCCAGACACAGGCACACCAGCAGAGGGGTCACCAGAGCCGGGTAGAACCCGTCCCCGGACCGAAGCCCGAGGCAGGGGAACCCCCGACAGACGACCCCGGAGCGCCGCTAACTCCCGAACGGAAGCTGATCTCCTCACGGAGACCGGACATCGCGTCCGAGATCAGCGAGCGAACCGAAGTCATCTGTTGCTGCAAAATAGAAGTTAAATCAGTAATACGGAAGGGTGCAGAATCTGATTGAGTGGAAGTGGAGGGGATAGGGGAAGAAGGTTTATCCGCCGTCTTGGCCCGCTTACCCCCACCCCTGCTAGTAGAAAAAACTCTTCTTACTTTTAGCCGCTTTAGATGGTGGGTCCTGAGCCCATAAGTCCCCCCCGCCTGCAGCAAATTTGTATAAAACAAAAAATCGGCGGACCGACGCTTAGTCGTCTTGGGTGAGAAAACCTGGCAACTCTCACAAGTTAGATCATCAGGGTGATCAACGGCCAAATAACGGAGGCACACATCGTGAGTATCCTGTGGTGGCAACATGGCCGCACATGCAACGCACGGGTGAAACTGTAACAAACAGAACCATTTTAATGGAAACTGATGTACAGTCTAAAATACACACATATATGCAACACAAGTAAAACATAATAAGCACGGGCGATAAACCCTATGTGAAAAGCTAAGGCAGTTTTAACCCTTTAACATGTATCATGAACAAGAGGCGAAAATGCAAGCTTCCTGCGTAACATATACAGCGTAAAAAACATATGAAAAAACTTACCCAACTCACCACACATCGCTGAAATACCCTACCACCCTAGCGATGTAACTCAAAAAAGTTACAACCGTAGGACAGAAGGAAGTTAAACCGACCGCCATCTTGCCTGCCACCTGGCTGGAAAATGGAGCCTGTCCGACTAAGTTACAACAATCATGAATGAAAAAATCAACCTACAATTCCATCTAGCGCCCGTCTGAGAGAGAAAAGAGGAACCATACATACATTAATTGATTCTTTAGCACTCATTTTCATCAATGAACGACACGCACGTCTCTCTTGTAAGACGACAGCATGAAAAGTGAGGTGCGAGAGTTACCTGCTCTTGCCGGTAGGGGGCCCCGCGGGGGCTCTGTAGGGGTGGTCTCATAATGCAGAACGTGTTTTTTCGTTTTGTAAATATTTTTATTGAAATATAGTTACAACTGTCGTAGGTTTTTAAAATGGACATTTTAATGCTTATAAGTACCCCAAGGAGGACTTCTTCTGAAAAAGAATAACCGATGCTGCAACACAAATAACATTGATCCATATTGCCTGTACACAAAGTAGAAATGCCTACATTGTCATCAGTGTGTCTTTCTCTACGGGTTGCTATGTTGATAAGTCGCTGGGATTTCTTTCTCTCCTCTTCAAACCTCTCTGTAACAAGTAACAAACAAAGTTAGAAACTGACTTTGGTTAAGCACTACTGAGGTTAAGAGGAAGACTTACTCAGTGAGCTCTTCTAGGTAAAGGCTATGCATGCTGCACTCCATTTGTGTACAATATTCTTTAGTGGGACAGTGATTGGTTCATTCTCTCTGTACCAAGTAATACTCATTGATTCATTCTCTCTGTACCAAGTAAACATACCTATCAGCACATCCTGTGATTGGTTCATTCTCTCTGTACCAAGTAAACATACCTATCAGCACATCCTGTGATTGGTTCATTCTCTCTGTACCAAGTAAACATACCTATCAGCACATCCTGTGATTGGTTCATTCTCTCTGTACCAAGTAAACATACCTATCAGCACATCCTGTGATTGGTTCATTCTCTCTGTACCAAGTAAACATACCTATCAGCACATCCTGTGATTGGTTCATTCTCTCTGTACCAAGTAAACATACCTATCAGCACATCCTGTGATTGGTTCATTCTCTCTGTACCAAGTAAACATACCTATCAGCACATCCTGTGATTGGTTCATTCTCTCTGTACCAAGTAAACATACCTATCAGCACATCCTGTGATTGGTTCATTCTCTCTGTACCAAGTAAACAAACCTATCAGCACATCCTGTGATTGGTTCATTCTCTCTGTACCAAGTAAACATACCTATCAGCACATCCTGTGATTGGTTCATTCTCTCCAGCTCATTGTTTCTCTCTTTCAGGTTGTTCTCCAGGTCCTCTCTGTCTACGAGCAGCTCGTCAATGCGGCTCATCTGGCGCTCCACATCATCTCGATACTGGATGTTCTTCCTCATGAATTCTCCTGCAATGCAAGTTCAGACTCTCAGCACCAGGAAACTCAGGCTATCTATCAGTGCAACCAGAGACAAAGGAAACAAAAGATTAAGTTATTTTCTTCCATTCCTTTTCTTATGACTCACAGCTTTAGTTTAACAGAGAGACATGTGATTTCCACTCAAGTTTTTACACAATTTTAGTACCCTACTCACTGTTTTCATCCTTGAGGTTGCGAATCTCCTTGTCAGCTTCAAGCTGTTTCTCCAACAGTTGCTGGTTGTCCATAGCATAAGGTCTCAGTGAGGCAATCTCACGCTGAAACACAACAAACAAGGGAATAAAGTACTGTTATCTCACGCTGAAACACAACAAACCAAGGAATACAGTACCGTTATCTCATGCTGAAACACAACAAACCAGGGAATAAAGTACTGTTATCTCATGCTGAAACACAACAAACCAGGGAATACAGCCTAGTAATATCATGCAGAGATACAGCAAACCAGGGAATACAGTACTGTTATCTCACGCTGAAACACAACAAACCAGGGAATACAGCCTAGTGATATCATGCATAGATACAGCAAACCAGGGAATACAGTACTGTTATCTCACGCTGAAACACAACAAACCAGGGAATACAGCCTAGTGATATCATGCCAAGATACAGCAAACCAGGGCATACAGTACTGTTATCTCACGCTGAAACACAACAAACCAGGGAATACAGCCTAGTAATATCATGCCGAGATACAGCAAACCAGGGAATACAGTACTGTTATCTCACGCTGAAACACAACAAACCAGGGAATACAGTACTGTTATCTCATGCTGAAACACAAGAAACCAGGGAATACAGCCTAGTAATATCATGCCGAGATACAGCAAACCAGGGAAAACAGTACTGTTATCTCATGCTGAAACACAACAAACCAGGGCATACAGTACTGTTATCTCATGCTGAAACACAACAAACCAGGGAATACAGCCTAGTAATATCATGCCGAGATACAGCAAACCAGGGAATACAGTACTGTTATCTCACGCTGAAACACAACAAACCAGGGAATACAGTACTGTTATCTCATGCTGAAACACAACAAACCAGGGAATACAGCCTAGTAATATCATGCCAAGATACAGCAAACCAGGGAATACAGTACTGTTATCTCATGCTGAAACACAACAAACCAGGGAATACAGTACTGTTATCTCACGCTGAAACACAACAAACCTGGGAATACAGCCTAGTGATATAATGCCGAGATACAGCAAACCAGGGAATACAGTACTGTTATCTCATGCTGAAACACAACAAACCAGGGCATACAGTACTGTTATCTCATGCTGAAACACAACACACCAGGGCATACAGTACTGTTATCTCATGCTGAAACACAACAAACCAGGGAATACAGCCTAGTAATATCATGCCAAGATACAGCAAACCAGGGAATACAGTACTGTTATCTCACGCTGAAACACAACAAACCAGGGAATACAGTACTGTTATCTCACGCTGAAACACAACAAACCAGGGATACAGCCTAGTAATAACATGTCGAGATACAGCAAACCAGGGAATACAGTACTGTTATCTCAGGCTGAAACACAACAAACCAGGGAATACAGCATAGTGATATCATGCCAAGATACAGCAAACCAGGGAATACAGTACTGTTATCTCACGCTGAAACACAACAAACCAGGGAATACAGCCTAGTGATATCATGCCAAGATACAGCAAACCAGGGAATACAGTACTGTTATCTCATGCTGAAACACAACAAACCAGGGAATACAGTACTGTTATCTCACGCTGAAACACAACAAACCAGGGAATACAGCCTAGTGATATCATGCCGAGATACAGCAAACCAGGGAATACAGTACTGTTATCTCACGCTGAAACACAACAAACCAGGGAATACAGTACTGTTATCTCATGCTGAAACACAACAAACCAGGGAATACAGCCTAGTAATATCATGCCAAGATACAGCAAACCAGGGAATACAGTACTGTTATCTCACGCTGAAACACAACAAACCAGGGAATACAGCCTAGTAATATCATGCCAAGATACAGCAAACCAGGGAATACAGTACTGTTATCTCACGCTGAAACACAACAAACCAGGGATACAGCCTAGTAATATCATGCCAAGATACAGCAAACCAGGGAATACAATACTGTTATCTCACGCTGAAACACAACAAACCAGGGAATACAGCCTAGTGATATCATGCCAAGATACAGCAAACCAGGGCATACAGTACTGTTATCTCACGCTGAAACACAACAAACCAGGGAATACAGCCTAGTGATATCATGCCAAGATACAGCAAACCAGGGCATACAGTACTGTTATCTCATGCTGAAACACAACAAACCAGGGAATACAGCCTAGTGATATCATGCCAAGATACAGCAAACCAGGGCATACAGTACTGTTATCTCACGCTGAAACACAACAAACCAGGGAATACAGCCTAGTAATATCATGCCAAGATACAGCAAACCAGGGAATACAGTACTGTTATCTCACGCTGAAACACAACAAACCAGGGAATACAGCCTAGTGATATCATGCCAAGATACAGCAAACCAGGGCATACAGTACTGTTATCTCATGCTGAAACACAACAAACCAGGGAATACAGCCTAGTGATATCATGCCAAGATACAGCAAACCAGGGCATACAGTACTGTTATCTCACGCTGAAACACAACAAACCAGGGAATACAGCCTAGTAATATCATGCCAAGATACAGCAAACCAGGGAATACAGTACTGTTATCTCACGCTGAAACACAACAAACCAGGGAATACAGCCTAGTGATATCATGCCAAGATACAGCAAACCAGGGCATACAGTACTGTTATCTCACGCTGAAACACAACAAACCAGGGAATACAGCCTAGTAATATCATGCCGAGATATAGCAAACCAGGGTATACAGTACTGTTATCTCATGCTGAAACACAACAAACCAGGGAATACAGCCTAGTAATATCATGCCAAGATACAGCAAACCAGGGAATACAGTACTGTTATCTCAGGCTGAAACCCAACAAACCAGGGAATACAGTACTGTTATCTCACGCTGAAACACAACAAACCAGGGAATACAGCCTAGTAATATCATGCCAAGATACAGCAAACCAGGGAATACAGTACTGTTATCTCACGCTGAAACACAACAAACCAGGGAATACAGCCTAGTGATATCATGCCAAGATACAGCAAACCAGGGAATACAGTACTGTTATCTCACGCTGAAACACAACAAACCAGGGAATACAGCCTAGTGATATCATGCCAAGATACAGCAAACCAGGGCATACAGTACTGTTATCTCACGCTGAAACACAACAAACCAGGGAATACAGCCTAGTGATATCATGCCAAGATACAGCAAACCAGGGCATACAGTACTGTTATCTCACGCTGAAACACAACAAACCAGGGAATACAGCCTAGTGATATCATGCCAAGATACAGCAAACCAGGGCATACAGTACTGTTATCTCATGCTGAAACACAACAAACCAGGGAATACAGCCTAGTGATATCATGCCAAGATACAGCAAACCAGGGCATACAGTACTGTTATCTCACGCTGAAACACAACAAACCAGGGAATACAGCCTAGTAATATCATGCCGAGATATAGCAAACCAGGGAATACAGTACTGTTATCTCACGCTGAAACACAACAAACCAGGGAATACAGCCTAGTAATATCATGCCAAGATACAGCAAACCAGGGAATACAGTACTGTTATCTCATGCTGAAACACAACAAACCAGGGAATACAGCCTAGTGATATCATGCCGAGATACAGCAAACCAGGGAATACAGTACTGTTATCTCACGCTGAAACACAACAAACCAAGGGAATACAGCCTAGTGATATCATGCCAAGATACAGCAAACCAGGGAATACAGTACTGTTATCTCACGCTGAAACACAACAAACCAGGGAATACAGCCTAGTGATATCATGCCAAGATACAGCAAACCAGGGAATACAGTACTGTTATCTCACGCTGAAACACAACAAACCAGGGAATACAGCCTAGTGATATCATGCCAAGATACAGCAAACCAGGGCATACAGTACTGTTATCTCACGCTGAAACACAACAAACCAGGAATACAGCCTAGTGATATCATGCCAAGATACAGCAAACCAGGGAATACAGTACTGTTATCTCACGCTGAAACACAACAAACCAGGGAATACAGCCTAGTGATATCATGCCAAGATACAGCAAACCAGGGCATACAGTACTGTTATCTCATGCTGAAACACAACAAACCAGGGAATACAGCCTAGTGATATCATGCCAAGATACAGCAAACCAGGGAATACAGTACTGTTATCTCACGCTGAAACACAACAAACCAGGGAATACAGCCTAGTAATATCATGCCGAGATATAGCAAACCAGGGTATACAGTACTGTTATCTCATGCTGAAACACAACAAACCAGGGAATACAGCCTAGTAATATCATGCCAAGATACAGCAAACCAGGGAATACAGTACTGTTATCTCACGCTGAAACACAACAAACCAGGGAATACAGTACTGTTATCTCAGGCTGAAACACAACAAACCAGGGAATACAGCCTAGTGATATCATGCCGAGATACAGCAAACCAGGGAATAAAGTACTGTTATCTCACGCTGAAACACAACAAACCAGGGAATACAGCCTAGTGATATCATGCCGAGATACAGCAAACCAGGTAATACAGTACTGTTATCTCAGGCTGAAACACAACAAACCAGGGAATACAGTGCTGTTATCTCATGCTGAAACACAACAAACCAGGGAATACAGCCTAGTGATATCATGCCAAGATACAGCAAACCAGGGAATACAGTACTGTTATCTTAGGCTGAAACAGAGCAGATCAGGATATACAGCCCAGTGATATCATGCTATATTCTAGCAACATCACAGACGGGGACACCAGAAATGGGCTTCACACATTGAACCCATGTGGGGAATCGAACCTGGGCCTTCGGTGTGACAAGCGAACACTTTAACCACTAGGCTACCCCATCAACCCCATTTATCTCATGGCATATCAGGAAATACTGTGAAATACAGAGCAGTTATTGGAAGACAGGCAGGTGAGTAAAACCTCAGCCACACAACACATTGTGATAACTTATCTTGAGTTTATTTGCTCTTAGCATTGGGTACATCGGACCTGTTCTGTCCTTAGATTATGCACACAAGGGAATGGGGGGTCTACTTGTTATTTTTAACATGCCAATGTGAAGAAAAGCATGGGGAGCCAGGTGCCTATTCTAAACTGGAGTACAAAAAGGGGGGAAACAAATATGAGGGGACATGGAATTTTTTTACGGCATGTGAACACAAGAACTTGGAAGTGGGAACCTGCATGGCCCCAGAATCCTGACAGGGAAGCAAGAGAGAAAGACTCTCCTAGCTGAACAAAATTAACATTGTCTGAAGAAAACATTTGGAAGTTTTTCCAGGTCAATGAAACACTAACTGGTTGAAGAAGCGAAAGAAGTTGATTCTCTTGGTCAATCAAGGCCAAAAATGGTTGAAAAATAAACAAAGTACAAAGGCTTATCAGGCCAATGAAGTAATAACCAGTTGAAGAAGCAAAAGAGGTCAATTGAAGCTAAAACTGGATGTAATTAACACAAAAGTTAATTGTGGAATACATTAAAAGACGTTTGTTAAAAGTTGTCACCTCCAAGTCTTTGTTCTCCTTCTCCGCATACTCCAGCATGCTCTGCAGCTCCTCGAGCTGGTTGAACAGATCATTCCGCTGGTTGTTGAGGTTCGCCACGCGGAACCCCATCCGAGAAAACTCCTCCAGGTTCTGGGAGATACGACCTTCATCATGCCGCTCATAGCCTGTAGGGACATAACGTTGAAGAAACATTTCAGTGCATGTCAATGGTCCATAGCCGATGACAATATAGAATGTTAATACAAGTAGCAAATATTGTAGACTAACAACTAGTCTCTGAAATGAACATATTTAAAAAAAAATATAATGAAAAGGAGCCCTGAGACTTTCTTCATTTTCAGAGACCCTGAAGCTGAGGAAATCTAGACTTGCCACATTTTCTAGACTTGCGTGGGCTTTCTTGGATATATTTGCTGCAGGGTCTGTACGACAGACTACAAATATTGGCAAATAGCTACTCTTGCGCTATCAACATTACGGTTACATGTATGGTAAAAAATAATAACACAATTTTTTTCTTTGGTTTCTATCTTAAATACACTTTGTATAAAGATGAATGTGGATATCCATTAAGAAAATATTCACAAATATATATCCAACAATAATCAGAGATAATTTTGGGTGGGGTGGAGTTTGTTAAAATTTAGGAAAGGCATGAAAATATCATACATCAAAATAAGAGGCATGTTGCCAACAAATATCACAACTATTTTGGGGGTGATCATGGAAAAATGTTTTCTTTCTTCAAGTAAGAAAGTTAGAAATTTGAAAATTATTTAAGAACTAGTCATCTATTACATGGAGGGTGGAAACAGCACGAACAAGTGTTTGCCACTGATATGGCAATGTCCCCCGCCGCTAAAGAATGGAATATTTATAACATATTTATTACTTTTTATGTTTTGGTCACATACAAGAAGCCTGAAATGACTGGTGTCTGCATAATCACCCAATGTAAGCTGTCGACACAAATGAAGACATCGGGTGCAATGTTTTATGTGATATCACGTTAACAAGAGTTTGAAAAGTGGTCAAAGGGTCGTAACCTTGAAGATAAGGTCAATGTCACCCAAATCGACTGGTGTCTGCATAATTCCCCAATGTAAGCTGTCATCAAAGTTGAAGATATTGGATACAACAATGCATGAGATATCACGTTAACAACAGTTTGAAAACTGGTAAAAATGTCGTGGTGACCTTGAAGATAAGGTCAAGGTCACCCAAATCGACTGGTGTCTGAGTAACCCCCAAATGTAGGCTGTCACCAAATTTGAAGACACTGGATTCAACAGTGCATGAGATATCACATTAACAACAGTTTGAAAAGTGTTCAGTGTTGTGGTGACCTTGAAGATAAGGTCAAGGTCACCCAAATCGACTGGTGTCTGAGTAATCCCCAAATGTAGGCTGTCACCAAATTTGAAGACATTGGGTACAACAGTGCATGAGATATCACATTAACAACAGTTTGAAAAGTGTTGTGGTGACCTTGAAGATAAGGTCAAGGTCACCCAAATCAACTGGTGTCTGGGCAATCCCCCATTGTAGGCTGTCACCAAATTTGAAGACATTGGGTAGAACAGTTCATGAGATATCGCATTAACAAGAGTTTCAAAAGTGGTCAAAGTGTCATGGTGACCTTAAAAATAAGATCAAGGTCACCCAAATTGACTGGTGTCTGTGTAATGCCCCAATGTAGACTGTCACCAAAGTTGAAGACATTGGGTACAACAGTTCATGAGATATCGCGTTAACAAGAATCGGGACATACAGACGGACGGACAGAAGCCGCTGAATACATAGTCCCCTGTTCCGCATTGCGGCGGGGGACAAAAACAAGTTACAGGGGCGGGTGGGCATGCGAGAAGGAAACAAATAGAGCAGTGGAACTATTATTACCAAATTCTCCCGCTCCTGATCTTGGAATGATCAACTCAACAAATGCCTCTGTTGCATATGAATATGGCTTTAATCTACATTAAAGACTCTGTGGGACAACTTGTGCACAGCCAGTGTGGTTCATCAAACCAGAACAGTGTTATTATATAAGTTTTACATGGCCTCCATGTTTCCCTGAGTAAAAATATAGGGGATGGACGCTCTGTTGTTCCTAACAATTCACAACTACCGGGTATTTGAAATTGTATGGTTCCAATAAAGTAAGCTATTTTTTTTATCCCATTTATAACGTTATACATGAGCTTACATATCCATTTGATATATCATTATGTCATTCAGAAATTAGACAGCGGTACAATTTGTCATTTGTCAACTTCTTGGTGTCAGTTGACGAGCAATATATGTCAACTAGTTGGTGTCACTTCATCAGAGATACTTGTCTTTACAGTTTTATTTACATTTCTTGAGAATTTTAGCTTTGGTCAAAGAGTTGTTTTTGTTTTATAATCAGAGCTCTTAAACTCTTAAATGAAATTTTGTGAAACCAGGAAACCTCATACATTAAATTAGTGTTATAAACCATGAAAGTGGAAGTGTTGAAATGAACAAAGTCAAATATTCACTCATACGATTACATCTGAATAATTTCAGATTAATTTGTAAATCTTTTCCTCATTCCATGAATTATGCGGATCTAATAGACTTTGTCCTGCCCTGTCCTTGGTTGATTGACAGGTGAAGACCAATGAACAACCAAGTCAGTTATATGACTTGGGCGTGGATTTCCACAGATCAGTAAAACACCAGCACTTGTTGTGTAACAACCATCCCCTGTTTAGACCTTTGTATGTGTGCAGGATGAAGTATTGATACCAGCAACAGTGTACAACACAGATACAGCACCAAGTGCAGAAGGCCAGAGTAACATTCACATGTTGGAATTTTCCTCTAACTGTCAGGAAATGGCCTGACAAGTACACATACTTTCCTTCTGTACTTGACCTCTAATAAGGGTACCTATTGAAACATTGAAAACAGGTAATAAATGGTGCTATTCTGCCACTCGAAAGATTGTTACACGATATTGATCTAATGAAAATGCAATGGGTAGGCACACATTTTTCTTAGAAATTGTGGACTTTAAAGTTGGTTAAGTGGGACAGAATATGTCTGCCTCAAGGGCAGGATGTTTAACAATTAAAAAAGCCATACATATTGTCGGATCATTGGTTTTGGTATATTGTACATTTTCAGACAGCAGTGCTAACTCTTTCCATAATGACGCAGAATGAGTCAAACAAACATTGAAATTCTTGAGTGATGGATTGCGTTCAGGATAAAGTTATCTTTAACAAGTGAAAAGTTTTATAGTCGTTCACATGATTAGAGTGAGTGAGTGAGTATAGTTTTATGCCGCTTTCTGCAATATTCCAGCAATATCACGGCGGGGGACACCAGAAATGGGCTTCACGCATTGTACCAATGTGTGGAATCGAACCTGGGTCTTGGGCGTGACGAGCCAACGCTTTAACCACTAATCTACCCCACTGCCCCTCACATGATTAGAAAGATAACAAATGTTTCCTTAGTCTAAAGAAAGCCATAATACAAAATATGTATTTCTTTCTTAATGAATGGGTTAACAGTTGGAGAACACATATGAAATGCATTTGAATAATTAATATTTTGAATTTTATAAATTTTGTTTGCTTCTTGTAAATTTGATTTTTTCTGATGTATCACAAATAGAACCATCTAGCAAATATAGATAAATGTACAGTATTTCAATAACCAATATAGTGACGTAGGTTGAACGTGATCACTAAACATCCTGGACTGTCTCATCTAGACCTCTGTCATGTAGCTGTGGTGCCAAGCAATGAACACACAAATAAAGCTAGATACAAGCATGTGTATTGTAATGAAGTAGAATCTTGCCCTGAACCATCATGGTTAAAGTACAAGGACACTCCAGTTAAGCGTCAAGTTTGAGAAACTACTTCATAGATCAATAATTAATGCTGATGTGCCATCCCGCTTCACAGTATTGAAAAGTACATCGAGAAGGTAACTTGACACCTGGCCATTATGTACCTAATCACAGGATAAATTACAATCGTGCCTTTGATCTTTTGGCAAAGTGCCATACAAAAATTCTAAAAAGAAGAGCACAGGAATGTTCCCTCCAGACCCCATAGCAGGTATCAAGATGTCTGACGTTCCCCATGAGTGATTAGACCACACCTCTTTACTGCACAGCAAACAGGATGGGTAGCTACATATACCTTCTTCCTACCTGTGTTTCTCAACACGATCCCGGATATCACCTGATAGCTGAGGGCACGTATATCTCTAATGTTAGCAAATCCCATTCTCCAGGTACCTGCCTTTACTGTATGATAAATTTAAAGTTATTTATGCACAGTTAAAGGCATTTTTCTTTATCACCTTTGATGCTTTGAGGTGTACTATTTCTAGTGAAGAAACCACCTTTCAACCAGGGCCTGATGATGCTTGTCAGTGTTTTGGCTTATAATGGAACATGGTCCTTTGTAAAAAGCAAAAGGTCTTAAATCAGGTGACGTTAAGTAAAGCAGGTGACTGCAAGTAGTTGGCTGGAGAATAGCTTGACTCCTGAAAGTTTCCGTCAGTCTGGACTTCACTACAGAAGACCCTCACTGAAGAAGATGAAGCAGTAGTGAAGTTGGCTTTGCCAGGTGACTTTGCTCAAAACATGCCACTGTTCACACAGCAGTGACTATGCACCTGGTAGGAGGAGATGGTCATATGACTTTTGACATCATGCAAGGTCAAATGCACCTAGATCCATTCACCAAGGTAATAATGCGTTGCATTCCGCATGCTTCAGGGTGTTGATTTGGCACATTACAACTATTGATCAATAGTTAAATTTGTTTATAGTAAACTTCAGATTTTCAACTAAAGTCTTACTCTCTTTCAAATATACATAATTAGTTTTACCTTTACCTGCAATAGCACCTTCAACCCAGAGCTGGTTCCGATTGGGGAGGGAGTACTTCTGATGTAGTGGAGGTAGTATTCTTAGAATTATAATCGATGACAACAATTGTTCAATAATTCTTATGCAAATTCTACCTCTAATACATGATATTTCCAAGATGTTGGATGTAATGGGACTTAAAGATAGGCATCTTGTTAGTCAATACTGACTAGACAATCTCCCTGACATAAAGGCTGTACATCAACATCATGGAGTAAACAGGAGAAGTGACTGGGTCGGGTC